ACTCAAGAGGAAAAATGCAGCGGGGAGGGGCAGCTGGAAAAGTAATTTATTTGGCAGCTCCCACAGGAAGCCGCCAACTCTTGTTTCAGCCAAGTCAGTCAGCCACATCCGGCGCAACTTTAAGCCGCATTTCCGCTCATGCAATTTTAATTTGTCAAATGCAAGCGACGCGATGAGAACATGGAGGATGCTAAAATTAACTGGAAAATTTTACAATCCTGGCGAGGCAAGGCAGGATTACAGAGAAGGACATGGTACAGGGCACAATGCAGCAGGAGTCAAAGGCAGTCCGCTGCCGAAATGAGGATGCCGACGAGCCACTCGAATTGGACCATTAGTTTCGACGGCATTAGTTTGGCGCTTTCATGGCCCAGACGATGCAGACGAATAAATAAGAGACGAGCAGCGGGACGCAGATGGAGATGGAAATATAGTAGACGTAGTAGTAGATATAGAAGTGGAGGCGGTGGTTCCGGAGTTCCCACACAGGGGCGAGTGGACCGAGGCGGACCAGCGACGATCCCCTGGCGGAATTATGCATGTAATAAAATGCGGCGGCATTGGCGGCAACTGCAACAACCCGTGCCTGACCACGCCCACACACGCCCACTTTCGCCGCGAACTAAATTTAAGTGCATTAACATAAAGCGCTCAAACTACAGTGGCAGTGATGTTCAAAAATATTAAAAATATACAAATTAAATAATTAAGTTTATTGAATTTTATAGATTTATAATAGAATATTTTGTAAGACTTGAAAAAATTATTTCATATGAGTCTAAAAGGTAATTAAAGTTCCCTTTCTAAAAGAAACAAAAAGCATTTTTAATAAATTTGCTTGTAAAGACGATATTATGAAAAAATTCAGAAATCAATTGAAATTGGTTTTCATACTTCATGTAAATTAACAGAAATGTGACTAAATATTTGATTTTTTATTACTATATTATATCGCAATACCCCACCCCACTGTGCATGTTAGCCAAGATAAATAAACTTTTGGTTGAAACACTTTTGGGGTTTGAGGTCTCCTAAAAAAGGGGAGTTCCAACTGCTCTGATGAGTGCAACGACTTGGCAGCAGCGCTAAGCGTCAGCATCATCGACACTTTTGGCAGGAAGCTTTCGCGGGCCGGGCTCAGACATATAGTTTATATAGTACGCAGTACAGGACATGGCCAGGAAACTCGTCTGGCTGCGAGTCTCCGGAGTGTGTGAGACATTAACAGACTCGTAAACTGGCAGTTGCTTGTTATGTTGATTACACAACCCGCGTGAGCGTGGGAGCAAATGAAAATAAAGTTGCCAGCCAAACAAGCGCTTGAATTCCATGAATGCAAACTGAATTTGAAGATTATTAAATTTAAAAAAATTGTTTTCTTTAATCTATAAAATGTTGTTATTTTTTTTTATATTAAACTCTGAAAAACTTTAAGCCACTAGGGTCAAAGGGTATCAGAAATAGCTCGATCGTTAATTTATATTATGCTTTTTACATTATTTTGTTAACAGCTCAAAAATTAATTATATGTATAGTAGATATACACAAATTTCAAAGATAAGTAATTTAAACCGAAACTCTGAGATGTTAATGCAACGCTTTAATAAAGACAGCGTAAAAAGTTTGATTCTTTTTCAAATAGTTATCTTTTTGCAGCAAAGGACTGTTGCCATTTTAGTTTATGGCGTTCGTGGGAAGCGTTTTAAAGTCACCTCGCGTAGGCCATCGCCGAAAAGTATGCAACACTTGGCACCACGCCCCCTTTGTACGTGCCAGTCAGGCCCCATTTTAACCCACAACACCACCCAAAACAACTGTCAGCTGCCCTTCGGAAAAGCTGAAAAGGAAACACACCGAACCAGAAGGAGGAAACTCAAACAGAAACAAACAGCGGGAAACTAGCTTGTGGCAAGAGTTGAAAGTTGAATGTCTGGCAAATGCCGCGGCAATGCCCTTCGAATGCATCCAGTGCAAAATGCATTTTCCAAAGGGGAACTTTTCACACGCAGCGCCAAATCTGCCAAAGCCACTTTTCGGTATTGTTTTTTGTTGCTTTTCAAAATTTATTGCAACACTCGCTTGGAGCTCCAATCCTCCACCTCCCGAATACAGCAAAACGATGCTGGCTTTATCTCTTTGCTGTCTGTCTGTCAGAGGATATTTATCTGGCACGTTAAGTTTACTTTGGGCCCCCTTCAATCCACTGCCACTTCTTTCAGCCATTCCTTTCTTTTCCACCCGCTCTTTTCATAATTTTTCGCCTCGCGGCCAAATTGTCGTCTTTATTTGCAGCATGGAAATGCTCGAACGCAATTTCCCATTTCCATTCCACTACACACCCGATGCGAGATTTTCCCGCATGACATTTGCGATTTTCCGCACATTTTGTACTTTATTGAACTGTTTGTCACATGACGTTTAGTATTTTGCGAGCTGCGCCAGCTGCAGGCGAACAACCACACATGTGCATATGGACAGAAAGGAAAAGGGGAAAATCAGCTAAAAAATAGGGTCTTACGAGGCACAGACGTACTTCTATAACTTGAACTTCCTTTAGTTTTAAACTAAAGCCTAATTGACAAATAATTAAATAATAGGTTAATGTTGTCCATCAAAAGTAGAAGTATTAACTTCTAAATGCAAAGTTATTTATGGTTTGCTAGTCCGTAACAATCCAATATCATTAATAGTAATATTATTATTATTTCAAGTATTATATATAGTTTGTAGATTCTTTAGAAATAATTTGACAATATACGAAAACAAGGTCCATCCTTTTTTGGCGTGTTCAACAATAAATATAAAAAAAAGTATTTTCAACCATAAATACTTTTGGTAAAACTAACACAAACTACGTTAATATTTGAAATAGTTGAAAATTATATTTAAGTTACTTTTAGGATTACTAAATTGGCATTACTTTTTAAGCTTAAAGTATTAATAAAGAAAAGCCAATTTCTTTTTAAAAATGTCACTGTACTTCAGCCCATCATCATCATCGAATTTTCATAGAATGAAAGGGGTGGATAGATGGAGCTTTTAAGGGAGAACCACCAGCTGACCCCCTTATTACAAAGCCATGTAAACTTGATGAAAATCAAATGGAAATAAAAACGGACAGCACTCATAAACAATAATATGGCGAACAAGCTTTCAAAAGGAAACTTTTAGGAAAGAAGGAAGAAAACTTCACCCGAGAAGTGAAGCAACTTAATAAAAACAAAAATGTATGAAATACTTTTACGACTTTCGAAGACATTTTTACAACTTGCTGGCAAGTTTTGCTAACGATATGCGAGATGCACACAGAGAGCCGGAGGAATACCCAGGATCGGCAGCTGCATCCAAGGACTGCTGCTGCGTCCTGGTCAAATGGATACGTCGCATCATAAAACCGAAAGTCATTTCGCGCAGAACGTGTCTACACGAAAAACCGGAGGACGGGCAAATGTCCGGCCAAGAAGCCAAAGTCATCGCAGCCAATAATAATTCCAATTGTAGTGCAGTGACAATTTTCTGTTCCTTGGCTGCAAGGATGCGCTCTTTTGGGCACTTTTGGGTACAATGTACCCCGAACAATGGTCAGCAAAAGAGCAGCGGCGGCGGCAACGGCAACGGCGGACTTTTTATTGCCCAGCGTTGGCATTTTAAGTGCACCAGCCAGCGGAGCATCAGCATCGGCAGTGGCAACATTATTTGGTCAATGTAGACGACATGACGCGGCCATTAAGAGCAACAAATAAGCAAACAATAACAAGAAGCCGCGCCCCAATGAGCTGGGGAGAAATTAAGAAAAATGCTTAAGCTGGCTGCGAGTGAGAAACACTTCCATCTTACACTTTTAAATTCGAATATAATATAAATTTACTGCAGAGGGGAATCAAGCTAATGGTTCTTTTCCATCTACCTCCTATCAAAAAAGCTGCTCATCAAAATTGGTTATATTTTTATTTTACCGGCATGACTTTCAAATATTTGAATGACATTGTGTTAATTATCAAAATTATACTATTCGCTTTGAATTCACTTATTAGCAAATGCATGTATGGTTAGAGATAGTGAATCATAAAAACATGACTTTAAAAGATTATGATGACATTCATTTATTTATCAAAATGACCAGGGTTTTATAACAAATTAAACAAATCTAATCCCTGTAAGCTATTTAGTTATAATTTTATGAAGAAACATAATTTAAAAAATGCAGATAACAAAAAGAACCAAAGTTTTTTATTTGAGCAGACCCATTTATCGATCGAGTTGAATATTTATCTGCGATAATAATACTTTGCCTTATGAAAATTGATTGCAAATGAGCTGGTGGCTTTTGGGCTTCGATTGCTAAGCAAGATGGGTGGCAATGATTCTTGAGGGGGAATGCAGATGGGGCAGCAATAAGGCATATCTAGATTATATAGATTCACCGACTTAGGCAAAAAAAAAAATGTCAATGCCAAATTAAACAAACAAGAAAATACAACGCACAAGCATAATTGAATCAACAAAAAAGTTGTTAAAAGCAAAAGATAGAGATATGAAAGGGATAGATACGGAATGAAAAGAGATTTCAGCTGTCTTGCTGCCTGACCAATTCATTTAGTTGCGCAAAAACTAATTAGCAACTAAAGTGAAATTAAAGCAGAGCCAAGTCAAGCCAACGACTAATGGTCTTTGTGTTGGAAAAAAAAGGGAGGAGGGTGCGAACAAGAGGAAGGTGCTACAACTAATTAAATGCAATAAGCTATGGCAACTGCTGGACGTGAAGGGGAACTAGGAGCTCCAAGGAGTCAAGATAGAGGACAGGTAACGCCGGCGGACGAGTGACAACTTCGTTGTGATGTGCCGGACGCTTCCGGCATCCTTCCTGTTCCCTTCCTCTCATTCCACCAACTAACGACGAACGCGTTTTAATTTGCACATTAAAGTAATTAGTTTAGCATTAGTTGGCTGCAGTTTGTTTTAATGAGTAGCGAATTTTGAGAGAGTTGGACACCACTTACCGCTCTTGAAGGTGGCCATCAGGCGTTCGGAATCAGCTCCATGCTGGCAGACGAATAACGAAGTGTCGAGCAGATCTCTGGGAGAATATCCCAACAAGCCATGCATCCTGAAACACCATAGTTACATCATTATAATAAACTTTAACCAATAAATAAATACAGCCGTGATCCAATTTTATGTTATTTCTGCTCAGTGCAAGTATCCTTAAATTCTCTAACAAAACATTATTTTAGATGATGATTTCAAAAATAACTTGAGTGTCTCTAAGCCGTAAGCCAAGGCATTTGAAGCCTAAACTGTTGTTGACGTTTGAGACAGGGAAATTATAGCTTGTTAGTTTTTAATTTAAAAGTAACTAATCCCTCTTATTTAAGTACTTAATTGCCAGAGCAAAATCTGATGATTTATTAACAGAGATCACTTTAAATTATGTTTATAGTACAAGCTACTTTTTACAAGAGAAAATTGCTTAATGGCATCAACAAAAAACGAATGATTTATTAAATAAACGACATTTATTAGCCAAGCAATTATTCAATCACATCGCTTTTTAATAAATGTTTTCTGAGTAAAGCTACATTTCGAATCTTTAAATTTCCTAGATAAAGTCTCTTAAAAAGGGTTCACGACTGATAATATTTATCTCACTTGTCGTCCACATAGGTGAAACGCATGTCCAGGGAGTGTTTTGTAAGGAAAGTGCTGGTACCCAACGGTATCTCAATATTCGATGGATGCGGAATGGGTCGACCAATGGCCATCAACAGGCGTTCGCCCTTGGCGTTGACCACCAAGTGTCCAGTGATGTGAATGACCTTATAAAACGAGAAAAACATAGATTAGTTAGAATTCGATCAGGAATAAGCTACAGCTTTAGTTTTCGGTAATAACTGAAAATGGAAATCTCATAATCATAACCTCATCACACTTCATTTAACATAAAATCAGCATATTTCTATATTTCGAGTGTCGCTATTTGTGTGTTGATGTTATCTCACCTTGTAGGAGGCGCTTTTGATGTTGATACTGCGTCCTCGACTGGTCAAGGTGCACTTCAAGCGCACAAATAGATCGCGGTGATGGGTGCTCACTCCGGAATCCTGCTGCTGTTCATCCTTGACCTTCTCGGCAATTTCGCGTTTCAGGCTGAGAGCCTCCTTGATCTCGGCGTGATCGCACTGGTGCGAGTACTCCCAGATTTGCTGGCCCAGAGTGTCAATCTGTGGTAATTTAATAACCAAATTAGAATCTACCTCTATTCTATTCTATGAAAAAACTCACCTTGGTAATGCCCAGATACTCAACGACATTCTCGGACACATAAATGATATCACCCTCGTGGGACAAGACCAGCAGGAATCCGTCCATGGTCAGTTTCAAGAGTTCTCTGGCCTCGGGTCCCTTTAGCCAATCCTCGTTGCCAATTTCCATTTTAGGTTTGATCTCCACCTGCTCCTCAACAGCATCGATGTCCTGTTTAATGGCATCGCTGGGAACTAAAAAAAATGTATATATTATAAAACGTTATAAAAAGGAAAATAACTATTAGGGGAACTTACCAAACTGCAGCATCTCACGAATCTTGAGGCATGCAATGGTGATCCTCATCACGGAGGCCTTATCAAGTTGATTGACATCGTCGGTTTTCAATGGCAAAGCCGACGAGAGTTCCATGAAAATCTCCGTCTCCTTGGATCGACGGCATCTGGCCGCATCGCGAGACTTTTCCTTGCGCTTTTCATTATTCCTACAAAGATCGATGAGATGAAAAATTAGCATAGGCTCAAAACAATCACGTACGCCACTGATCTGGGGGAAAAAGGGCGGGAATAGAGAGGGGAGGCTGTCTGAAATATGCGTGCATTTCAATTGCTGCACTTTTATTCCCGTTTGATTGCTTGTGATTCAATTCACGCGGCCAGAGCTCGCAATTTTTCAATTAAGCAAAACGCTTCTAATGTTCGCATTTGTTGCCAGGCCAAGCGAAAAAAAGCAAAACCGATCAACACGGCCCCAAAGTTCACGGCAGCTATTCCAGCTGGCTCCTTAGACTACAATTTACAGAAATATTAATTCCAATACAAATGTTATCTTGAACAGTAAATCTTCTTTAAAGTATTCAAAAATTTATAATGTGAAAAGATTGAGACGAACCGTTGCCACAGTTTACAATAATTTCACATAGCGACGAGAATAAATGTGGAGGCAGTAAAAGTAATAGCTGCTGATAAAGAATGTCTTTGGAATTCCTTTCTTTAAGAATCTTCAAAACTATTTACAATAAATACATTTTTCATTTGTATTGCCTGGAGGATCCTGACCTACAATGGCGCCCCCTTGGGAGAGCTGACAAAAGAACCCCGGGGGCTTTAGATAGTTTATAATGTCTGATTCGGGTTCCGAGAGTAGCCAGCAGTCACACGTTCGCCTGATAAAGACCACCCCTGCTACCTTGGCACCAATACCCAAACGACGGACTCTTGGAAAAGGTGGAATATTTCGCCAGGGGATTGTCGAAAGATCTCACCTGCCCGATGAGTTGGCAATTAGCGACTCAGCAGAGTTGTCTTTGGTGGTATGAGCAAGCCCCATTTAGGCAGGGGGTTTTGACTCGTCAATATTGGCGACAAGTTTTAATCAGTAAACAAGCAGTCAAATCATTTATATACATTTATAAGGCAGAGCACTGACCTCACACATACGGGCACTATTAATATGTATACTTATATATTTTGGGAAATTCTAAGAAAAGACGGACGGCCCTCCCTCGGGACTGGGGGAGAATTATAAAAAGTTTGCCAAGAAAATCTCGTGAGCTGCCTCATGCTAGGAAACTAATTCGGGAATTCATCCGCAGCAATAACATAGCTTGTGCCTTCTTAATATTTTATTTATTATTGAAATACGGGCAGAACTTGTATAATCCATGGAATACGACAATTTTTGCACGTACAATAGTTGCCTTGGTTTTTGACAAAAATTGCCAACGCTGCTTTATTGACTATTGGGGAAGGAAAAAGTGCTGCCCACGTAAGGTGTTTTATTTGGAAAATCCGCTTGGCAACATCACGAAAATTAAAAAGTTTTTAGTTAACAAGCGTTAAGTATCACCTGTCATTTAAAATGAAGAAAAGCCCATTATATCAGCCGCAAAAGACAGTGGAATCTGAGCTCTGTACTGTGATGTTTATGTCAGTCTACGAACTGACTGTCTAATTAATGATTAAATACCTATTTTAAAAAAGGCATTCTTCTTTGTTTGCCTTTTGATGCACTAGCATTCAAATCACAAATAATTAAAAAAAATTAATCACTAAATATTCGAAGTGTAATCAAGAAACTAATGTTAAATTAATCGTTGACTGTTAACAATTCAAATAATATTAAATTATGACATCTTTGAATATGAGATAAGACCCTCATTAATCGATTGAAAGTAAACAAGAAAATCTAATAATGAACAACACAACGTTTACAATCTCTTACAACAGTAAATCATTACAAGAAAATTGCAATCTTTATAATTTTATATATTTGATGTGTAAAGAGTATTCAGGCCTCCAAGATAAAACTTCGTAAGATTGATAAAACGAAAGAGAGCTAAGTAAATGAAACAGAAATAGATAATGATAAGAGGGTTTTTCATTGTCAATCAATCGGCCGATTGATGAAGACCAGCAAAAGTTTGAAACAGAACTCAAATGGCCGCTTAGATAATTATTATATAGTATTATTTCACTCGCTATCAATATAATGCAATAGGCAAGCACATCGAATATATTGACTCGTGGAATCGTGGGTTTCTATATATGTATTTAGAAAAAAATATATATATATTCATTTATAAACAGAAATTCGATAGTCGTAGTGCATAGAAAGCGGCATCGAGTGGCTTTGAATTGCATGCTAATGGCCTGCTTAAATGGAGTGATATTCGGGGGGTTTTCGCGGGGGAGGTATTTGCGATCGGGCGGGCTATTGTCTGTTCATTAGAACAGAAGCAAGTACAGCCTTTTAAATATTCTGGCTGTGCCAGCAGAATTGCCTTGTTATTGCCGCTGTCGCTGCTGTTGTTGTTGCTAAGTATTTCCGCTCCAAAGCGCAACTCAAACACTGACAAAAAATACAGCTTTAATATGAGTATTATTAAAAAGTTAAAATATAACTTTTTAAAAGAAATGTTCAAAGAAAACTTCTGCCTTAAATATTCGTTGTTATTATCACATTTAATTGAAACGTGAATATTCCTAATATTCCATATGTCTTAAAAGTTTAATTCATTATGTACGAAATTTCATAGGAATTAAAAACAAATAAAAAGTGAGCACTTTATATAAACCCTCGATTAAAGCTTGGCTCGCTATTAAAAAAAGTGATTAATATTCTTATAGAAATTAAGACCGGAAAGTTCCAAGTAAAACAACCACGATCCAACCACGTGGACAACCAAATCTTAGATAATCCTACGACGCCTTAGGATACTGACCCGCATCTGTTTGAGTTTGAATTGCTAGCATTGCGAAATGCTCCACCAAATGCGACGTATCTCTTTGCGAGATATCAGCAAAAGCACATAAAATACATCGCAAGGTGTTAATGCCAAGTTCATGGGGCAGTAAATCGAGCCAACATGGGGTCAGGGATGTTTGGATGGGAGCAGCATAAAGTTGGAGGAGGTTTTTTAGGTAGCGTATGCCTTCTGCAAGTGCGTCAGTTTGGATTTGGCTCATTAGCATGGAGACGGACAAGCACAAATTTGGCTTAAACGTGTGCAAAACGTAAATAAACGAGAAAACTGGCGACCATTCCAAATCCATTTGATTTCCGCGCACGTTGCATGCTAAGTTTTAGGGAGAAATGCAGGGAAAAAGGGGCCATAACCTGCGTCAATCGTTGGGGAATCGTAGATCAACAAAATTGATGGAGGAACCCCATCCAGAAGACCTTCATCGCACGCGCCACGTGATGATAAATCTTTGGGAAATACCCAATATAAAGTCATTGGTGTCAGATAACAATTACACAACATAACGTCAACAAACTATTTTTAAGTTTTATTAACTAGATTGTGATATTAAATAATGTCTGCTTAACAATCGATAAGAGGGGGAAAGTCTTTCTCAGTGCTGTTAAAGTCTAAATAAAGGGCATTTCACTTGGGAGAAACCCAATGAACCTTGACTCATTTATTACCTCTCTCGCGCCATATCTCCGTACCCCATTCCCTATCTTTTCCTGCGTATCTAAATATTATTATACAAAGCGATCCACAAATAAGCATAGATAAGAGCCACGCCGTTTGCTTTCGGCTTCGGGTTTTACAATAGGACCCAACGAATTTTTAAATGAGGTTTTCAGTGGTCAGAAAAAACTTCAATCATTAGTGGTATTCTACAAGCCGATCTAAACAGATTATATTTATGTTTGTTTAGATTAACTGTTTACAGTTGAGCGATCAATCATTTTAAAAAATCTGGTGAATAAAAAATATGTATGTACTCTAAACATTATTAAATCAAATATAATTTAATTGAAATTATCGGGTCGGTACTACATTCTACATTCTTATGCAAAGTATCTGAGAGTAATTTTAGTTTTTTTTTGATATTTTTAAATGTTGTTATACTAAATCATGAAGCTTATCATCAAAAATTTCAAGTAATACTTTCACAAACCAGAAAAAAAAAATATTTTTTTCCTTGATATAAATTATGTAAGTGCTGTATTATCTATTACAGCTTTGTTCGATTTGCTTATCGAAACAATATAAACAGAATTTGCTTTCGAATTTTTTATTATGAATAACACAACGATTTGTGGGTGCACTCACATAAAGTCCTCGATGTCTACGAACTGGGAGAACTGACAGGGTTGGGTGTTGGTGGGGGCATAGCCATAGCAGTAGGCGTAACTCCAGGGGCGGCTTTCGCGACAGGGCGTGACCACATTCAAAAGACTGCCCCGTTGCTGATAGAAGGCATCTGGATGCTGTTGCTGCTGATACGGATGAAACCTCTGCATCCCGGCGGAGGATGCATTGGGTCCCAGAATGGCACCCACAAAGGGTTGGGCTCTGGGAATTGGGGCATTATAGAATGACCCGTTGTTAAAGTTCACGGTGGGTTCATTAATGGGCGTACGCCCAAAAACAGAGCCATTGTTAAGCTGTTCTTGCGGCGGCTTCAGATCGCACTCGTAGAAACTTGTGGTAGAGGTCACATCCTCGCCGTAGAAGGAACTATCGCCGGGACACGAGAAGTCACAGCTCTCAAAGGTATTAAACATTGATTGCGCCGTTTCTTTCGCTGGAATACGGCTAAGCCCATCGATGATGAACACACACACGCGTTCCGATAACGGCTGATAGTGGAAAGCGGGTTTAAGACTATTTTGATTTGGCTATAACTTTTCTGGTGCATTCAGAACACGACGTGCGGGAGTTCGAACCGTAAATGAGCGAAAGGTTCCATACCCTCGAAGCCATCATATTTATACCCGAGGACCCCAAAAAAATGGCCAAGAGAGGGAGCGAGAGAGCAGCAGACATTAACGTCAGATTCCGTGTGCTATCAGACAAGTTTGCCTATCCGGACAAGTGCGCTCCGGACCGGAGTGATAAGATAAAGTCCGCCCGACTCGAAAACATTCAGTTGGCAGGGAGCTAACGGTTCGGTACTACCCAATCGGGGCGATAACGGGGACTCGAGTGAGTGGCAGATTCAAATTAGAGGCTTATAAATTATGTCTGTGCGCTCCACTTCTGCCGATAATTGCGCTGGATAATATAGCATACTTTGCAGTGCCCCCGGAAAATTACTGCACGTCAAGGATTTCATTTTCCGCCCATTTCCACCTGCAGTGCTCAGTGCCGTCATGTTATATATTAAATAAATAAAAACAATTCCAAATTAATCCGCTGCCGTAAAATGTTCTCTATTTATAAAAAAAATATTTAACTTTTTCTAACATTCAAATTTATTCAAAGCTATATTTAATATTAAAAGAAATTGTTCTAAAAAAATTTAATATTTCTTGAAAATTTTTGAAAGCACATCATTAAAGAAAGAAACTTAAGTTTAGTTTTAGAACTCCAGAAATGTAGGTGACCCTACACTTTCATGCCAAACCACTTTGCAAAATTAAAAAAAAAAATGAAGTGAAAAAAGCAAACAAATTTCTATAAAACCTTTAATGTCTGTTAAGACTTGATAGTTTCTTTCTGTGCTAGATTTAGATAGCTGTGGATTTAGATGACTAAATATTTTGCCACCGATGTTACCCTTCTCAAAGATTTTACTAGTCAGACGAGCGCCCCGATAAGAACTATAGCATAACAGTTAAATATTTAGATTATTTCATCAAACAAGCACAGAAAGTGAAACGAGATAAGAAAACTTGCCTTCCCAACTGGAAGTAATCAAACCACAATGTAATCAGCTCTAAGAAACTGAGAAGATGGCAATGCCCAGTCGGGGTCAAATTAAATCACCGCCCATGCGAGCTGATAACCCTTTGTTTACCTTTTTTACCTTTTTATGCTACAAATGTCTATCATGAGTCCAACTTCTTAGTAATTTAAGCTTTATTGGGCTATTATTATTCGGCTTCACTCACCAGTGAATGCAAGTGTGATAAAAGTAAAAACTTTTTGCATTGTATTCATTGAATAGTGGTTAAATCCATTACGAATATGGAATTAAAGCGAAAATAATTTTTAAAGTGATTAGACATTATTTCTATGTCGTAGCCATTTGCTAATCGCGCATGATTTTAACTATGTGACATAAAAAAATGTAATAAAATTTCGGGACCAACAATTGTTGGTTTCAGAAATAACATACAACAAAAAACCAAAAATTAATTATTTTCTAGAAAAATATTCATAAAAATTGCTCGACTCGAACGGACGTGTATAACTTATCATCGAAACCAGTACAATAAAATAACACCATCATGGACTGTGGAACATCACTGGTCAAATATATCCTTTTCTTGTTCAACATAATTGTGATGTTTATCAGCATTTTGAGCATCTTTTTTTGCATGGTGATCCTAATCACTATCGGAAAACTTGAAGGTAATGGAGAGGCCATGAATGCGATCGCGGTGATCATCGTGGGATCGATTGCGGTTTTTATTTCGGGCCTGGGATGCTGGGGTGCCGCTACCCAATCTGTCATCATAACTAGAAGCTATGCTATAATAATTCTAATACAACTGATCCTGCAGCCGACACTGCTTTTGCTAATGGCCTTTAACAAGGAGCAGTTTGGAAAGGCCATGGGCGACGTTATCGACTTGGCTTGGAAATCGAACCATGCGCAGGGAGGTACCTTCGATGCCATCCAGAAATTGTTTAGCTGCTGCGGTCGGGACTCTTTCAAGGACTATATCGACGAAGGGCACACCAAGCCCGCAAGCTGCTACAATGGTACCTACCCCTCGTCTAACGTTTTCGAAGGATGTCGTGGAAAGTTGATAGACTTTGTGTATGCTAGCACTGCCAATACCAAATTGTTCGTGTTCGGCCTGATTGGTTTTGAGCTGATATTCTTTATATTTTCCTGCTGTTTGGCCAACAATCTAGTAATCTACAAGCGCCAGAAAGCACACATGCTCCCTTTGACCACTCCGACATCCAGGAAGACACACCCATACTCTGTAACTGTTGCAGTCGTTCATTTATAAATAAACAATAATAATTATTTAAAGTTAGCCATTTGGTTTGCTTAAAAATGCTTAGTGTGAAAAATCAGAAGAAACTTTTATTAATAAAACATTTATATTCGAATACAAATAAATGAACAGCCAAAACAATTTTGATTTCCTATCTAATCTTTAATTTACTTTTTATCAGTTATTTCTTAATTTTAAGATATAGGATATAGACATTCGATCAGTGCCGTTTTCAAACTTCATCGGCGTACACATCTTGCAGATTGAGAAAGTTTAAAGTCTTTAGGTTTTAAACTGAGCTTGCAAACAGATAAACTTGGCTATATCAGAATATATATACTATTACAGGGTCGGAGACGAAATTTTTGATGCATTACAAATCACTACTCTCTCCAAGGGTAATTTATAAATTTTTTGAGTATAAATGATTTTAAAATAAACCAATAAAAAATGGCAAAGAGTCTGAGAATGACGTATATAATAACCTTTCATGACCCAAAAGTCTGTCACTAACAAAACCCAAATATATATTTAAATATATATGTTTAATGTGTTCAATGAATATTATAAGTAAAACAAGAAAGAAAAGCTAACTTCGGGCGGAGCCGAAGTTGATATACCCTTGCAGAATATTCTGTAAGTTATTGCATTTCCAATCGTTCAGTTATAAGGCAGCTACTGGATAAAGTCGGCCGATGCTTATAAAATTTGGTAGGTCGGATTGATTGGCCAAAAATAAAACCCATAGAATATAGTCGGCCGATCCCGGTCGTTCCGACTTATATACTGCGTGCAAAGGAACGAAGGGTTTGTGCAAAGTTTCAATTCGATATCTTTAAAACTGAGAGACTAGTTTGTGTAGAAACAGACAGACAGACGGACAGACGGACAGACGGACATGCTTATTTCAACTCAGGACGTGATCCTGATCAAGAATATATATACTTATAGGATCGGAGATGTCTCATTCACTGCGTGGCACACTTTTGACCAAAATAATAATACCCTCTGCAAGGGTATAACGAGATAAGAGATTTGAAGAGTGAGAGAGAGGGAATAACGCAAAAGTCTGTCATTAACCAAGGAATTCATATATATATGTTTAATGTGATCAATGGAAAATACAAGTACAGTAGAATCCGGTTATAGCGACTTTCAAGAGACCGACGATTTTACGTCGTTATACCCAGAAGACGCACTAACCATATAAGTTTGTATAGGGACCAACCAAGCCATAGAGTTTTCGGACGGACACCATAAGCGGAGTCGTTATAGCCGGATTCTACTGTATTCACCAGGGAGATTACTATAAAGAACTAGCAGTCCCATAGGAATTAGTTAAACATTCAAAGTATCTCGTCTCGAACGGAGGTCTCGTGGAAGTAATTTAAGCTTAAAAGACATGGACAACGGGACATCAGTGGTGAAATACCTCCTCTTAACAGTCAACATCATTGTGGTGGCTGTCACCATTTGGGGCATCGTTCCTTTGCTAAAAATCCTTACAAACATCGGAAATATTGAAAGTGAATTCCCCGTCATAGAGATTGCGCTGATCATATTGGGAGCGATTACGGTCTTCACTTCGATCCTTGGATGCTGCGGTGCCACATTCAATTCTATCTGGTTTACCAAAAGATATGCTGCGATCATCCTGATACACATGATCTGGCAGCTGACACTATTTATACTAATCCTCACCAATAACGAGCACTTTTCGAAACTCTTGGGCACCGCAATCGATAGGGCTTGGAAACATTTGGATATAGATTCCTTCGAAGTCATCCAGGAATTGTTTAAATGCTGCGGAATGAACTCTTCCACGGACTATACTGAAAAGAAAGTCTCCATTCCTGCAAGCTGCTACAATGGTTCTCCCATTTCGACAAACTTGTATAAAGGATGCCATGGCAAATCGATCGAATACCTAATGGATACCACTAAGGAGTACCAGTTTATGATTATCGGCCTGATAGTTATTGAACTGATCTTATTCATATTTTCTTGTTGCTTTGCCAATAACCTGGGAATCTATAGGAACCACAAAAAATTAGTGCTTCGGACCACTTCATCAAAATCCGTGCCCCCAACCACTACATCAGAATCCGTGCCTCCAACCACTACACCAGAATCCGTGCCTCTACCCACTACAACTGAGTCCGTGCCTGCAATCACTACAGTTAACTCTGAAAAGGACTCGACGTTCGCAGGACGACCAATTCATTTAAATATTAACTTAAAAAATGATGTTTAAAATTTTGTTTAAAATAATAAACTTTGGATTGTTTTATTATTAATAAAATATGAGTGAAAGAATTTTTATAAACTTCTGGACTTCTAGTTTCATTTAAAAAAATAAAGCTTCGTTGTTTCTAAACATATAACCAATTTTTTTAACCAAACCTTTGTCTAAATTATATATATCCTCCCCATTAAAAGGATTGTCATCCTTAAATCAATAATAAGTTGCTTTTTTTTTGGAAAGAAATAATGTAGAACTCCGTATTTCCCACAGAAAAATATAATAACAAAACCAGAAACGATTCATAAATAACCCCAAACGCGTATTAAGACCATTGAACTAAATGGCTGAAAAAAGATCGGAAACTGCGTTACGTTTAGTCTGTCTCCCTCACCTTTGTCATTTCTGTTTCTTTCGTTGGGCCAAGTTCAATTTTGCACATACAAAAAATATTTTATTATTATATGTTAACGGTATTTTCTTAATATTTCAATTTAGTTAAGTTTTAAAAACACCTTAAAATCAAACATTTTTAATCATATCGAATATGAGGCAACATAAAAATTTTGTTTTATTAAATATTTTCCTGTATAAGAGGACAATAAAATGTTTTTTTTATAGATTAACATGTACCAGATTTTTTCTGTGCACCAGTATCAAAACCAAAGTGTGTATGTGTATAAATAAAGAAAGAAAGAAAAACCAACATTAACTCCAAGACCTAATACTAAAATACAATACCTTTTCTCCTTCTCTTTCTCCCTTTACAATAATACCCCCTCGGGCCTTTCCATCCTCCCCGTGCCGTCACATTTTTGGTTCGATTGCGCAAAAAGTAGGTCGTCGTGGCCAGACAAAAAAAAAACAACAACTGGGCATATCATTTAAATATTTTACAATACACACATGTGGAAATGTATGTAAGCGTGTTTCACTTTTGTGCGTTTGTTTGCGTTGGTATTGAAATTTTTTTATTGTCGAGTTGTTTTTTAATTTTTGTTCATTGGCTTCTGCGTATTTTTTCCTCATTTTCTGAGCGCCTTGGCACAGGTCTGACAGCTTATAAAACTAATTTTAAACCAACCATAATTTCGATTAAGATTTTGGTCTCTCCCCCAAATACCCCCTTAAGTTGTAATAATTCATTTTTATTGAGGTCACACGGTAGGTGCAGTTATGATATGTTTGTGATCGGTCAGCTGCAATCGAAATAGTCGGCTAAGAAAAATAACGGCTTGACAATCTTCCGATAGACAAGAATTATTTTATCGATCAATATATGATAAATTAAAATTAATCGTATTTTTGGGAAAAATAAATAAAAAGAACAATTTTTAACAACCGATAAAAATAATCATTTTTATCAACCGATAAAAATAATAATTTTGAAGAACCGGTAAAATTTTTTAATAAAATACATTTTTACGAACTTTTTGAACATTGCATTAAAAACCTAACTGACTTTTCAATTCTATAGTTTTAAAGATATTGCAAAGCTTTCACCAATGCTTCACACAAAAATATATTGAAACCAGTTCGAAGCAAATGGAAAAACTACCGCCGATAGTCGGTTAGTGTGTCTATTGAAAACCAGAGCGAGCACATTTTGAAAATGGTTATAGAACCGCTTTTACACATTTTTTGTTACTTTAGTTTTATGGTTGTCACGTAGGCCAATGCAAAACTTTGTTTCAATTTAATGTTAATGTCTTCAGTGAAACATAAACTTGGCGGTTTATGGGCTTATAAAATAAATAAATAAAAGTTTTCGGAGGGGCGTGGGCCAAAAAAAAACGGAATCGAAAACAAAACAAAGCTGATAAAACGAAGCACGAGGAAAAAAACAGGTTGTTTTTGGAGCGGAGGGGCAAACATAATCGAACATAACTGGTTTTTCTCATTGTTTTTTATTTTATCTCACTTAAAAATAACCCACTGTGCGTAACAAAGAAGCAGAACAATGTACTCGACTAAAAATAAAATAATGGGGGCTTGGCCTTATAAACAGGATGTCAATCCTTGAAGGATGCATCTCTAGAGAGCAACAACAGGTGCTTTCAAGACTCTTTTCCGAAACAAAGTGCACTTACATATTTGTGTGCATTTGTCTATTATATACCCCCTGATATCGTATTCCACTATGGAAACCAATCATGCATATGCAAACTAAACGATTTCAGTTCGTCTCGACTTTTGTCTTTGAATGTCTGAAGGTCGTGGGTCTCGGTCGTTGGGTTTTTCTTCCCTTTCGCTTTGCCTCCGTCACTAGATCGTATAATAATTACCGCGAATGCAAAAATTAGTTGAACGCGTGATTAATGATTGACTTTTCGATATTTTCTAGTCCCCCTCGTCAGTTTTCTATCGTCTGGTTTGTTTCGTCAACCAGTGACGCCCAATAAGGGGAGTTAATAAAATCAAGCAAGGTATACATTCAAATTCATTCAAAGAAAATAAAAAAATTTCCTCCCGGAAAGACTTTTTACCGCCCATCAGCAAGGAATATCAACTGGGTTAGTTTACTTATAGTAAGGCAAATTACATCAATGAACATTAAATCTGTGATCTGCCATCATATTATGATAAATGAAAATGCAAAACAAATGTTGTATATTTAAACGAATTAAAGGAATAAGAAAATTACACAATAATAAAAGATGAAAATAATTCAGGTTCAGCAATATTTATGAAATCTAAGGTTTTGAAAAATTAGAAGAAAGCAACAATTGCCGATTGGGAAATTAATGAGGATTCAAACGAGGGCCTAATGCAAATCATTACTTCTGTTGAAATAGGTCACAGCAGAAACTTACAATAGGGAAGTAAAATAAGGGAAATTTTTGATATTAACTCAAAATGCAGTAAAAAGAGTCCATTGATTAAAGCTTTAATAAACATGAAAGCAACTAGGAATATAAACTGGATGCCTCTGTCTAGGAAATAAGAAACAGAGAAACGGACGAAAACAAACAAAAGTCCAAAAATCATATTCATTGAGGATACTAGTAGGGGAAGAAAACACCTTCTTAAGTAAAAGGTTTCATCGACATGTGAAATAAATGATCCCAAATCAAAAAAATATATGAAATACCGCCCAGAAAACAGAGGAAACCCACAGAAATCGACGGATAGCAACAAAAGCCGCCACAAGCGCTGCGAAGCGAAAGAAGAGGGCGAAAAAGAAAGCAAAAGCTTATGCAATGGGCAAACAAGTGATCTGAGCAGATCCAAGGGAGCACTACGGATCGGATTATTGGATGGGTGTATTGGTCAGGGATCTGATTTTTTGATGGCATGTTTATCTGTCCGACTCACCTTCGTTTCTCCTTTGGTTTACCGCTAGCCGTGAGATTGGATTTTGGGGCGGCAGGGGATGATGAAAGAGAGCCAGAAGACGAAGAGGGTGAAGAGGTGGAATAAGAAGAGGAGGAGTCGGTGGCAGCCACCGATTGCTTCTGTTTCTCCGCTGCCGCTTCGATTGTTTTAATTAACGAAACCATTTTGTCGCCGGATTTCAAAACGCAGCAGCATTCAAAGATCTGTCGATGTGGAGGTTCCTGTTTCTTTTCTCTTTTTGTTTTTCACTATCGTTCTTCTTATCGCAAGTTTTTCCAGCACTTTTGAGACTCTTCGGTGTTGTTGTTTAGTATTATTTATCGCTGTTACTTTCGTTATTTCTATGAAAAACTATGGCTCTGCGCTTGTATTGGTTGTATTGCGTTTGTATTGTTGGCACTACTCACACACACTCACACTCAAGCACTGTGTTTTCCTAATTAACTTTTATTATTTAACCACTTTGCCTCCTTTTACCTTGATTACTTTTGTATATTTCTGATTTAAATAAACAAAAAACAACTGCCACAAGGTTATTATATTATTTCACTGCCGTTGTTTGTTTTTGTTGTTATGGCTGTAGTCTCAACTGGCCAATTGCACTTTGGTATATTCGATAATTCAAGTATTAATATTATTGCACTTTGAAGTTCTGTACCGATTTGATGTTGAACTCGCGTTGTAGCATCTCACAAACGCGATTTATCTGCACTATATGCATTTTACACTGCGCCTACAGCATTTTTTCCTCACGAAATCTTAATACGCTTTTATTTTTATTTTCCTTTTTGGTTGCTACTTCGTAAACAGTGTGTCAGCAGGATGGTAAAAATACCACAATACCATGCTAACGCATAGGGAAAATCCGTCAAAAATACCAGAAAATTACCAAACGAAACATCCTATTGGGAACAGAGAATACCAGTAACGGGTAATTTCAAAAAGTTAATGGAACTAGGAATATTGCAATCTGTAATTATTAAATATTTGTTTACACCAATGAGTCGGTTACTGCTTTGAATTTGAATTGTTAATAATTTTTTAATATTCTTTTCCTTTTCTTGTACAATAAAAAAACTGAAGTTTTATGTTTACTTTAGTATGATTTACTCCTTTTTTATAAGTTTAATCTTATTAGTAATAGCAGGTAAGTGTTTTCAAGTCACGATAGATGGTAAATATTATTGGAAGCCGATAGGCCTCAAACTATGACAAGTTTTCTTTATTTTGTACGAACTATTCCCATTTAGGCCTTGGGCACCACCGAGTTGCTTTTGGGGGTCACCGCCTCATCTCCGCCTCCTGGATTGCCGACATCCGCCAGCGGATCTGCTTTCGGACCACCAACTGAACCCGCATCCGTGTCCAAGGCATCACCCAATCCATCATCGTCGTCGTCATCTCCGCCGGATTTGTTATACACGGTGGGATACTTCTGGAAGCAGTCGCGCATCTTGGTGAAGGCCTCGTAGCAATCGGAACCCTTGGGTTCGCCCGTGCTATCCTGGAAGCAGGAGAAAGCCTCACGGAATTCGACGCCACATGGACCAGTGGCCATTCCACCAAGACAAGGACAACTCCAGTTGATCTTCCCATCCTTGGTAATCACGCCCTCCGGTTGTTCCGGTGGCGGCAGCTCGATGGTGCTGGGCGTGGCATGGTCTTCCTTGGTGACAAAGATCACCTTGTCCTTGCCGTACTCCTTGCAAAAAGAAAATGACATCCTGTTTGAGTTTCTTTAGTTAAAATGCTATAAATTCCTCGGGAGTTGCCTCGAAATCCAAAGGTTTTTGGGATGTGCTGAGCACCTGGAAATGGCAGGGCACCTCTTGGTAGTATCCTATCAGGGATATAGCTATGCGGACGCGTTTCAGGAAATCCTCGGACACCCGGAAAATGAATCGTTTGTCGGTTGAGCTGAATTTAACGATTTCTAGCGTAGTTTGGCCACCAATTTCGCCAAAAATATTCGTCAAGGAGTTGAGGATGCAGCCGCAAAGGAAAACGGGCGTCAAAGTCACGGAGTCTGGATCACGGAGTTTCCTGGTGGATTAAAACATGCTTTATTTGATTTTTCACTACCCTTGCACGTGTGGAACTATTGAATGGATTGAATGGAACTCACAGCTTCACGTCCAGATATTGGTAACCACTCATGCTTTGGTTACGCCCAATGCAACTCCCGCTCCCGGTAATTCTGCTCGGGACCTATTTTCGGCGGAAACTTCGGGAAGTTGTCTAAAAAGTGCCGGTCAGTGTGTTTTTTTATGTAATTATTCCCTTTTCACTGTTTCTTTCTGCTATGCGAACAGCTGTGCGCAGGCAGAGATGGCTTTTTACACCAAAATGTGCCGAAAAACAGCTAACACAAATTTAGCTACTTTGATATAAATACATATTTATGCATCCAATCTTGGATGTTTAATTTGTTCTGCCCTAAATTATGCATATTAAAATAAAGAATAAATTAAAACCCTATCAAATTATAGTTCCTCAATCTAGTAGTTTTAATCATCTCATTTTAAACGACAACACTATAACCAATACATTTCCTAGTGAATGGCAAATAAGAAGATCACAATAAAAACAGTTTTATATTCACATATTTAAATTTTCGTAACGGTTTACTATATATATTTTATTAAATCACCAAAATTAAGAAATTCATATAAAGTAAACATAACAGTTTTTCCAAGAATTAGTCAGTGGTCAATTTGCTAGTCCTCGCTATTGGGCAGTCCTACGAAATTCTTTTCAATGTCTTTTTCAAAGTCTAGTGTTGATTTGGAGGTTTGTAGGATCTGAAAATGACATGGCGTTTCCTGATAGTGACCTATTAGTTCAAGGGATATGCGTGTCATTTCGTACAGCTCCTCTGGTACTCGAAAAATAACGCGTTGCTGCAGTGCGCAAAACTTAACAATCTCCATTGTGGGCTTTTCCTCACAGAAGAAACTATCCAAGGCATCGAGAACGCAATTACGAAATAGGGAGGGAGTCAAAACCACTGTGTCCGGATCTCTTAGTTTGCTTTAGAAAAATATATATTTTTATTAAAATATGGGTTTTCTTTACGGAGACATCTTCATTAAAAATACTCCTCTACTCACAGTTTAATGTCGAAATAGTAATAGGCCGCCATAATGATCTTGTGATGTACCTTCTATGCTGTGCCCACTGTAGTGATAATCAAATTCCTCTGCGACCGGGGTGAATGGCAAACGACTGATTGTTTTGATGAATTGCGCGGCGCCAATCTTTTGACGAAATTCTCTCATGGAAAACGTCGAATTTTAAAAACAAAACTCAAATTGTAACAAATAAATAACACTCACTTTGGAACTGTCAAATGGATAAGCTTACAAATGTCCAGGAGGAGGAGGAGGAGGGTCCACTAAGCGTGGCCAAATTAATGGTGAGTATCCAACGATCTCGCCCAGAATTCTAATGTTCATGAATTTCATCCATCCAGGGAGGCAGCATTACGGCTAAGGACATAAAACTGCTCCAACAGGCCAGTCTACATACTGTGGAAGCGGTGGCCAATGCCACCAAAAAGCAACTGATGGCCATTCCCGGCTTGGGCGGCGGCAAAGTGGAGCAGATCATCACGGAAGCCAATAAATTGGTACCTTTGGGTTTCCTCAGCGCCAAGACTTTTCATCAAATGCGAGCGGATGTGGTGCAACTGAGCACTGGTTCCAAGGAGCTGGACAAACTGCTGGGTGGCGGTATTGAAACCGGTTCCATCACGGAGATCTTCGGGGAGTTCCGCTGTGGCAAGACCCAAATATGTCACACTTTGGCGGTCACCTGCCAACTGCCCATCAGCCAAAAAGGCGGCGAAGGCAAGTGCCTTTACATTGATACGGAAAACACTTTTCGGCCGGAGCGGTTGTCCGCCATTGCGCAGAGATTCAAGCTGAACGAGGCCGAGGTACTGGACAATGTGGCTTGCTCACGGGCCTACAACTCGGATCAGCAGACAAGACTCATCCAAATGGCAGCGGGCATGCTCTTTGAATCCAGGTGTGCTTAGGTGTCCCACAATTTAACAGATTTTATAGCTGCTGCTTTTTCAGATACGCCGTGGTCATTGTGGACAGTGCCATGGCTCTCTACCGATCCGATTACATTGGACGTGGTGAGCTGGCCGCCAGGCAAAACCATTTGGGTTTGTTCCTGCGCATGCTTCAACGACTGGCGGATGAGTTTGGAGTGGCGGTGGTCATTACCAACCAGGTGACTGCCTCGCTGGACGGCGGACCGGGCATGTTTGCCGGCGATGCCAAGAAGCCCATCGGGGGCCACATAATGGCTCACTCCTCCACCACGCGGCTGTATCTCCGGAAGGGCAAGGGAGAGACCCGCATCTGCAAGATCTACGATTCACCCTGTCTGCCGGAGTCGGAGGCCATGTTCGCCATTTTGCCGGATGGAATAGGAGACGTCAAGGAGGGAAACTAACTCTTATGTTAATGCGACTAATGAATGCTTCACTTTTTTAAAGCTTAAGTTTAAGTAACTCCCCGAATAAGTTTACACTATTCCTAATGTTTAATATGCTTAACGATTGTTAAGAATGCTTGTCAATAAGAATGACTACAAAGTATAATGAGCTTTGTATAGAAAACCATTCGGGAATTTCTTCGAATTAGGGCAATAAAACAATTGGTTGAGAGTATGTACCATCTATATTTAATTCAATATTAATCAAAACATCTACACACTTAGTAAATAATTACGGGTCTGAAGCTGAGAAGCTTTTTTAATGTCTATTAAGCGGGTGCTGCACGATCCCATCTCAAGAGCTGCAATGATATGCACCTGGTAGGCAAACGATAAAAAATTGGATTTCATATATGGAAATTAAATGAATTTTAATCCTAGAAATTAAGCAGTAGCACAAGGCTTATCGAAACTTCGTCGTCTAGAGCAAGGTCTTCAAATTGCCCAAATTAACCAACGCTTAGGAGTAACTAAAAAAAAAGGAGGGTAAATGGTGGAGCCAAAAACATTTGGTTTTTCACCTACCTTATCGTACAGTTGGACCAGCAGAACTGGCCCACAAAAACACTGATCTACTGCGGAATGGGCTCTGCGGAAGCGGAGCCTTCCTTGGCCACAACGAGGTTGTTGTAGCCGCGCTCGTTCATCCCGACGCGAAGGTTTTCGTTCATATTTTTCGTGTAGGTCTTGTAGATTTTAACCTTCTCGCAAAAGTCAATCCAAAAATTATCCTCACTCTCCGGCTCTGGGTTAAAGAGACCCTTGAAGCCATCGTATATACCAGAGGACACCTTGCGAATGACCTGTGCCTTTTCCTTGAACTCCACTTCGTCGGATAGGTCCATCTTCCAGAGCTCTAGATTGCCCACATATCGTCGAAGTCGTCGCATGATGTCAACGCACTCCGGATTGCGCAGGAGCATCAACTTGGTGAACTCCACCTCCTTGAACTGATCAAGGATCTCCAAGCACTTGCCCACATTGGCTCGACGCAATCCCAAGCATTCGCGCAGCTGCTGGGAAAGTTGAATAAAGTCGCGTTCCATGAACAGAGCATCCTCGTGCTCAATTAGCTCCTCGATGAACCGCAAGGCCTCCTGCTTGGGAATCTCGCTGCGCGTTGGTTCCACCACTATCCTCTCAGGCATGCTCTCCGGCTCGAGTTGACCACTTTCCAGCTTTAGCTTGAGCTCCATGGCTTCCTTGCGAGCCTTCTCCACCCAAGCCTCCTCAGCAGAGGCGCTCTCGAAGATGTCCGGCTTGTTGTAGTTTATATCAATGCCCAAGCACTTAGCAGTGGGCATGTAAACCATTAGCATTTCGTTCCGGATGTTCTGTAAGGATAGAAATGTGGCTTGATTCTTTGAAAATTTGATCTTCGTAAAGAGAGGAAAAACTTTTAATTAATTTTCTAAAAAAAACTCCAACCTACCAAATTTGTTTTAATTATAAGTATTGTTTTAACCAACAGGAAATGGTAATAGAATTTAATTGCTATTTTTTGCTGGTTTACGTTAATATTGTTTTACCTTATCATATAACGAATAAGTCACAGATAAACGTGGGAAACAGAATTTGTAAATGGAAATAATTTTAGAAACAATTTTTATAAGATTCTGTAAAGGTAAAATAGAATACCTTGTCTTCAAATTCCACCGCTGCCGAATGAATCGTGAGTTTATCACTGGGTTAGGTCGGGAATTTAATCTTACTAAGGTAAAACCTCCTGAAAACATGTTCCTAGCTTCCATGCATGACCGTGACCTATTTAATTTACCCATACTTACATTGATTGGCCTTGCCCTCTTCTGGATGGGAGTAACTGCTGCCGTGGGCTTGGATTTCTTCACGGATTTCTTGGTGGATGTGGTGGCCGCTGCAGACGGTGCTGGATTGGGTGCCGGGATGGCCGAGGCGGAACTGAGACCCTCGGTAGGGACACGTCGCTTGGGTGGAGGGGGTGCTGGCTCGGATGAGGAAGGTCCTCCAGCGGCGTCAGCTCCGCCCTCGCTGTCACCGTCCACATGGCGTGGTGGTGCTTTCGACTTCCGGTTCCCGCTCTTTTTGGGTTTATCCGCCACAGCAGGAGGAGCTGGAGCCGGTGCAGTAGTTGTGGCCTCTGGCACCTTGGGTTCCTCTTTCTTGATAGGTTCGGCGGCGGCGGTGGGCGGAGCAACTGGCTCCTCGGCGCCGGACAAATCGATGGGCGCCGAATCCTCGCCGCGCAGGGCGCTCTCAATCTGCTCGATGGCCTCGATGAACTTGGCCCGCTTCATGATCTTCTCGGTGGCGAATTTCTCCTTGTTGTCTGCATACGGGAAGAGATCCTCCACCTTGATGTTGGCCGTCTCCCCAGTTCCGTAAAAGTAAACATTATACTTCTTGTTGTTGTTAATCTTGGTTATCTTCGCCGGCCATGGCGGGTAACCTTTCACCTTGGCGAACACCAGGTCGCCAATGCTGTAGGATTTGGCAGCCTTTTCCTTGCCCATTTTAGTTTTCGTTTAGATTGATTGGATGCCGTGCAATTCCAATTGTTTTCACCCAAATTTTGTGGCGTCTGGGTACTCGTCTCGCGCTTTGCTCGCTGCCAGTGTGACCGAAGTGCAGGAAGACGGCGTTTTCGGGCTCCAATGTGCGTGCGGTGTGGCCAGTCCAGCCATTTACTACACTGTTCAACATTTTCGCGGTCTTGGTTTGTTATCAACCGTTATTAAATTGCAGAGGATTTTCAAAAATGATATAAGAAGAAATTCTAAAATATAATCTTTATAAAATTGTGATATATTGGTGATTTTTCAAAGTATTTTGGCTTAGATGCAAGCAATTCATATTGGTAAAATCAATAACATTAGTTCTTAGACTGCCCAATTTTTTATCAAATTTAAAGATAGTTTTTAAAATAATTTATTTTTTTCGTCGAGCAGTCTTAGTCCTCCCATCTATGTCCTTTATTTTCATACTCAAATAATTTTTAAAAATGTAATTTCGACTTATTCAATTGTTGGTCGATTATTAATTTGTCTTCATTGTTATTTAATTTATCTAGCTTTATAATATAGAATTGGTTCCTAAATTATTAATATTTCGTTTCTGTGTGTTCGTTATAAAGTTTTAACTTCAATTAATGTTTTAATTTGTATTGAGGTCCAAAATTTTTTTTTATCACTAAGTATATTTTATTTTATTAATTTTTTCTTAAATTATTTTCGGTCAGAGGTTCTCTGTGTATTAATACATGCATATTTACCTCTAAGCTATTGAGTAAATTTATCTTTATTATCTAAAACTTCTTACGACCAAAATTGTAAGTCTTTCGGTCAGGGTATAAAATTGGCAACATAGTTGTCAAGTATACGCAGTGTATCCGACTTACCACATAATTACAAACCGTAATTCATTCGTTGGCAATGCTCCCACAGGTGTAAGTTCGTTGGCAGCCGATTCCCACCTCGGCGCACCTACACAAAACACCTTTACGCACCAAGGGGCACAAACTCACCACATCAACGGAAAACATTTTTCGAAAGCATTTCGGTTCGCCGTCGCTCAGTCGTCGTTGGTTTGCCAAAAAGAATAGTATCTCGTTCTCCCCAGAATTCACAAAGAACTTCAGTTTGTTTACCAAATCGCCGGAGAGATCAAGGCGGAAAATAGTTTTCATTCGTGGCCTGGAATCCGAGGAATTTGTTTATTGCGGAGCGTAAATTCTTGATTAAGTGGCGCGAATTCTTGAGAACATAAACATGCAGGAGTTAATAGTCGGCGCCGGCGGAATCGGCGTTGTGTTGCAGAACGTCCCATATGTAAATGAGAATGTCGAGAACGAAAATCGCCAAAAGTGAGTCACCTGCACGCATATATATCCGTAGGTTCTTGCCTAATACAAATGTTTGCGGTCGCCATTTGAGCCCGTTTTTGTTAACGGCAAGAACCAAAGTGGCGCTATACTAACACATATAGTCAAGGTCGCGCTGATGTCACCTCAAGCGGACCTTTGTTGTTGCCTGACAATTGGATGGGGTCAATATCAAATTAATTAATTAATTTCGGCGCTCCATTCTAATTTAATGTACTTCCTATGTCATTATTTTAAATTATTTTTAGTATAGGATAACATAGTACATATATGCATAATAAGATGGTAGAGAAATAAAAGTATCATTCAACACCAATTTTTGAAAAAATATTTTCAAAACATTTAAAGCCTAGCTTATGCCAGAATAATTTTGTGCCCATGAAAATAAATAAAATCTAGCAATTGTTATAAGGCTACTAGACACATTTTGAAATAATTTTAAATCACTCAAGATTTCTGAATCGCCCGTTTATACTACACCGAAATATTTTTATATTTGTTTTAGATATTACTAACCTTAGGAATTGTCAATTAATATTTTAGAAAACGTTTGCAAAAAAAAAGTGTTTAATTTCAAAGAATTTATATAGTTAGTTAAATGTTATTAAGGCTAGAGCTCTTGAGGATTTACATTTTTAAATTGTTAATAAATAAAAAGGTAGATTTTTCTTCTGTATGCATTTGAATGGCCTATTTTCCAGCACACTACTTCAAAGTCCGATCCAAACATATGCACCCAATTTGGCCAGATGCGATCTTCAAATCTTATTTGTTTTTTGAACCAAATTCTATCCTGAATTCCAATGTATTTACATGTGGGCACATTTTGAGCATGGCCGTCTTTTTTGCCAATGTCCCATTTATTCAACGCGGAAATCATTTCAGCACTGTATGTTGTATATTGAAATGCAAAATTTATGAGGCTTAATTTAAATTATACTTGAGTTTTTCGGCGCATTCTTGGCATTCTTTATCGGAGGCCCTGACTCTGACAATTGAATTCAAGGACACCATAATTGCTAAAATGAAATTAGTCATTTATCATGGGGCAGACGGAGGTCTGTCTGCAGGTCTGTCAAAATTTTTGGCAGTCGAAAAATACAATTCATGTGGCCTCGAGGTAAAATTTAATATTTTCTCTCTGTCGAATTTTCGGTGGATTGCAATTTTTGGTTGCAAATTACAAGATATGCAAAAGAATGGCGAATTATATAAGCTTATAAGATCTGAGTATTTTTCCCAACCCATTAACCCAGTTCTCCCCAGAGCAATCATGTGATTGACAATGCAAAAACTAGCCCAGCGACAAGGTTTTCAGATTCATCCACTATATAGCAAACACATAAATAATGGTCATGGAATTCGAAAACATCTCAATTTGTTTTTGCTTTTATTTTTGCATACAGTGATAAAATAAAAAAACAAAATCCATAAAGGCGAGCGGTGTGAAATATTTTAATTTCACTTATTTTCAAATCAGAAAATTTTCGGCCGATGCCACTGGCTTGGTCTAGTGAAAGTGACCGATGATTAATTTTGGCGCCTTGCCAGCGGAATTTGTGATTATTATTTAATGACGACTCGAAGTCGCCGTAAACATATAATAAAACCAAAAAGAACATATTCTTTTGACACACAGAACATCGCAATACTCTAAAGTAGGTAATATTTTAAAGACTTTATTTGAATTTAAAGTAAATTAAAGTAATATCTGAATCAAAATTTCAATTGAAGTCATTTGAAGTCATCATACCGATTCATAATATTTTATACAAGAAGGATTTTTATTGGTGGATTTTTGTAACTTAAAATGAATCTTTAAAATATTCACATTTATGTAAGGGTATACATTCTTCGTAGTAAAAATACGTCGTGTGTTTAATTTTACATTTACATTCCTCAGTGGCAGGCACTTTTGGAGGGTGATGACAGAAGCGGGAAGGTGAAAAAGCGGGTTTTGGACACCTTCCATTTGATCTTTGATGAAGAGGGGGGATTTCGGGGGATTGGTCTGATGGATAGGGCGTACAAGAGCCAGATGGCAGTCCCAGGTTTCTATTTTATTTGTTAGAATGTTACCATATAGGAATGTTTCTTTATTAAAATAAAACGAATAATATGTTGACTGATCTATTTTAGTCTGCCGTCAAAATATCTTACACTATTATGACTAATCCCATTGTTTACTCTTTTGATAAATTATATATCAATTTATAATCCCATATAATTTTAAAGAAAATTAAAACATTTTTGTAAAAAGCCAGCTGGCTTTTTGAACAACGAGATCACTGACCTTTTTTGGCACCAAATGGATTTGGATGGGACTTCCATTGTACTTAAATTGTTGTTTAGTCAAACACTTTGAGTCTTAAATATTAAAGACGTTGTAGATAATATACCATTAAAATATAACTGATTTGTTTGTTTACGCATTCGCCAAATACCGTTATAGACCAATTCTATTTTCATTTCGAACACATTTATTATACACTCCGCAAAACTAATTATAAACAGAACATGTTGAGGTGTTCAGATAGAAATTTGCGTATATATGTATCTTAGCAATATGTTTATTGTTTGTGCCTACGCAGTGCAAAAAACCATGACGTCGCCTGATAAATACGTAGGTGCTGGGATGGGATCTGTTGGGATTGGATGGGATCTAATGGGGATGGAAATGGAATGGGGCTGGTCTCTGGGCGATGTTGTTTTAGTTTCCATTCACAAAATTACCCTAGCTGTTTCATGTTGAGATTGAGAGCTTTACCAGTACTACGCAAAAATACACAAATACCTGCCATTTGTTTATGGGTTATTTGTGTTTGGCTTAATACCAAATGTTCTCCTTTGTTCACATGAGAAATCTTATTTTATCGGTTTTTTCACCCTCTATTAATATATTTTGAATGCATCGCAGTATCCAGCCAAAAATTGTACGCAGTATTTTTACCAATAACACGGATTCGGTTTCATAACCAAAAGTTATACATATTTAGAATCGAACTATTACCTTTAGAAAATTGGATTGAAATTACCTGTTGCATAAACTTTTCAAATTTGTAATATTTAAGATTAGTAAAATTATGATTTTCAAATTACGTAACCTAGCTACACCAATAACCTTTAGTAGTAATGGATTAATATATTTAATATTGGATATGAAATAAGAATAACAAACATAACTTTTCATCCATCTGATTTACCCAATCAACAAAATAATTATAATTATATTTTTTCCATTGCTTATTTTCAGTAAGCTAAATGCACCCAAGGCAGAAGATAACACACCGTTTCCTGGTCTATCCCGACTCACTCCATCCCTGATCCTTTGTGGAGCGGCAGCGGTGGTGCCCACCTACATGGACAAACTGGGCGTAAGCTGCGTCATCAATGTGGCCCCCGAACTTCCCGACACACCACTGCCCAGTCAAAAGAATCCGCTGTATCTGCGAATCAACGCCCAGGATCGATCGGAGGTGGATTTGTCCAAGTATTTCGATGAGGTGGCCGACCTGATCGAGGAGGTGCGTCTCAGTGGAGGCTGCTCCCTGATTCACTGCGTGGCTGGGGTCAGCCGATCGGCCAGTTTGTGTCTAGCTTATTTGATGAAGCACGCGAGGATGAGTCTGCGCGAGGCCTACAAACATGTCCAGTCCATCAGGCCTCAGGTTCGTCCGAATTCCGGATTCTTCCAGCAGCTGAGGCGGTACGAACAGGAATTAAGGGGAAGCAGTTCGGTGTCTATGGTATACTTCGCATCGTTGGACAAGGAAATACCCGACATCTTAGAGCCGGAGTACAGGGCAATGGAGGACTTCTACCAGCGATACCGCAGTTCCTTAAAGAAGCGATAAATTCAGTCAACTCCATCTAATCTTACTTGTGATACTTGTCCCCTACTGCTAGACCTTAGATTAGATCTTAATATTCTATGTGCTTATAGATAACCATGAAATGCTGAAACTTACATAAGTCTGCCTAAGTCAAAGATGTATGCTTAAACTTCGTAATTACAAATACACTTTTATTTTCGTTTAAGAACATTGAATTTACAGCGTTAATTAATCAGTTTTAGTATCTTCAATGAATCACAAAGTCATAAGAGAACAAACAACACACTTGTATTATATTGTACATAATCTATTATTATTTACACGTACTCGTATAGTAGCTAACTAAACCGTAACTCGTAAATGCTCACGTTGTATTGTACTTGCGCCAAGCTATACAAAAACTTTGGCATCCGCGGGGCAAACTGAATTGATATACAGATATGAGGAGGAGGAGAAATCCCCCGCTTAGGATGTGTATATGTACATTAACACCTAGAATTCAGCATCTCAACACAAGCGACTTAGACGAGACTTAAACCGAATGAAATAATTGGCTAGCTAAAAGGCAGAAGTAACCGTTTGTGTACAATCAGCTAATTTAACTCTAATACCGAACCGCCGTTGGTACTTCCCATTTAGTCCGTCGTTAGCGGCAACTGGGGCTGCTGCTGCATCAGTTTTTTGAGGTTCTCGTAGGCCGTATTCATGATGCCCCAGCTGATAAAGGAGCGGCCTGTGTTGAAGGCGCATCCGCGATAGAAGTTCGCGATGCGGCAGTCGCGCTCAATGTAAATTCGTTTGCACGCCTGCCAACTGCCCTCTGACCTCTGTCCCATTTCACTCTGCAGCGACACCTTGATCACGTTGAGCGGATAGAAGATTGTGCTAATGCTCGCTCCAATCACCGCGCCCGCTATAAACTCCTGGGCCGTGCGGGTGGACACGGATTTCTGTGGGATATTTAAAGTTATTTAGGGGCTTCTGCAAAACTCGGGACACGGGATACTCACTCTCTTGGGCAGACTAGAGCTGGCCTCCTCCCGCAGCACGAAGAACAACGCGTTGGACAAGCCGTTGCGCCAAAATACTGGTTCAAGTCCCCTGTAGAGCTCCCGATAGCCATGGTGGGCCACCACATACCTGCGGGATGATAAAGTATTGTAAATGTGGGTATTTGCCAGTGGTCCCTGACATGCGGACATTTCCTTTTAATATATGGCACTTTATTTAAAAAAAAAGGCGTAAGCGTTACTATTTAATATTTTAAATCAAATTAATCTTTATGGTTATTGTTTTGAATACGAAAGGAAACATATACATGTCATATATGATTCATTAATGCGAAGACTAATTTTTGCATGGTGACTGGTGGCATAAAAACGTTTGCTTATCAGAATACTTTGCTGCACTAATGGAAATACAATTTAAGTACTTTAAGGTTCTGTCTCTTGAATCAAGTGATTATATTTTTCATGGTAATTGGATCAATAAACAATTGTATAATTTGAAACCAAAATAAGGCCACATGTAGAAAAAATTCAAAATAACACTAATTTTAATTGCCAACAAAAACTGGATCCACTTGGGAGATATAATGTAGCTACTTAAAGTTAAATCTTATCTTTGTTATGCCCTTGCAAATCTGAACTTAGTTCAGCACACAAGACTGAGATTTTTTATATAAAACATTTGGTTGCCAAGGCCTCTATTAGGAACCGTAGTTATGTTACCATTGTATGACCTATGGATGTGCAAAACCAGTGCTCACCTGAATGCGTTTGGAGTATTGGCGAAGTGCTGGTGGAACTTTGAGTCGGCCAGCAGGGTTTGCACCCGTTCGAAGGGCAGGAGGATGGACTCGGCGCTGCCGGCAACTACTCCGGCGATCACCTTGGCTCCATAGTCGTTTAGGGAGTAGTCCTCCACCAAGTACCTTCTCGTTCCATCGAACACCCCAAACATGATGGACAGGGAGATGGTCTTCTGGGCGAGTGGTGGAAGCATTCCGCGGTACAGGAAGCCCAGTCCCTCCTCGCGCAGTTGCCCAAAGGCCGAGGTGATGGGCACCCCGTGGAGCATTTGGCGGAAGATCATCTTGTAGATGGGATATGTGGCCGCGATGTTGACGAACGCAGCTCCGCAGCCGCAGGCGAACTCCTCCCACTGGAAGGCCCCAAAGAACCGATCTGAGAATACGCTAGCATGTCGCGATTTTGCTGTGTCAGGGATTTTTCCAGATGGAATTTTGTTTGGGGGCGGTGGGTCGGTGGTTTTCGCGACATTCGGTACTCCATCGTCTTTCATTTTGTTATTATCCTAACTTTAATGCTGTTGTGTGGAGAAGTGCGCATTTGTCACCGCGTTACCATTGTAACTACTCACACACTGGGTTTGTGCTGGTTTGTTTTGATTCACATCGAGTTTAATTATATAATAATGAAGAAGAACCACGGTATGACGGCGGCCACCAGTGTGACTGCAGCTCGACTAGTGAGACATACCAAAGGACTCAGTTAAACTATTTACTGTTATAAAAATTACCTTAAATGAAGTGATTATTTTAAATATGTACCCTAGTTTTAATAAGTTTTTGCTTACATATTTAATATAAGTTTTGGTTTTAGATGTTCTTGGTTTAATGCTTGCTATTATAATTGTAACACAGCAACGAGGACTAAAATAAATGTTTTCCAAAACAAAATTAAAAACGAAAAAAATGATTACAACAAATAATTTGGGTTTTTTGGTTAGCTAGATAATTGAAAAAGCCTTCAAGAGAACTGAAATTGAAGAGATCACGAATCAACATAAACCAAATTGTACGTTATTTAAGTGAAAAACATAATCCTAACAGTGCGCTTAACAGCACGCTAAGATCGCGTTATCAGCACTGGCGGGCCTAAATTTAACCCCTTTTGTGCACAAGATGCAGTCACACTTTCTTTTCGCTTCTGGTTTCCGGCAAGGTATGTACATGAATTTCGATCCACGTGTATTTTAATAACTTTTTAGCCATAATTCTTAATTTTAGCAGTGTTAAGTTCAACTGAGTTGGTCCGTGTGCTGTTTGCAAATTAGCGGTTCGTATTTTGCCCAAAATTGGACTATTTCCTGTAAATCTCTGAAGATTAGCTACTGTTTGTGTTGAAAATCCAAAAGGAAAGAGACCGGAAATTCTCTGGATAAAGCGGGAATCTAACTAAAAAGCCACCCCAACTTTGTTGACTTGCGCTGCATTGAGAAAACCTACATATTATGTGATGATTAGTGATTAAACCTATTTGTTAACATGTGTTTATTTAAGGCAAGTGAACTAAAAAGTGTTTTTATTGTGCACTTTCAGCATCAAGATGACCATCCGCCCAGCGTACAGGCCCAAGATCGTGAAGAAGCGCACTAAGCACTTCATCCGCCACCAGTCGGATCGTTATGCTAAGCTGTCGGTAAGTTGGATTAAAAACGAATATACCCCAAAACGGATCTTATAGATTCATTTCCTTGTAGCACAAATGGCGCAAGCCCAAGGGTATCGACAACAGAGTGCGTCGCCGCTTCAAGGGACAGTATCTGATGCCCAACATCGGTTACGGATCGAACAAGCTCACCCGCCACATGCTGCCCACCGGATTCAAGAAGTTCCTGGTGCACAATGTGCGCGAGCTGGAGGTCCTGCTCATGCAGAACCGCGTCTACTGCGGCGAGATTGCTCACGGAGTGTCCTCCAAGAAGCGCAAGGAGATCGTTGAGCGCGCCAAGCAGCTGTCGATCCGCCTCACCAACCCCAACGGTCGCCTGCGTTCTCAAGAGAACGAGTAAGCTTAAGATTCTTGCGAGTTTTTATAACGTGGTCGGAATACAAATTTGAAAACGTTCAAAGCGGTCTTTTAGTTAAATCTGTTGTTTCCAGATTGGGATTATTAGTGATTATCTAGTGATTTGGTGGAGTGTGGAATGGATTTAGTTGATTATTGAAACCACTGTCTTCAGTTTTCAGGTATTTCAGATGCCTTTTTGTATTCAGTTAAATCCGATTGGTTATTGTGTAAATAATGGATTAACAACCGATATGATATAGGGCAAGGATCGTTTTTGTGTATAACCATCACCAGTAGCTTTTAGGATACCTTTTTTTATCATGTAGATTATGTTCTTCGGATATAATTGCATACCGTTTTCTAATAATTGTACTATATCCATTCTTTTTGGGTGATATTTATTTTTAAAATGCTTTACAAGTTCTACCCTTAATAGGAAATAATTACAAATAAATTTAGTACAGCTTAATTCAGTTATCTTCTGCAATATAAATTGTGCTAAGATTAATGACAGACACATTGATTTGTTTAATACATAAAATATGTAAATGAAAAACTAGAACCCAATATTTTTACTTGTCGGTTAATCCCCCTGAAGATTTTAACAAAAAATTCAAATTCAATTATCGCGGTCGAATATTTTAAGTCTGAAGTTAAGTAAAGCGGTGATTGAAGTTAATTAAACCAAAATGGTAAAAGACCGACTTCGAATACCAGTAAAATATATTCAAGTACAAAGAAAAGGAAATAAACTAGGGAGATATAATTACTTATTGTGTAGGTAATGGTAGATTATTTCAAGACTACGTCGTGATCAAATTGCAAATGGTGTTCGAGTTCCTTCTTGTTCTCGAAGTTAGTGTTGCATATGAGGCAGAAGCCGCTGTTCTCATCGTTGTCGGACATTATGACGGTGACGGCCGCCTCCGATTCGTCGACATCTACGTGCAGCTCCTCGACCACCTGCTGCTCGTCGGCAGGCGCTTCTTCCCGCACGCCGTAAACCACATCGCCCTCATGGGTCTTCATGTGCATCTTGAGGGTGTAGCGCTCGGTGAATGACTTAGGGCACACGGAGCAATAGTGCCTTGGCCGATTCTCCTTGTGGATGAGCGTGTGATGGTTGAAGGTCTTGCGCGACTTGAAAGACACATTGCATATGCTGCAGATGATGGGATTCTCCTCGGCCTCATGCCGCAGCCGATGGTTGTAGAGCAGGTTGTCCTGCGAGAACCGCAGGCCGCACTTCTCGCACTGGTACTTCTTTTTGTCCCAGTGCATGCGCATGTGGCGCAGGGTGTTCACCGGGCGCGAGAAGCTCTTGGGGCAGTAGCGGCACTGCTTCTCCGTCTTTCCCTCGTGCAGGTTCATGTGCAGCTCTAGGTACTCCTCGTCGCGTCGAATAACTCCACAAATAGGACAGATGTGGTTGGGCTGCTTGGAGTGCTCTTCGCTGGTGTGCTTCTGGAGCTGATACCAGGAGTTGTAGACTTTGCCGCAAGTGGCGCACTCCTGTTTGACGCGTTTCTTCATCGGCCTGTCCTCGCCATCTGAGGACTTGCCGAATTGGCCCTCGGAGTCGGCCACCTCCACCTCGCAGACAAACTCCTCATCATCTTCATCGTCTTCCTCGTCTTCGTACTCCCTTTTTATGTCCGTATCCGAGTCCTCCTGATCCTTAACGAGCTCCACAAACAGGGCCTCTGCCTCGGCATCGGCATCTGTTTCAGTGTCGCTTTGGGGAACCTCCACCTCCTCCACCAGGAGGTCTTCCGCCGATTCTGGCACTTCAAACTCGGATTTTAGGGCGCCTTTTAGCTGATTTGTGAGCCGCTTTTGGGTGGTCATCAGGTTTACCATGATGGTGTCGTACTCGGACAGCTCCAAGAAGCACCGTGGGCACAGGCGGGCACTGGGCTTCAGGTCCAACGACGTCTGGATGCAGTTGGCCAGGTGGGTGAGCACCAAAGACACTGTTTTCTGCGACGAGGGCACTTTGGCCGACAGCTTCTCGTAGCGCGTGGAACTCGAACTGGAGGAGCCCGCGTCGCTCAGCTCGACGGCACCGCAAAAGAAGCAGGTGTCCATTGTATCCCGGATCCCGATCGAGCGGCTTATTGTTTACAATACCGGAGAGGAGACGGTCAATTGTGTATTAAATTTAATAGAGTTGGCAAAACGAATGAATATCGGAAGCTATACTAAAACGCGTTAAATGCAACCATGGCATCAGTGCGACCAGGGATGGCGAGAAAGCAAAAAAAGATGCTTATGTGGGAATGGAGGGAGTGGAACAGGGGGGAAAATAGAAAATGAAATTTAAATATAATTTATCGAATTTATATAATTTGAATAATTAATTTTTGATTTCAAGAAAACCTCTATAAATCTTAAGTTCACAAGTTGTATTTTTGATAATGATATTTTAAAATGATCCTCGCTGTTGTACTAACTCTTTTTAAACGACAAATGTTTAATTTCTTGTATGTTATTTTTATTGTAAAATGATTTTAAAAATTCTAATTAATATTATAATTATATATAGTTATATATATATATTACTCTCTTTTATTGACGTACTTATTTAGAATATTGGTCATGATCAGTATAATCTAGAGAAATCAGTAATCTGAAAACTTGTAGAAAATCTCTATCAATGTTTTTAAATTTTGAGAAAAACTTCAAATTAATGAAGCAGTTACAAATTTAAAGATTATCTTTATTTAATGACATACTTATTTTATAATATGATTTGTCAAGTTTAATTTAATCTGAGAATTTCGGTGATCTGAAAGCTTATAAGATCGCTATCATTATTAAGGGATTCGACAAATGTGTCCTGCGGGCCAAAAACTGAGCAATTTCCGCTCTGTTTTACGAAGGATCGGTGTCTTTTAGATACGGATCGACTGTTTCGTACAAAAGTTCGGGTGACATTGCAAGGAATCTGACCTTGAGTGACGACTGAACAGTCAGGTTCCAGGTTATCCTTGCTTATCAAGTCCCTTAGCTTGGCCAGAACGGAGTACAGTATCTTAAGACGTTTCACGACGCGCTTGGGGTCCACCGAAATGTCCAGGCTAACCACGGCCTGGCACTCCCGCAGGATTAGGATGAGATCCTTGTGGACCCGCTTGCCATCTTCACTGAGACCCTGAATAATTAACCGGCAACCGGAAGTGCTCAACCAAAACACAGCCCCTCTGGACAATCACCATTAGATGACTCTTCTCCTGAACTTGGATACTTTTACCCAGCATATCCAGATAGTTGTTGATCAGGGAGCAACTGTCAATGATTTCGTGAATGACGTTCCGAAAGATCAGCAGCTCCTGGTTGAAATGTTCCTGCAGGATGTCCGCGTGGTGTGAGAATGAAACGGACTCTGGTAACTGAAGAGCTGGGACGATACAGGCATCCAGGGATTCCAAGGAAGCCAGGCAGCTCCTCACAATGGTCTTGGTCTTGATGTCTTGCGAAAAGGCTATGGCCAGCACCCCAATCTGCTGAATGCGATCCATGTTGATGTCGAAAGTGGAGATTAATTCCTGAGCACCTTCAGGATCCTTTTGCAAGTCTTCCTTCAACCTTTCGACAGAAGTATTATCCAGCTCTATTAAACTGACGAAGAGCAGGTGTAGCAGTGCCTCATTTAGGAAGGATTCCAAGGCATACAGCGCCCGTTCCAGGGAGAGGGCCTCAAGCTTACGATGACCACTGTTGGGATCTCCCGACTCCTCATGGAAGGTGGCACATTCGCTGAGTAACGTCTCACACAGAGCAGTTAAGGCCTTCTTGTCCGATTTAATCGCCACATTGGCAAAGGCCAGGGCGTGGCGTACTATGTGATTCACTATGCTGGCCAACTGGTAGCTGTCCTCCGTGAAGCTCTCCTCAAGAATGTGCAGCGAGTTATTGCTCCGCTGAGCCAGCTTCTCCATGTAATCATCCAGGTGGTCCAGAGCCAGATCCATTAGCTCCACAAACGAGTGATCCTCCAGGTTCTTGGCTGTGGCTACGTTGGTTTCCAGTTGCGTCAAGGATATGAGCAGTCGGCGGAGACACCAGTCCAAGCGATCGAGAAAGTGCTGCCTGGTCATCTGCGGCGCCTCAATATTGATGGCCCGCTCCAAATGGGTGATACAGGTGACCACCTGAGTGAGGCAGAGAAAGATGGTCTCCACATCCAAGTTGGCGCCGCTGGGAGCAACTTCCGGCAGTCTGGCCTTTAAATCGCTGGCAAAGTCAAGAAAGGTGGCGCAGAACTCGTTTAACCAGCCAATGTTGCCCGTGCTGCTGTAACCTTCTGCAATCAGCTCACTGCAAGTATTCAACTGAAACAATAATGACTCCATATTCTTAAGTATGTGGGCTGTTGAAGCGGAAATGTTCGACTAAGTACTGCCAAGCGGTGGTATGCCTTTAAATATGCAACACTAACAGGTAGAAAGGACCTCTTCAGGGGATTTAGGAAACATCTGCCTACTTTATTACCTTAGCCAGCAAAAATCCGCGAATTCCGTCAAAATACGCGATTTTACCTGATTGGGTTCTTGGAAAACAGGCAAAGAACTGGTATTTCCATCAATGATTGTTTAGATTTAATATTATGATACATACGCGCACTTATGTACCCATAAGCTGGGCTACTTAGATTAAACTAGCAAAGGACTACCCTAAAAGAACGCTGTGGTGGATTCCTTGGCCTCCTCCGTCTCCTGTTTCTCGACCGGCTGGTGGACGCGCTTGTGCACCTTCAGGGTGTACTTGTCAACGAAGGACTTCTCGCAGTCGGGACATGGATAGCGTGGCCTATCCGTTTGGTGGGTGCGCAGATGGTGCTTGTAGGTGCGTTTCGTCTTGAACTGCTGATGACACACCTCACAGATCAGGGCGTTCTCCTCGGCGTCGTGGCGCATCAGATGGTTGTACATGAGCCAAGAAAGCGAGAACCGCTCGCCGCACTTGTCGCACTGGTACTTCTTTTTGTCCCAGTGCACTTCCATGTGGCGCAGGACATTCCGCTTGTGGGAGAACTTCTTTTCACAGTAGCGGCACTCCAGTTCGGTCTTGCCCTCGTGCAGGTTCATGTGCAGATCGAGGACCTCATCGTCCTTGACCTTCAGGCCACACACGTTGCAGGTGGCGTGCTCGTTCTTCTGGCAATTGTCCGCCTTGATGTGCCGCTCGAGAACCTCCTGGCTGGAGAACATCTCGCCGCAGATGTGGCAGGGTATCTCGGTTGTTTCGGTGAAGAACTCCTCCTCGGAGGAGGGCATGCTGTCATCCGGCTCGCTGAAGCGGAAGTCTTCGTCCAGCATCTCCTCCTTCATGTATTCCTCTTCCTCCTCCACTTCCTGTTTCGAGGGCTGCAGCGTAGGCTCCTTCAGCGAGGAGGCATGGATAATCGTAAAGGCCGGCACTTGGACCTTGGCTCTCTTCGCCGCCTGTTGCTTGGCCTCCGGTTTGCCCTCCACCTGCCGGCAACCCAACAATGCATCCGCAATCTGGCGCTGCACCTGGCTGAGATTCCGCACCAGTCTGTCGTAGTTGAACAGGTACTCCAGGCAATCCCGGCAGGCGGCCGAGTTGGGCGAGAGCTCCAGGCGCTGGTTAATGATCTTTTCGAAGTATTTTAGGATATCCTTGATGGGCTTAAAGGTTCCTGGCACTATGCAGCCTGCAAAAGGTCGGCTATTAGGTTTTTCTAACTGGCGAGCAGCAATCCGTACCTTCTATTAACTGGAACACGCCCACGGACTTCTCCTTTCCGCAAACGAAGCAAAACGGACGCGTTCCGCTCATATCGTCGCTTTCAATCCAAAAAAATCGGCTTTAACAATTTAATTTGTGTATATTTTGTTGTAAACGCAAAGTTGCATTGGTGTTGGTTGTAAATCAGTGTGACCAAGTGAGGCTGATGCCAATAGGATAAAGTGGCCAATGGTCACCTTGGAAGGATTCGAGCTGGTCACACTGACAATAAAACGAGCATTTTTGGAAAAATTGACGGTTGGTAAGACACAAATTGCTATTTTTAAGTACTTTTCCGAAATGAATCGTGTTCGATTGTTCTCCAAAGGACTACGACTGATACACAAAATGTCCGAGGAAACACTTGCAGGAGTGCCATCGGTGCACATCAGCCCAGAGGGCATCTTTAAATACATCCTGATCAATGTCACCGATAGCGGCGATGCCTCCAAGGCGGTGGTTCGAGGTTTCTCGGATTGCGAGTGGCATGGTAGGGCGATTCTTCAATTCCTTAAAAATTATTAATCCTGAAACCCTTCTTCTAGCCGACATCTTCGATCGTGAGGAGAAGGTCTTCAAAAAGCTGGGACTTCGGGCCGAATGTCCAGGTGGCGGACGCATAGAGCACAATCCCGAGAAGAAGTACCTGAAGGTGTACGGATACTCACAGGTGGGCTTATTTGAAAGATTACAAAATCCGTAGCAAACAAATAATGGGCGCAAACTAATATTGTTAGTTTGTGAATTCCATTACATGACTCCCCATAGAAATTTCCCTTCCTCAAAGTGAGAACTCTGGGTACTTCAGAATTGTATAATCTTTTGATTTGCAATTGTAATCTGCCCCTCTGAAATAACTCATATGTAAATTGATTTAGGTTCGCAAATATAAGTACATGATTGTTTTAGACAGTTTGCTAACACGATCTTCTATTTTAGGGCTTTGGAAAAGCGGATCACGCTCAGTCCAAACGAATCCTGGCTACCAAATACCCGGATTATACAATCGAAATATCGGATGATGGATATTAGCTGTCATCAGATGGAGGACACAAACTCTATATCCTAAAAAAGAAAACTACCTATTGGCTATGGTCCCATGTGCCATGATTTTTATGAAAATGGCATTTCCAATTTAAAAATATACCTTAAAAAACAGTTGTTCAGTAGCTGTGCAGCTGCTCATACTAAACCTTTTTGGATCTAAATTATTTAAATTGTATAAGTATTAAACTTCTATACCCTTTGGAGAAATAAAATGAAATTGCTTAAGTCGTTGAGTTTGCTTCCACGATGTGTTTCGCCGTTGCGTAAGCTATAAATCCAAGTTATGTATATAAGAAAACAAATATAACTAGTTCTAACATAGAAAAATGTTATTCGACCGATTTGATCAGCTTGGTAGGAATTCCCAGGGTTAAGATAGCAAAAGGTGAGAATCGTTATTTGTTAGTGATGATCCATACCCATGGATTCACTAATTTTGGAAGGGTTATCGTCCGAGGAGCTAATGTCGACAATCACTGTAAGTATTGGATGCTGGTATTATATTTTATATATATATATATTTACATAAGCTTAATTTCAGTGGAAATTTTTGATTCAATATTGGAGGAGATGGAACCACAGGGAATATGTTCAAAATGCCTTGGAGGAGGAAGGATTCTTAACGAAGATGACAAAAAGAAGATCAAGATATATGGCACATCTAGAGTAAGTAGAATCTACTGAGTTCCTAGAACAGCTGACTAACTCAATTGTATCCTCAGACATTTGGTGGTGCTGATCACAAACGGACTAGAAATATACTGCAATCGTGGACGACATACAAGGATTTCAAGATCTCCGTTAAGAAATAACGTTGCATTGGAAATGTTAATTTAATTAAAATGAAAATTGCACAGGAAAAATTAATTTCTTGTTCTTTATTTAGACATATTTTAAAATACCAAAATTATATTGGGTCCAATCTTTATACTCTTTTTGCTAATAAAGAGTTTAAAAGTTGTTAGCCAAGATTGCATGTTTATTTGCCAAATCGTAAAGAGAACTATTGTTACTAGGTATAAGTGTTATTTACCTGCTCTTGTTTTGGATAACTTTTGTTAAAAGCTTGTGGCTGCCCAAAAAGCAACTTCAGATTAATCAAATGTGCTCCGATTGTTGTGTCAAAACTTAATTAACATTCGCCTTCAATGTTTTGTACAATAACAGTCTTTGTAGAGCCGTGCTGCAGTTCAGACCCAAACTTTTTCGGAACACTTTATCAAAATTCTTAAAAATTTCCCAAAATGAAAAATTTAAACCTTTTGGCTCCCATTTCGCACTTCGTAAAGCCACTTCGAAGGCAAAGTGTTTCGCGTGTTAACGCTCTTTTAATAAATGTTCCAAGAGTTCAGATTTCTCAAGGAAAAAATAATTACCTCCTGATGGTGATCCACATGCACGGTTTAACAAGGTTCGGTAGAACTATCGTTCGAGGATCGGACACCAAGGATCACGGTTAGTTTGGTTATTTTCTAACAAGTGAACATTTTTTAATTACACTGCTTATAGAGACAATTTTTGAAGAAACAAAAGAGGAAATGGACGAAATTGGCATATGTACAAAATGCCTGGGTGGAGGGTTCATCAAAAACAAGGAAGAAAAGAAATTCATCAAAATTTATGGTTGCTGCAAGGTAAGTGGATAGTATTTCTTTTGATAGAGCTGATAATCATAGACTGCCTATAGACCTTTGGAGAAGCGCCCCACGGCAGGACAAAGGACATATTGCTGTCGTGGACCAAATATCAACACTTTAATATCATCTTGCCCAAAAAAAATTTAAATGCGTATGAAGAATAAATTGGAAATAAGGAAGGCTTTTAAAATTTGTATTTGATTTCATTGGTACGCTTTATAAGCTAATAAATAATAAAAGCAATAATAAAATAATTTAACAATCTTGATTTAAAATGAAATGCTTGAAAATTTGTTTAAAAATCTCCGGTAGATATTTAAATTCAAAATTCAACCGAATAATGGAACGGAACCAGTTCGATTCCTTAACTGACAGCAGCAGATGGGCAGCCCCCGTATCCGTCGCCTCGCACGGTCACACTGGCCAAGATATTTTGTAAATAAATTTCAGCCGAGAGTCTTCGAAAATGAATTGTTGCATTTGCCAGTTTTCTGTGCGCGTGCCCAAGAATATTCACACGGAAACCGTTGGTCATCCGCCGGTGCTGATCAGCGATCTCGTCCTGCAATGCACGAGGGGCACGGACTACGTCCTCGCAGAGGAATCCTCTACGATCTGCAAGAAGTGCTGCGAGAAGCTAACGAGATACCACAAGTCCCTTCAGATTGCACGTAAACTGCGCCAGGAGATCCTGGAGCTGATTCACAGTCCCTACATGTCTAAGGACTTCAGGCAGTCACCGCTGAAGGATGAGGAAGTCGACAGAGAGAGAATAGCAAAGTTTGATGGGAATATTGAGGTGGCAGAGGATCAGGAAGATGAGGAGGAGCAACTAGAGGATATAGACAACCCTGCGGAGGCCGTCACCCTGGTGGATCCTTCTTCCATCGAGGAGGAGGTCGCCGAGGAGGAGCACACCTTTATCATTAAAGAATCCGAGGAGGATGACGAGTACCAATCCGTGGACCTAGAGCTGGATATCGACAACGAGATCATCATAAACGAGGAGGAAGCCAACGAAGAGGAGGATCTTGTGTCGCATGCCAAGCATGAAGCCCACGAAGCCGACTTCTTCAAGGAGGACACCATGAGCGACTTTGACGACCATCTAGATGGTACCATAGAATACATTATATCCGATGGCGACGACCAGGAGCAGGATCAGGACAGCTCCGGCGACTACACGGTCAATATTCAGTGTCCCAGCTGCCCGGAGAAGTTCACCAGCCGGCGGGCCTACAATGCCCACACAAAACGCGAGCACTTTCCGGGATATGTCTGTGATCAGTGCGGCAAGACACTGCAGTCGTACTCTGGATTCATAGGTCACCTCCAGAACCATGAGCCGGTCAAGCAGTTCGCCTGTCCCGTTTGCCCGGAGCGGTTTAGCCGCAAGTTCCGGCTGAAGCACCACATGGCCTGGCACACCGGAGAAACGCCCTATCAGTGTGAGGTCTGCTCCAAGCGATTCGTTCACAAGGTGGCCCTGTACAAGCACAAGATGATCCACGACAATGAGACAAAGCGGCTGGAGTGCCAGGTGTGCGGCTTCAAGACCCGAACCAAGGCGCACCTGGAGCGGCACATGCGATCCCACACGGGCGACAAGCCCTTTGCCTGTCCGGTGTGCAACAAACGCTTCTCCCAGATGTACAACATGAAGGCCCATCTCCGGGAGCACGAAAGTCCCGGAACGAATCGCCATCGCCGCTTCCACTGCCCCAAGTGCACGCACACGTTCATCAACGAGCAGAACTACGTGTCCCATGTTCAGAGGGACGACTGCACGGCAGTTTAGCCCTCAATCGAATATATATAGTAGATAATTTCATAAGAATTAAACCCGACCAGACCCCAGCAGAATTATCTTCATCGTGATCACCACCCAGCCAAATGAAATCGAATCATTTGGTACATTACGTTCTATCCATGTACTTTTTTATTAAATCTATATGCATTTTGCTCACAAATAAAATATGTTTGATATAATAAATTTATCCGTTATTTGCATATTTCTGCGGTTATTTCAGTTTTCTTAAAAAAATATGTATAGTATGTGTATGCATTAACTTATTTAAATAAATCAATCGATCGATGTCGTCCGTTTCGGCCGATGGCCTCCAATATGATAGATATAGCCAATATTGGTCACTGCTGGACTGATCGAACCAAAAATGAAATGTGCCTAATGGTAGATCGGTAGATGCAATTGACGCAATTACAATACATTGTATAAATACATAAATGTTAAGTGTGTATGCTGTGTTATAGATTATACAAAAATAAAACAGATTATCTTTTGATTTTTGTCGAGTTTAGAATAGAACTTTGTTAATATCATCATATCATCATAAAATGCACATTACAAAAATATTAACAAAATTTATTGCAGGCAGTCCGTAGTTAGTATAAAGTAACAAACAAATCCCAATCGAGGTAAACCCATAAATCTTCTTAATAAATTGATTTTGTGCAGTTTTCCTAATAATCTCAGCCCCCGGTTGCGGGACTAAAACGCTTTTCGGACTCTTAATGTACGGCCTCCAAGGTGTCAACATAAAGAGGATGCTTTCCTGCTGCTCTAGTAGCTCCCAAATTTCGTTATGGATTTACAAATTTAGAACCACCCTTCGGTGGCCGGTGAATAGCTCAGTTTTTGTTGTACAGAAAAATACATTGCCCCGCAGAGAGTAGTTTGTGATGCTTACAAAAGCCGGTCGCACGTACAGATATAGCTTTTGATTTGTCGGAAATAGCTTCTCCAGTTTGCTAGCTCTAAGATGCGTACACTTGGTGCGTTCGTTATCGTTAATCGTACTTTACCGAGTGTATCAGTGCACCAAGTCACACTCACTATTTATCTTAATACAAAATCTACGCTAAATGCTTATATATTAATCGGATGGCTTGACAAGACCCATCGCTTTGTCTCCGAATAGGGGCAGTATGTCGGAGTCGTTAACAATCTCTTCCTGAATCACTGGACTGTCCGGGTCCTCGCAATGCGTCTTGAAGAAGAATCTGTGGAATCGAAAATGAATTAAGAACTGAGAGTCTCTAAAATTGATAAGTAAACATTACCTAAAGTGACCTCTTCTGGGCAGATAGTCCTTGAACTGACGCAGGGTTGGCTGAGTACCGGGTATTTTTATTCTGTACGGCACTGGCTCCTCGCAGAACGAAAACACCACAATCGTCTCCGGCGGCTTGGCCGGCAGAGGCGGTGGCGCCGCCGTGCTCTGGAGCTGGTGCTGGTGGGGCAGGCTGATGCTGCCGCCACTGCTGCTGCTGCTAAAAGAGGCCAGTGGCAGTTGCGACAGGTGCTGCATCGGCGGTTGGGCGTTTCGACGAGAGCGCCGCGGCTCGTCTTCCAGTCTTCGTTTCGCCTCCTCCAGTTTCGAGGCCGTGCTAGAGCCAGATCGAGAGCTTTAAGTTAGCAGAGTTTGTGGGTTAGTTGGGGTTAGTATAAAAGCCATTTTGACCTACCTTGCATCTTTGTACTTGGTAACAGTGTCGGCCGAGAACATGCTTATGCCACTGTCAGTGTTCATGGAAGGCCATTTGTTTGTCAACTTCCTCGAGCAGGAACTGTGATCCGGCATGGACTTCGAGTGCTTCATGGAGTGCCCGCCTGTGAATTAATTCGTGTTTAGACTACCAGTACTTTCGTTGGTTTTACTATCCATACTTAGACTTATGGCGCCATCGCTGACCATTCCCGAGTCGTGGGTGGCTGTGCGTCGGCGCGACGGAATGGGTGGGCAGGGCGACATCGTTCCCGGCGAGCGGTGCGGCGTTTGGTCCTTCCACACCCGCGACACATGCTGGTCCAGAATATCTTGGTCGTTGTCTTCGTCCAGTGCGAACTTCTCCCGTATCGCCTCGGCGAAGGCCCGATCGCTGGCACTGGATCTTTCGTTGGTCAGCAGCGGAGCCCCCGGATTTCTCTGTGATAAGGAATATTTAATGGAAGGTTCTGCAGTCAAATCTTAGCCAAGTCCTACCTCGCGTGCTCTTTCCTCCAGGTCTCGCTTTCGCTTTACTTCCTCCAACTTGGGTATCAGCAGAGCGACCAGCTCGTCCTCCTTTAGCGGTCTGTGCTCGTTCGAATGTAGTCGTTGTGTGCGAGGTATAACCTGTTTTTGAGAAAAATTTTCATGGTAATAAGTGGAAATAAGATAGTATGTTTTAAACACGAGTGGTAATCACGTCGAAGAGACCTTTTCCATCATCTTATCTTTATTTACCTGAAAGGTGTTGGTCTCCTTGTTCGCCATCGCGCTCTGACGAATCGCCTTGCTCTCCGTGGAGCTGTGTCTGCGTTGTATGTACGGGCGACCGTCCCTGAAACGAGAAATCATAAGTCAGACGCGTTGTTGTTGCGACGATTTTTTGTTCCGTGTTTGAAGTATTCATCTCTTCAGGATCTCTTCAGGGCAGACCACTTGCTTTGACGCCGCTACTCACATGGAACAGCTGGAGATCGACATGGTGTCGGAGTCGGTGCGTCCGCCGGAGCTAACGCTGCCCCTTTCCGAATCTACCCGCGAATTCGGCACATAGGAGGTGTTGGTAGTGCTTGGATTGTACACATAACCGTGGGCACTACTCGCATGCAGATCGGACCATGAACAGGAACAGGACCAGGACATATAGTTTCCATGCAATGGCGCCCAATCGTGTGATTGTGTTTATGTGAGTGCGGGAATCGTCAAGATCCACAAACAAAAATGTTCAAACAAAAAGGTAAACATAATGTATATATTCATCGAGTCAGTAGTGTAACGGTAAACATATGTACATTGCATATGCGGGTGGTGTTTTGAGGTCCAATGAGTATTGTGGGGCATATATTCGGTATATATAGTATGCAGGTGGGTTCGTGTTTTTTGGCGTGCGTGTTTTTGTGAGCGTTCATGTACATAATATGTAAAAAGTAAAAGAAACAAAGATAACAAATTAGGAGTTAATCACAAAAAATTATCATCACTAAAGAAAAACTTAAGACAAACATAAGAGTGTGGTGGATCCCGTCTGGTGTCAAAATGTTGGTGGTATTTACTATTTTAGCCGCGAGTTCTAAATACTAAAGTTGCAGTCAGAATAATAACAGACGTAATTAAATTAGTTTGATTCTCATAGCTTTTTTCGTCCTTTTTGGTATAGCAAGTTATAAGATAATATTGTACTCAAATAAAAATTGTACTTTTTTAGACAAAAGGAAGGATAATATAACAATCATAATTTGTTTTTATTTTGACCGCAACTGATTCAAAATATATTCTACCTAACATACATCCTAGCCTAAGTTTTGTTATTAACCAAGCAAGGGTTACTAACTACAAAAGAGAGCACACATACCCGGGAGGTCGGATTTCCAGTCTTCTTTTCTGAGTTGCTATTAGTAGGTCCCGCGTCAGTCGGATCGGGTAGTCGGGAGCCCGCGCACCGGCGCCCGCGGATCCGGAACCGAGGGATCCGCCGCCCTCCTGCATCTGCACCTTCTCGAAGTCTTCGCAGAGCGACAGGACCGAGTCCTCGTGCAGTGTGGGCAACGTGGAGCTGCGTGGCAGTGTGTCGGTGGCGCTGATGGAGCCGCTCGAGCTGGCCGACGTTGATGGACCGTACACACTACCGCTGGCACTGCACGTGCCAGCTGGCGGCCCGCTCACGCTGCTCACCGGCAGATTGATGAAGGCACCCGGCGGCACCAGCTGCTGCAGATGCTGATGCTGCTTGGTGGGCGCATTGGTCACCGGCAGGGCACAGGCGCCAACGAGGCTGCTGCCACCACTTCCACTACTCCCGGCACTTCCCGATCCCGTGGCGCCGCTGCTGCTGCAACGCTCCTGCTGGGCGGACATCTGCTGGATGTACAGGATGTACATTTCCGAGCAGAGAAACGTGGGGTAGATGTTGTCCCGGATGGTGACCTCCACATGGCGCTGCATGGGATCGAAGATGTGCGGGCTGAGCGGAATCTCGGGGTTCGTCTTGATGGCCTTGATCTGGGCACGCAGGTCATCGGAGATGGACAGCTGACTCTTGCGCAGGAATCTGGACAAGTGGGGCATAAATTAGTTCGTTTGTCGCGCCACTTTTTAAAGACTTCACGCACCTATAGATGGCTCCGATTAACTGCTTGATCTTCTCCGGATCCGTCTGCTGCTTGAGGCCCTCGCAGGCAAAGTAGAAGTTGAGGTGGTCGTTGTAGGCGGGCGCCTCCTCCTCGACGTACTTCTTGAAGAGCTCGACCCCATCGCGGTCCTCCAGCAGGTGGTTCAGCGTCCGGGCCCAGTTCAGGTAGGATGGCGGTGAATTCTTCGAGGTCTCTGCTACCCCTTCGGTCATCTAATCGATGGGATGGTTAGCTTTCAGCGAATCCCCTGCACTAATTATCCACCCACCTTTTTAACACGGCTCTCTTCTCCGGGTACAGGTGGTCGTGGCCCACTACACTCATTATCATCATGTTTCCGGAGTCCTGATGGATGGCCACTCATGCCACTCTAAATTGGCTTCCCAGGACGAGCGATCGCTGCTAAATATTTACCTATTCCTACGCTAAAGTTACCAGTTATGATTAACGAACGTGTTCTCTGTTTCAAATCACAAACGCCCGTATTTTACAAATAGCTGGGACATGGAAGATGCGCTCGTTTGCGAATTTGGAAGGCAATTAGACAAGGCCTGTAACAAAATCAAACCAAAAAGAATTAAAATAGAATTAGTTTTTATACTTTTGCAGAGGGTATTATAGTCTTAGGCTTAACTCGAGGAAGGAGACACTTCCGACCGTTTAAAGAAGTTATTTTATTGATTAGGATTATACACAAACTAGTCTCTAGTTTTTAGTATTTTTCCAATTGCAGGTTTGAAAATTTTATATGTATATGTATTCTTTTTCTCAATATGTAAGTTTATAAATTGGAACTGCTGTTATTGTTTCTTATTTTCTTGTTTGACTTAAGCTATTATTAGGCTTTAAATTTAAAAACTACGTTGATCATGAGAAAACAAATTTTATTTCCATCAAAAAACCCATGTTCTATTCTCTTGTTTTCCCAATAATTTTTTTGAATGTTTGTAATATAATGAAAAAAATTTAATTTGATTGGGAATACATTTCCTAATTAAGTTTCATAGAAAATACTGAATTCTTTCTCGTATTACAAAACTGAGGTCATGTTAAACAACAACGCATATTTTTATTACAAAGTCCCTGCATTCTGTATGGATTCAGATAGCACCCGACCCATCCACTGAATGCTCTCGTGGCCCACTTTCCCATCTTTAGTGCGCAATTTGCGGTGCAGAAATCGAAAACGCACTCGTAATTGGAACCGTAATGGAAAATCCTCAAGGATGCGGAAGCTGAATGACCACTTATCGGCGCTTCCACGACGGCTCCTTTGCATTTCTTATCAACGGGCAAACCATACGCAAATCGCAAAATGAGGAGCGGAATCGAACGGCGGCCATTTTGAGGGCGCTTTTGATTGGTTGATGATATCGACCAATGCAGCAGTCGGGGCGCATGGCAAAGGGAAAAAAGGACAATAATCCATTATGTACAAAATTTGAACACGAAATACGCACACACTCAGTCGGGCACACACCCTAATACCATCGCAATACCGGGGATGGTGGCAAGGACTCTTTAATCCTGGTGCCTCTGCTATTTCTCGAGCTGTCTGACGCGTTCGAGAGCAGGCCAAAACTAGAAAGTAAGCACCGCGTCGCGCTTTTGGTAAATCAAAAATATTCCCTTTTCTTTGTTGCTCCGTTTTCCCTCCCCTTTGCAATAACGAGCGGAGCAGGACTGGCTCTTCAGCCCTTTTTTGGTTAGAAGCCATTTTTAATATTTCAGGATTCCCTGTTCTGTCTGTAAAATGTTTTCAGATTGAACTATAAGCAAAAGTTAGTTATAAATGTAAAAAAATATATAACTACTTATATTTTACTTTACTTTAAATCTTGAGAAAGTTCCTAAGAGTAACTTATTTACTATTGGATATTAAGTAAATTTAACAACTATTAATTCCTCTACACCGAAAGTGACAAACTGTCCTACGATTTTGGAAATATGACCTAAAAAATTTACAATAATTAATAATAGGTGTTTTTTAGTTTAACCCTAGATTGTATTTTTATAAAAATATCACAGTTAACGAGTCGATTTAGATATAAGTTTTCCAAATATAAAACATTAAAGAAAGATATTACGGACTCTTATGTCCGTTTTTGTTGGCGTTTTTGATTGTCACATCCGATCTCGAGTGTTTTTCGATCTTAATTTTAGATAGGGATAAGGCATAAGGCTTTTAGACTTTTATTACTTATAATTATCTGGCTATTTTGGCCTGTGAGAGTCAGGCAGCACTGGATAAGTTTGCCGCCAACAACAGAGCAGCGACAAATACAACAACAAAGCACAAAGGACATGAGCAGAGCCTGTCAGAGAGTGAAGGACGACGAGGAGGAAGGGGTTTGGGCAGCACTTCCCTGCCAGCCATGACTTACAGACACACAAACACAGCCAGCGATGAAAGGGGATGAATGCTGTTGTTTGTTTTCGTTGTTTTAGCAGGGCCAGGACAACTGGGGAACTGAACAGCCACAAAGCGATAGCGCCGCCGGAGAGCCAAGGAAATTCATCAAAACGCCATTTGCATAGCACTCCATTACGGCGAAAAGAACAAAGAGAGGCACAATTAAAACGCTCGGCACCGCAAAGGAAAGCCGGCTAGAAAGGACTAGAGATGGCGTCGTTTTCTAGGAGAAGGACATCCTCCAGCCACTTGAGGCCCATGTCTCCCCCGTGGCCAAGGAATACACAAAGACAACGCCAAACAGCAGGGGAAATCGGCAACTCTTTAGTGCATCTTGGCACCGCTGCATCCTAGCATCCCGCGCACCTCAGGATTAACAAGTGCCATCGCCGACATCAAAGATTCGGCTCGACCTTAATGGCATAATTGCTACTGAAAGCCCCATGGCTGCTTTCTCTCAGGTCACAAAGAAAGTTAGTGGCTGACGCTTTTTAAGTCCACCACGATGGTAAAATGGGACCCGGAACATTCAGAAGAGGGAATTACCTTTGACTGGTGCGTTCTGCAGATGTAAGTGGTTATTTAAACTCATATTTAATCACTCCAGAAAAACTTTGAAAGCCTTTAACCATTTAAAATCGTATAACGGCGCATATAATTTTGCGATTCAATAATATGTTATATTGTAGTTCCATTTTTAATGAGTAACAGAAACTTCAGCTCTAACACTTTTTAAAGAAGGAAAGGAAGCAAACTTAGGCAAGATTTAAGCTTTTGCAGAAAGTTTGGATTTTTATGCGTATATGCTTAAAAATAATGATTTTTCAATAACTTTTTTGATTATTCCTGTGACTATAGTCGTCGGATTTTTGTAACAAAACTGTAATTATAAAATTGTTTCAAATTGCTATTATTCGGAGAATATCCGTATGCCGATTTTTTCTATGGGATATAGTCGTCTGATTTATAACAACCGAAGTTTTTTACAGATAGCTCTATAACAAAGAGACTAGTTTGCGTAGAAACGGAGATGACGGACAACATGGCTAATTTTTTACAGAAATTATAATACCTCAGCAAGGCTAAAAAAATATATATGTATATTATTCAAATAGTAAAAATTGTATTTAACAACCAGGCTTGTAAAGTTGAAAACAAGTCTGATGGTCTGATTTGTTTAGCAGTGAACGAAAAATGTTCGATTATATAAAACTAAATATTGTTGTCGGGATAACCAGGCGGGTCACTATAGTTAGCCTTTCTACCAGATTTAAAACAATCGGAAGATCATGAATCTTATAGCTGTTAAAGGAATGATCGGTTCAATTTAGCATGATTATATTATCTTTCGAATTAAATGCTTAAATGTGTTCATCTAATTTTATAAACTTTTAGCCTGACTGTTTTAATGCAATGTGACTAAATCCTATAATTGTCAAAGGAACGACAGTTAAACGATGGATCAAAGGTTAAATTCGAAAAGCTTCGATGAGTTCATGATAAATAAAACGTTTTATACAATAACATATTCTTTTAAACGGATAACATGATTAAAATATTTATAAGCTAAAGTCGTTGTAAAATTTTTACCAATGGTGGATTGAAAAAAAAAATTAAAAGGGTTATATTTCTTTCATTCAAATTCGTCATAAAGGTTAAATGACTTATAGTTATGTTAACGATTTGCATTATTCTTTAATTGACTTGAACTATTTAACATTCGCACATCAGCAAATTTAATATCACAATTAGTAACTGAACGGTAACAGGTTCAGTTTTTAACAAAGTAAACATGATTAATTTACACCTCCAAAATTACCCTTAAATTTAAAATTAAATTGGAAACAAGATTCAACACAATTTACATTTACATAATTTCCGCTCTGGAAAACGCCAAAGTAAGGAAAGAATATAAAGGAAATAATTTATCGAATGAATAGTTATTAAACAAATGGTCAATAATGGCCACAAATCTTTAAAAAGTATCCCGACGGTGAAACGAATACATTAAAAACATATTTTCCTCTGTCGAAAACTTTTTTTTTGGTGAAGGACACCCTTTATAAAAGCTCCTAATATATTCCTTACTATAAACGAATAAATTACACATTGATTGTATTCTGAATCAAGGTTTAACCCCTAGTAAAAGATTGCCAGCAACTATTTTGTTTCATTGTTGTTCAAATGCAGTTGAACGGAAATTATGAAATAATTAAATAAATCCTTATTGATTTTGTTGTGAGCGAATGCCGAAATACAACAATAGAACAGGAGCAGACCCTCTCGAGGGCAGATGATGATTTTTCTATCCCTATTAGATTGCGTACGCATCGCCGGATAATTCCCCATTCTTTTCAAGTTATGAGTTCTGATGATTGGCAGGTAAGTCTAGCGTAAGATGAGGGCATCCCCTCATCAGCCGGAGGCCACTGCTCAGAGTTTCCCTGAAAACGGTTGCCCAGGTGCCCGAGTACTCGAAGGATTTAGTTTTTTATTTACGGATCCTAAGCCTCAGGTATGCTGCGGTAGTCGAGATGACATTAAATCACCTTTGATGCACTCACAATGCCTCGGCAGGTTGCTCACTTCAGGATACGCGCGACTTTTCGGATTATTATCGCCACTAATTGTTGACAAATCTTTTGCCACGAGCCACGGAGCACAAAGTATTTGGTGACAATGCCTTGACAAGCGGAAAGTCAAACTGAACGAGTCCCGAGTCCTGAGTCCTCAATCCAACGTTGACAGCGATAGCAGATTTCACCCTGCTGCCAGCCACGTATGTGCGCCCATGCCGAAGCAAGCAGAGTACATAAACCATTTCGGGGTTGCCCGGCCCAGCCCTCTGCTTCCCCATCCTTATACCCATCCTCATCCGCATTCGCACCCACAGCCTCACCCACTCACAATTGTTGCATGCGGACATCCAGGAAGGCGCTTACGCCGTTTATGTACGGATATCGAACTTAATTGGCGAGCACATCGAAGTCGGAACATCACAGAGAGAAAAATTTTAAATTAATTTAAGAGTTAGCTGGTTTAAAAAATTACCTTCAAGTAAGAAATTCACCACAGAAACTTACTTTTAAAATTATGGTTTTCTTTTAAAGCTGCCAAAATATTAAGCGCAATCTTTAATCTTCTTAAACTTATTATATCGAAGTCCCTATATATCAAACTATTATTAATGACAATAGAATTTACTTCTAACAGGATTAGTTATAAAACCTTTTTCTGCCGAATAATTCTACAACATTCAAAACATCCAAATCAAGGGATTTTGAGCATGCAGTTTTTTAAAAACTTAAGCCCATTGTTACCAAACCTAGTTTTTCTTACTAGACACTTAAATTGGAAATGGAATCAATCATTAAACCTTTGTTTAATTGATCGATTAAGATATTATTTTCTCTGAGTGGAGAACGTCTGCCCCTCGAAGGTCCCGACCAGCTGTTGATGGGACTGTCCATTCGAGGAGCAGGAGTACAAGAACCGGCGATGGGGACGACCTCCAACATAATGATGCTTCATGTACATTGAACAACAACACACAAAGGATGTTCTTTTCAAAGTGTCCGTGGTTGTGGCGGTGCAAGCGAGACGGCAGCAGGCGAATAGGAGTCATTGTGTGCAACCAATATGCGCAGGTCCAGATTCAGACCCAGACCAGGTCCTGGCCCACTGCCAGAGTCCCAAGCGCAAAGGAAAAATCAGACGCCCGTCCTTATTGTACATAAACAGAGCAGCGGAGTTGGATTTTATTTGTAATCCAAACGCCGAGGGGTGGGGCAAGGGTTGAGCTTGAAGACCCACCTCCATGTTTCATTTCCTCCCCTAAACACAAATGTGGAAATTATTTTCGAATAAGTTTGAAAACAATAAAGGAGGTGGGGGGCGACCGGCGGCAGCCTCGTTTGTTTCTAATGAGGTTAAGACCGCCATTGCTGAACCGAACCTGATGAAACGGGCGTCTGATGTCGGTCTAGACTTGGTTGGCCCGGCCAACTGGGGGAAATATACGGAAAAATACTCACTACGACTGCGAGTATTGCCGAAGGTCAATAGTGGTACTTTGTTCGCGGCAAAAGTTGCCAGCAAAGCCAGAAAAGTTCAGCACGGAAGCGCTCACTTTTCAGGTGCAAAGCCCATTGCAAGGCCAGCGGTGGATGCACTTTGGCTTGGAGAACGGCAGCATAAAGGGAAACCTATTTACCCACAATAAAAGGATTGAGGTGACACTTTTGTAGCTGGCCCTTATTTAAAGACGAGCGGGCCAAAGTAATGAAGTAAGTACAAACATTTTTTGGAACAACATAACCAACGAATAACAACATATAAAATATTCCGAACCATTATCCTTAAAAAAAAGTGCTCGTAATTAAATTTTGAAAATGTAAGGTTCGACAAATTTAATAAGTTACGCATACTTTCTGAATCGTTTTAAAAAATGTATGTGATGTAGTCGTACAACTTAATAAAATATTTTCAAAAATATAATAAACTTTTATATTCCGATTGTTGTACAAGAAAGGATTTGCAATGCGTAACTTATAAAATCTTGTATAAAATTGCACTTATTCTGTGCAACTTTGTAGGCAGCCATTAATAGAAGGGAAATTCAGGACAAAATTGTAAATCTTTTAACGTTAATATTAAAATCGAACCATTTTTATCTAAAACTTTAACACAAGTTATATAATTAAGCGATATACTCACATATGTAATTTGCATAAAAATTCAATATGAAAATCAAGGGAAGATATTGGTATTCCAAAAAAATTCCAGTAGTTCCTGAAACAAATAAATATTGATTTAAAGAAGCAATAGATAAAGAAAATAATAACTTAGATAAAGAGTTATTTTAGAAATGTCTTCCTTGACCGATATTATAAATTATTATATTAAATGTCATATTAAATGATTATCATCATTTGGCATTCAAAAATGGATACAAAAGTTTCGTACATTTTTTGAAATTTTGAAAGGGGAACAGTTATTAAATTTTGAGCTGAAAAAAAAAGAAATGTTTAATACCAATGAAAAGTGAATTTAATTGAGACGAAATATTCGAAATATTTTATAATAAATATGAATTTCTATTATTTCTTACTTTTCTTAAATCCAAGTCATTAATACTGTTTAATAGAAAATAAAGCAACAACCTCGTTTTGGGATGGTAGATAGAAATTATGGGTATTTAGGTGTAATAGCTGGTATTCGAAATGGTCTGACTAGTTTTATGTATTTAATAAATTGGCGTACTTTAAAACAATAAAGTGGCTAAACCTCCCCTAACACATGCCTTATTCAATAACCCTTTGATATTGAATTTTTGGGGGAGAATATTTCTCGCACGAATGCATTCAATTTACGCTTAAATAAATGTAAAGAATTCTAACGTAGATGGTATTAATATTAAAGGAAATAAAACCCTTACCGATTAAACTCAAGTGAGAAATGGCCAACGCTTGAGAATTTATAAATTTTAAATGCTCCAAGTCCTTTAAGATTGTTAAATCTATTGATGTCCGATTTGTAGAATTGTTTAACTTCGTTTCACTTATTTTACTCCAACTCGCTTTACTTTATATTAATGTATCTTATATTACAGTTGATGTAGTACCTGCAGTACCTGAAAAAAGAGCATAATATTTTGTCGGTGAATTAAATTGAATAAATTAATATGGATAAGAATATAGGATTAAATAGGCGATCAAACAGGTTACTAATAAGTTTATATTTAACTTAATGTATATTACCAGGGTTTTTTATTTAAGGATGCCAGAAATGTTACTTCTTATTTGTAAATGAGTTTAATTGTAAATGCAGACATTGCATTTTTAAATTATTAAATTATTTGACGGTTAAGTAAGTTTGCCTATGGCTTGCAACTTAAATTTAATATTATTGGGTCATATTTGCATTTATTAGGCATTATAAAATAAAATATATAATAATATGCAGTTAGGATTTTATTATTTAAAAAAAATGTCAGAAATATTATTTTCCTTAAGACAATGTTTAAAAATCCATAGATTTTAATCATACAAAAGATTTTGTATATCACTTCGAATCAGAGTATGTGTAGACCAACTTAGTAAGGGGAAAATAATCAATAGGAGAAATGACGAGCAAAATAAATCGAAATTCCATATTTAGGAGAGTATATAAGTCGAACGAGCTTGCAATGGAAAGGTAAAATCGAATATATAATTTAATTTTTTTTATGACAGATGGTGATTTGAGTTAAGGAAGTCGGACATCATAAATATAATAATAATAAACATCCTTTCACATCTTTTTAGATTCTATTGCATTGCATATATGTCGAAATACCATGCAAATCCTATTATTGTCCTCACACTCTGATATGATGGGTAAACTCTATCAAAAGCTGATCCAACAGACTAAATAAGGAAATTAGAACATTATTATTGGTCGTTACACAGAGTAATGAAGGTTACTTACCCTTAGATTCGTGTATCCTTGGCTTCACTCAATTGGGATGGCAGACGACTGATCCTGGCGAAATCCTGGCGGCCCTGGCTCCAATATTCGATGGCGGTGACGATGACGAGGTGGGTTTGGACGGGAGTAATTTAATTGTAGCTTTAACGGCTGGACGCTTCGATTTCAATTTCGATTTCGATGAGGATGATGCTTTCATTTTGATTAGTGTGCTCAACGAGAGGGATGCGTAACTAACAATTAATGGAAGGACGATTTGTGTGGAGGTCAACAAACAAGCAAACGTAAACAAGAGAGTGTGGTTAACAAGGCGCAGGCACGGTGACCGGATTAAATGCTAAACAAGGCTGCAGGATATAGCACCCAGCTCGTGGATCCTCAAACAGGGATCTCAGCGGGACTACCCGAGGGCATTTCCCGATTATATGGACTATATTTCTTTAGCTTCTTGGTTGTTCGCCAGGAGTCTCATCTCATCCTCGTCCTCTGGCAACTCTGGTCTCTCCGGAGGGAGAAAATAGTCGAGAACCGCCGCCCTCTAAAGCATTTTTGCTGTCTCTGGGTCCTGTACTCTCGAAAATCCGTATACAATCGCCTCTTCTTTCAGTTCTCGACCATTTAAACACTTTTCCGTCTGCTGCTTCTTTTATTTTGTGTATTTTGTTGCTGTTGCCTCTGCTATAGGTTTGCTGCTACTGCTGCTGCCTTTCGATTTTCATGGACGTATCGTTGCGGATTCGTTGTACTCCTCGACTTATCCGAATCCCTAGAACGCGGACACTTCACGGGCTCTGGGGCACCGCTTATTTAGTGGTAAATAATAGATTTATTGAATGGCAAAACAAAATAGTTCGACACAAATGTTAGACGGCGAGACGAACAATTACATGCTAGAGCTGTCAAACTATCGATGACAATATCGATAGTATCGATGGTTAGGAGCCAGCTCGCACATTCAACGGTATGATATCGCCACCATAGGCCTCCTAAATCCTTATGATCTTTTAATGAGCAAATATTTTGGCGGAACGCTGCAGTCTAAATTGAAGTAATTGACAAAAATCTTTCAAAAATACCATTTTTAAAGAATACACTGAAATTTCAAAATCCGTTTTTAAAAATAAGTAGATGAAAAATACCGATGGTGGTACTATCGATTGACAACTCTATACAAGATAAAATCGAACTAAATCGATAACATAGTCGGTAGTTTCAGGGCTGGTGAGAATCCGGCTACCAGATCATCCGCACTCACCGGTTCACATTTAAATTCAATTCAGAAATTCAGAAATATTGATCAATTATGGACAAGCCGGTGTACGCTCGAGTTGTGAAGGTCCTTGGCCGCACAGGATCCCAGGGCCAATGCACCCAAGTGAAGGTGGAGTTTCTCGGCGAGCAGAACCGCCAGATCATTCGCAACGTCAAAGGACCTGTTCGCGAGGGCGACATCCTTTCGCTCTTGGAATCCGAACGCGAGGCCAGGAGACTACGCTAATGGCTGAACATTATTAAGAAGACAACATACAATTAAAAGTATACCAAGTCATGTTTAGTTCATTTATTGGGGTGCTGAAATAATCGTATACTCATATCAAGAAAATTATATAAATTACATGTAAAATCAAAAAAGCATTACAAGGCCACAAATCCTATCACCCTCATTATAAAGTTCAAGTTCCTTATTGCCAATAAATATGTATGTAAATACCAATATATTTTAAAGCTTTTACAATTTACAATTTAAAAAGAGAAAAGAAAATTTCGCCACTACACATCCCACTATACTTTTCGCAAGCGCTTTTCATTTATAAAAATCCATTCCTCAGAAACAAATCCTATTAACCTTTATTTAAAATTCAAGTTTCTTATTGCCAATAAGTATGCAAATATTATACACCATAATTGATAAGCTCTCTGATTCAAGTTAAAAAAAGTTTCACTTACTTTTTATTTCATTAAGAAAACATAAAATATTTCTTCTTGTACTAAAAATGTATCGACTTTAACCCTTTTGTTATCGATGGCTGCCCATGTCTACCCGAACAGCTGCTTGTGTTACTTTTTGATTTCGATTCGCGCTCTATGAGATACATCGTATGAGATACTCGTTCGTAACGGACGGCCAACTTGAGATACTCGATCGCGAGTTGTTTGTTGTTGGCCAAACGAAAGCGAAAATTGAAGAGACAAATTTACATAAAAATAAAGAAAAAACGAATCGGGAAATGTGAAAATTTTGAGGGGCAGTGAGATGAAAAGAGATAGAGATGCCCGTTTGTCCGCTGTGCGTGTGTGTGTGTGCAGCGGCAGCCCTAGCAGCTGTTAGTGTGTGTGTGTACCGTAAATGCAAGAGCTTATGCTGCAAAAACAACAGCAAAAACAACGACAAACAGGAATAAAAGTTAAATCCTTCGATCCCCCCGGTAAATCAGTTAATATATAACCGCCCGAAATGCTCAAAAATACAGACAAAAGCAGGCAATTTGTTACGCTGCAATTGGACTTCTTCGGGGCGTCTGAAAAATCGATTGGACGTAGAATAACTAGCTACCGCAAACTAATGGAGGATTTCGAGTCCTTCGAAGGTGCCGAGCTGGTCCGAAAATCAACCAAAGGTGCGTCCACTTGCCCCAAACAATTAACACGCCCGAAAAGTCAGTCGTTAAAACCACCCATAAAAACAATGCAAAGTAAATGGCGCATTTGCCTGCGTTTTCGTGTGTTTTTGTTTTGGTTTCGCTTCGGCATGACAATTTTTGCCATTAATTTCGTAACAACTAAACCGAAAATACCTGTTCGACCTCACGCCCCTCCCCTTCCGCCCCCCGCCACCACTACCGCCCAAAAAAGTCTCTGCATTTACGAGTAGTGGTTGTTCGTACACACAGAGAAAAGTACTAATTTAAATTATTAACGTAATTATTCATTAGAATTTGTCGATCGGGGAAAAAACTAATTAAACTAACAGTAGTCTTTGGAAAATGTTGAAAAATTCTTCTTTTCACATTAGCTATTAATTTTTTGTTTAGTTTATCCTAGTTTCCAATTACTTATGTACTTTTAAATATCTATAGAGGTAACACTGATAAACCTGATTTTATAATCCAAAATTCCGTTTCTGATTTTCCAGGTGGGTATAGTTAAAAAAGGCATAGTAACTAGTTTAAACTAAAAAATTTTCTTTAATAAATTACAAACTTCAATTTCCCGATGAGCAATGACTGTGTCTTATTAAATAGTTATTTCGGTGTACTGATTTTTCTAGTTTTTTTCCGCATTCTCCTTTCACCCCCTTAATTTCAAAGTCTAATTCAATCGTCAATTGCCCCACTTACAATTTATTAATATAGGGGCAGCGGTTTTTACGCAGGTTCATTGATTTTATTCATTAATGTACGGCAACTTATCGTTACCAGGAAACATTATAATTAGTGGCCTGGCACTCGGGGCGTAATTAGATATTCATCTGAAGAAGGAGTTCGTAGTTATCAAGAACTGCACATTTCCATATTTTATTGACTATAGTTATAAGAATGTATCTAGCATCATAGATTTAGTAGCCGAGTCATCCGAAACTATATACATACATACGTATGCTTGTTTTGTGCGCCTAAATTAAATTCGCATGTGACTTGGATTCGAGATGTCCACTTGTGAAACGAAACTACTTTGGACTGGCGACAACTTGTCGCCAAAACAAACTACTTAAAATCCCTGGAAAAGTGTGAAGGAATTAGCGTAATCCGTTAAGGAAAAAGCCAATTTATTATTTTTTATTTATTTTTGGCTTACTTTAAGGCTTAAATTTGGACCTTATTTATCGCAAGCACATGTGTATAATTATTCACGAGGGGTTTTATGTTTATATACCTTATTAGAATGAGCTGGTTTTGGACCTTGACCAAAAAGCCGATAACTATAAGTAGTTATTCCCTCGAGAAAACAAATATGTTGTGCTTTCACATATGTACTTTGCGTTAAAATCTGTATCAACAATCGAGTTCTTCATAATGTTGTTTCAGTGATTTGAAGTACACTCTTATATATTTTTTAATATAGTAAAAATATTATTAATATGTATTAATAGTGGAATTCTAAATACATACATAGGTCGTTGCGTAGCCTCTAGAAACGCCCCGTAAATCCCAAGTAAATAGACTATTACACGATTCTTAGTGCGGAGCATTATCTAGTTCTTTCCTGTTTCTGCCACATAAATTGCGCTTCCTCAAAGCAAAACCGTTTCACATGTGAAATATTTCACTGAGCCGGTCGCTGCCGAATCTATTTTTATGACAATTGCCGCGAGGCCGTGCATTTCAGATTTGTGATTTCAGACGGCGGTCCGCCCACTTTACAGGCTCTCTACAGCGTGCTCCATGCGGCTACTACGTGCTCCCCCTCGTCCCCCAACCTCATCCCATCCCCATTCATGAGGAGACCAGTGAGCCTCCATTGCTAATTAAACTCAAGTGCCAAGTGCCCAGAGCCAAGTATGGTTCTGAGATCATGGCGCACTGGAGGCCGGCGTGCAATTGAATTTGCGTACTCGTTACTCTTCTGATTAGCATTCCCATTCCGAATCCCATTGTGCGGATCAGCCCTGGAGAATCTGGGCACTTACAGGTTTAATTAGAAAAGCACCCCCAAAAAAATGATGATTCAAATATATGTGCACTGAGGTTAACTTCCTAGAAACTTTATCAAATTTAAATCAAAATTGGAATGCGGTGTGCCAAAGGACAACACAAAATAATTATAAAAAATATAGTTGTATATATGTACATTATGTGTTGTTGAATTGTAATAATATGAATCATATTATTTCCAACACTGAAATTTCAACACCATTGAGTCCTTGAAAGCTCCAAAATTTTGGAAGTAAAAGCCAATCGATGTGCTTAGTAATTCGGAACTTGCTTTTAATTGTGATTATCCCATTCCAGAGGGCGAGATGACGGCGATCTCCCAGTGAATTCTTGCTAGTAACCGAGAGAAGAACGAGTTGCGGAAATGTCGAAAATGAGGGGTAATAGAAACGAGATTCCCAGAAATAAAAAAGACAGCCTTGCTAAGTCCGTTTGGTGTTGAACAGGTCGCATTCTGATCCCACTGCCCAATACCGGAGCAATGGGTCGCAAACGCAATAACTTCTACATGCGGAGTGTATTCCTGCTGGCCCTGTGCATCTTTGGTCTGCTGCAGTACCACAATTTTAACTACTGTAAGTAACTACTGGTAAGTCTGGGTGACTATTGCTAAAGTGTACTTTAATATTTTCCCAGTGGACTCGCGGGACAATGTGCTGGGCGATGCGGTCACCAACGATTCGGATGATGCCATTTTGGCCATGGTGCCCGCGACTCTGCACAAATATCTAACACCCCATTCCCGCAATCATACCACCTCGGGTGCAGGAGTCCTTTCCGCAGCGGGTAAGTCCGTACAGAAGCTAAGATAAATTGTTACTATTCAAGGCATTAATTCCCATTTTAGCCCTGCTAGTGAATACAAGTAGTACCGGAGCTGCGACTGCCACCACAATCAGCTTCGACGTTTACCATCCTCCGAATATTACGGAGATCAAGCGTCAGATTGCGCGGTACAATGATATGCAGGCGGTGCTTAACGAGGACGTCTTTGGGCCCCTGCAAAACGATTCTGTGATAATTGTAGTCCAGGTTAGTGGACTTGTTCAAAAAGAGAACCCCTCTGTAATGTCCCAAAACATCAGGTGCACACGAGGATTACCTATCTGCGGCATTTGATTGTCAGTCTGGCGCAGGCAAGGGATATCTCTAAGGTGCTTCTGGTGTTCTCGCATGACTATTACGACGACGACATCAACGACCTGGTTCAGCAGATCGATTTCTGCAAGGTGATGCAGATATTCTATCCCTACTCGATTCAGACGCATCCAAATGAGTATCCCGGCGTGGATCCCAACGACTGCCCGAGAAATATAAAAAAGGAGCAGTAAGTTTAAGAAATATATCCTTTAATTTATGTACTCTTAATTCTTTATGTATGACATTTCGATTACCAAAAGAGCTCTGATCACCAATTGCAACAATGCCATGTATCCCGATCTCTATGGCCACTATCGGGAGGCAAAGTTTACGCAGACTAAGCACCATTGGATTTGGAAAGCGAACCGAGTGTTCAATGAATTGGAGGTGACCCGCTATCACACAGGTAAAACCAACCAGTTAGTCGTGAAACAATAACTCGACTTTATGTACCTGATGCTTACAGGCTTGGTCCTATTCCTCGAGGAAGATCACTATGTGGCCGAAGACTTCTTATACCTGCTGGCCATGATGCAGCAACGAACCAAAGACTTGTGCCCCCAGTGCAACGTGCTGTCCCTGGGCACCTATCTCAAGACCTTCAACTACTACACGTACCACAGCAAGGTGAGATTTGGGGCAGAATGGCGGTCACTTAATGCTAGACCATTGGCCTCGAAAATTCGAAGAGCGCTCGAGCCTATCTTATGTATATTCTTCAAGCTTCCGTTGCTACAAAACACATTCATTCAAAATGCATACAACCCATCCATTATTGGGACTTGTGATGGCAACCCATTGCGGCAAGGACTTTGCCCCAATGGGTGCCAGTTATTCGATCAAAGACCCACACAAAACATGTGTTTATCTAGACAAAACTCATCTGACAATTGTAATTTATCGTATGTATCTGTTCTATTCCGAATTCTGGCACGCAGACTAACAAGAAATCCTATGCTTCCTCGCTGATCTCGACAAACAGTCTATTAGGATACAATAGGAATAACAATAGAAACTCTGTGCAATTAGCTGTGTCGTCCTCTTATTCCTCCTCATCATCTGCGCAATCACCACCGTCATCCAAAGTCTATGTGGGCGACACCGCTGACAACCAGAGAGCCAGTGACTCCAGTAACAAGCGGGGCAACCTCATCAACACTGTCACCGCCACCGCCGCCACATCCGACACCAACAATAATGAGCAAAGTAGCCATAGCAGCAGCAAAAATGGTGCACAAACATGGAACTATCATGTCCTGCCGTCATTGTATTCCGTCTATCAGAAGGTAGCGCCACCGCACCGCTATCTCCGGGATCCCCGAGATCCCTGTTAACTGCACCAGCCGCTCCAAGCCCCTAATCATCCCTAGCAGCACTCACCTGCTTGATTCCATACCCCCTGTTTGCGTAGATTTTCTTCCGTTGCTCATTCCATTTACGCTTTGGCAATATCCGCATGATCTGTACTATCCACTATATATGCTATCCTCGTTTTGGCAGTGATGGGAAAGGAGAATGTTTTAATTTTACCATAGGTGGGGGTACAAGGCTTATTCATAAAAGATTATTTTACATATTCGTTTAACATATTTATGTATTTTAGTAATAAAACAAACTATTATAATATTTTAATTCCTACGTGTTTAGGAGGAAAGTAGCTATATTCCTTACAGGGACGTGATTTGGTTACAAGCATTGAACTTCAATCTTATTTTAGTTTAAAATTCTCCACCCAATTATGGCAAAAGATAATAGTATCTAGTTACGTACCGATCTTTAACCACCTATATATTTCCCATCACTGCCTGTTTGTTGTTGTAATTGTTGTGTTTAATGTACTTGTCTATATGTCTGTGATGGCATGCTACATCTCCGACCCGTCCACTTCGCCCTGATCCGCTCCTGATCTGACCCGATCTGATTCAGATATGCCAGTTGCACGCCCGCGTACGCACCGTGAAGATCGACAGGCAGAGCATCATTAAAGACTATCGCAAGGTATTTTTGGAATGGAGCGCACAGTACCCCACCCGAATATCCGGCTTTCGCACTTTGAATCCAACTAGTGGCTAGTCCAGGACGAAGGCAGTGCGTGTTGGGACCCACTTGGAGTGCCCTAGTATTCAAATTGACCTCATCAGGCAAACAGAATCAAAAGAAATTTGCATGACACCCTCCCCTTACTTTTTAATAATTCCTTTTTTAATATTGTTGCTACTCCATTATTCTCCATTATACGTAGTTAACTCGGTTTTTTCTTCGACAGGTGGAGGTCATGCCCTGGGTTAGTAGCAAGCACAACATGGGCTTTGCATTCAATCGCACCACCTGGTCAAACATCCGGAAGTGTGCCCGCCACTTTTGCACCTACGATGACTACAACTGGGATTGGTCACTGCAGCATGTGTCCCAGCAATGTCTGCGGCGCAAGCTCCATGCAATGATCGTCAAGGGTCCAAGGGTCTTCCACATTGGAGAGTGGTGAGCAATGAGCATACTCCTCATTTCTTATGTTCGGTTCCTAACATCTACTATCCGACTCTCTTCCAGTGGCGTACACCACAAGAACAAGAACTGCGAGTCCAATCAGGTGATCTCGAAGGTGCAGCACGTCCTGCGCATTGCCAGGAATTCACACCAGCTCTTCCCGCGCTCCCTCACCTTGACGGTGCCCAGTTTAATGAAGAAGTCGAAGCTGCGCAAGGGCAACGGCGGCTGGGGAGATCTGCGGGATCACGAGTTGTGCCTGAACATGACGCTGCCCACGAGGTAAAGGTCAGAGGTGCCTATACCCAAATTATAACCGCCACAGGAAGCGGAACGGGAAACCAATCACAGTCAGTAGCCAGGAAGCCTAGCTCATAGCGTTATCTAAGTAGGAACATTAAGCAGTAGCCGTAAACACTGTAAACGAACATTCAGCAAGTACTCTGTATCAGCTAACTAACCGAAAATAATCAAAGCCAGAAGCCCAAAGACCCTCGCCTCGGGCGCTGCACAACTCATACTATAAGTAATCCTCTAGTCACATATTTAAAGAATGCCGTGTTGTAATCTCATACCTTGTACCGTTTGCCCTTCAGTTCGTCGAAGATCACTTTGTATTGTTTAGGCTCCGTCCAGATTTAAGGATCGGCAGAGTTCCGAGCGACGGGGTAGCAATCCTCACAACTGAAACTAATCCTACTAATACTAGCGATCAAATACATATATTAACTCGTATCCCCAGATTGTGCCGAAGCCGTTTCGTAAACGGTCAATGTAACTCGAGTCTAGAGGCAGCAAATCGCATAAACTAGTCATAGCAATGTACCACATGCACATGCGCATTAACACATAGATCAAACTTTTGATATATATTACGGTCCTACGTTTTAAGCCTGTACATAGATGAATTGCGTTGTATACATAACATAAGGTCTTTTTATGATATAAACGCTGTACTAATGTAATTTGTTATTTTTTAATCGTTAGTCAAAAGCGCTTTTATGTATTAGGAATTTTTGATTAATTGAACGAATAATCTTAGTGAATAAACGCCAAGAAAAGCTCTACCAGCCGAATGTCTTTTAGATATTTTTTAAAATAACACAAACGGGGTAAAAGTAAAACTGAAAAAATAGACAAATTTATGTTACTTTTATGTTAAAATGTTGTTAATCTTATTAGGTGTGTAATGAACTAATTAATGCTGCTTACTTTTTATTTTATGTATTTTTATGTTGATTTTAACTTTGTTTTTCTAAAAATAAACCGGGAAAGCAATAAATTGTCTTTTGTTATCACATTTAAATTTGTCGCTTTACTACTCTTATGATTAACAGAACCGTTAATTGGTCTATCAAAACCAACGCAACTGTTCGAGATTGATACCACAACCTATGCTAACAAAAATGCTTAACACACCAAAAATACGTAGAAAATAAAAATATAAATTATTAATTTAAAAAAATTACCCTATAATAGTCTTCAAATAAAGCGCCAAGCAAAATCCCAGTCACGCCTTACGATACCGATAGCCGAAAGCTTTCGATCTATCGAAACCGAAGTACGTTACCCAACACATATAGCAAGTCCCTTTCGAAATTTCAAATAAAATGTATAAATATGAGAAAATCTGATAAATCAACGTTTAAATATATTTAACAAGCAAATGACGCCTACATGAGCAATATTCCCGGTGAGAGGAGCAGGTTGGGAGCTCTGGGCTGTGATCGGGGAATAGCTTTTGCCGGAAAGCTTTTATGGCGTTACTGTTTGGGACCGCGAACCAGTTGCAAATTTGGTGCCGCTGTGGACGGAACTCATCCAAGAACACTCTGAACGCTCCCAAGTGAAACCCACCACTCAGCCGCTCCTGCATCTCGCGTTCTTTTCGTTAACCCCTTTCGACGTGTGTGTTTCCTAATAAATAACATACAACATACAAGCCATCATGAGCAAGCAACTGGCGCGCCATGTGGGTCAGCTGAATAATCTTCTGAAAACGGCCACGACCGCCTCCACGGTCTCCGCCCAGAACAACTACTTCACCTACGTCCGGGAACTGTCGCATCCAATCGCCCGAGAGCCTCCAATCGTAAAGCCGGAAGAGGCCGTGGCATGCATCAAATCGGGTGAGTCTTCATCACCCGCCCCCACCCCTAAATCTCCTCCAGAACCAATACCCCAAAAAGGGGCTGCTTCATTTAACTTATTGTGTTTGCAATCTTTTGGGTTATGTAATGTTCTAGTGGGTCTGCTTAGGAAAACAGAATGAAAACGAGAACACCCGGGCTATGGGGTCATGCAAACCCGTAAACCCATGTGTGTTTGTTTCGTTCGAATATTGTAATTCAAACTACTTTCGAGCACACAGCGAAGGGCAATTACAGGGTGCTCAATATTCAGATTGATGGCACTAAATTGCCCGTGATTAGAAAGGGTTTCGTGGCTATGTGGAGGAGGGGTGGGGCAGACAAGCAATAGTAGGGGGTTTTTAAAATATATACCTTTTTTAAGGGGGCCTCTAAGAAAAAAAAGAATATCATGAATAATTACAACTCATTAGACCATTTACTTAGACTTACATATGTGCCAAAAGAAATATATATAAAAAAAGTTTTCTTTAACAAAGTAGGTAACAAGACATGGCAATAAAACTGGAACCCATAACTCAACTTATCAATATAGTTATCACATAGTTGTATTACAGAAGCTCTGGGTTTAGAAATATTATGTTTAAAAATGTTAAAAGTTAAAATTAATTAATTAACCCATTTGGGTTAAAATCGACATTTAGAAAAGTTATACAAGAGGAAAGTCAAATTTTTGGTTCTACTGTATTTTTCTTATCATAAAATAAAAATTATACTAAGTAAATTCACCTCTCTCTCTTTGCCTATCCGTATTTTGTATGATTATATATTTAATTCAAGTGTTTTAAGCGGTGCAAGTGAAAATTAAATTATTTTAATCTCGTGAAAACAGCTGTGCGTGCATAAGCATTGATATTAATATACATTTTTAGATGCATGCATATATTCAGCGCTGTAGATGAGTTTCCAGGCGAAAGTTGTACTTTGTACTCAGTCGAACACAGCGACAAAAACAACAGAAAAGTCGGATGCAAAGCTCAGCTTAGTGGCAAGAACAACTAGCTCATAAACAAGTCTATCCCCACAACCGGCCTTTAGTTGTCGGGCTGATAAGACCCTATATACATATACTGCATGACATATTAGAATTTAGCACAGCTTTTGGAGGCAAGGTTATGCAACGAATATCAGCAGGTGAACTTTTGTGCGGCTGCCGCTCGTGTCATTGGATGAATTATGGAAATTTTATGGGAATCACAATCATTTATTGACATTAAATAACTTTTTAATAAAATATAAAACACTTAATAAATTGTCTTATCGCAACTGTTAATTTTATGCTAGAATATAAAGATAGTAATGATCTGATTTTCTTTCTCTGCCTGACATTTTTTGGGACCCTCTGCTTTGATTAAATTCAATTGGGCGCAATTTGGCAATCTCCTGTGATACAAACAAATATTTGGACAGGCCCACAACGCACGAAATATCTTAATTTCTTAGCACTTCTAAGGCCTCTCATCAGCAGGTCCATGCAAATTGATATTATTATGGGGAGGGGCGGGTTTTCGGAGGGGGAGTGGCGTATCGCAGCGACCCAAAAACGTCACCAAAAATCGGTATCTCTAATTTTAGCCAAAATCGCCAACACGAGCCATGCCAAATCTGCGACGTAATTTGATTTGGAAAACTTTTTTGTTTGGCACGTTTTTGGCTGATGATAAATAGTACAGTAGGCACTAACTAACTAAAGTTGCATTGAAATTCTGCAAATAAGAATAAGGTAAAAATGTTAGTAAAAAGCTCGTGGAGAACTTGACATTGTCGACGTGGCTCAGACATCTGCTGATAAGAATTCACACTTATCGTATGATTCCTTCGTTCAAGGGGCTCGATCGACTTTATTTGCACAGCATTGGTCTTGCCAGTTTTTATACCCGTTACTCGTAGAGTACGAATACAATATCGTGCAAAAGTATGTAACAGCTAGAAGGAGCGTTTCCGACCTTATAAAATTTTCTTGATCGGTCACTAGCCGGTCGATATAGCCATGTCCGTTGTCCTTGTCTGTTGTCCTATGACGCTGAGATCTCGGAAACTATAAAGCTGAAGATTGGCATTTGCATGCGATTCTGGGTTCCTCGCAGCGCAGTTTGTTTCAAAAGGGGCCACCCCTTTAATGCCCACAATCGCTTATATACATTTTAAAATTTAAATATTTCGGAAAGTAAAATGCGTTTTATTGTGTTTATCAATACCTATCGAATGTGAGGAATTTTCAAATCCGACCATTCGTTAAAAGTTATGGTGATCATGTTTCTATCTCCATCTCCTCACTCCTTTACCTTAACGGTATCTGATGTCGGGCCCCTATAGCTCTTGTCTATACTAAGATACATCGGCATAGTGGCCTCTACAAAGTGTAGCCAAAATAGATTGTGAAAGCATTATGCATGCGCTTATAAATGCATTAGGGTGGATATTAATAAGACAAAACTAAGAAGTGATTAGATGTTTAAATAAAAAATTTCACTTGATAGTAAAACGTATAATTAGGTGCCTTATATAACAAAGCATAATGAATATTTCTTTAAATGGCGCCCTTTGTCTAGGTTATCACTGTGCTAAATTTATGCACTTTCTGATTAATATTTAATCTCTTTCGTGTCAGAAATGTGTTCAATGTAATGCCAACATTGAAACCGGTGTTATTTATTTACAAACATTCATTATCACGAGTTTCTAGGCAATAAGCTCTCACACTCTCGGCATTCCTATCGCACCAGTTCTGAATGTTTGCTGATATATATATGTATATCTGCTATAGCTTTAAAGCTTCTGAGAGAGTCAAAGTATAAAGGCTTTAGACATTCAAAGAGCGAATGATCTGAGAAAATATTGGCACAAGCCCTCTGAGAAATATCTTATAGATGTTGTACTAAATTGTGTACTTTCTCACTTGATAGAGGCCATGGACCGTATGCGTATGCATAAAAAACATTTCTACTCTTTTATTTATAAAAATATCTCAGGGAATCTTTTATATTTTTAGAATCAATTATCTAAAACTGTACTAATTTTTAAAACGTGAATACTGGCTGGCGTCCTATAAAAAGCTATTCTCAACAACTTTATGTGAATAAAATCCAAATCGATTAATTGCAAAATCAGGATTTTTAATAAATTCATGTCGAATGAGAATTTTATGATTTGTATAGATATATCCATGTTTGTCATATTAACATTTCATAAATGTTTGATGAACAAAAGATTATCGACGGGAAATTTCAGAAAGGTATTTGAAGTAGGTGCTTATCTGAATCATTGGAAACTTTTACGTGATCACATTTAAAGCATTGTTAATTAATGAAAATAGGAAAACTTAATTGTAGGGTCTCGAATTGAAAGCTATATCTATGTGTAGATAAGATCATGCTAGATAGATTAACGTTCCATAAAAAGCACAATAACTTCGGATTAACAGATTAGAAACGTATGCCAAATGAACTTATGGGTAATAAAACCTGTGGTTTTTACCCTCTAATCCAGGTGATACGGTCTTCGCCGGCGGAGCAGCTTCCACGCCCGTGGCTCTGCTGAATGCGATGGCCAAGCACGGAAAGAACAACAAGCTGGAGGGCGTTACCGTGTGCCACATGCACACAGAGGGTCCTGGGGAGTACGCCAAGCCGGAGTATAAGGACATCTTCCGCTCGAACTCCTTCTTCATGGGTGCCAATGTGCGCAAGGCGGTGGCCGAGGGACGTGGCGATAATGTGCCTATCTTTCTTCACGAGATCCCGCAGCTGTTCTACAAGCAGATCGTGAAGCCTGATGTGTCCTTCATCCACGTCTCGCCGCCGGATAACCATGGCTACTGCTCCCTGGGCACTAGCGTCGATTGTGTGCGAGCCGCCCTGCTCCACTCAAAGCTGATTGTTGGTGAGTCTTGACAGCTTGATTCCTTGCATTCCCGAGACTTAATTGTTTTACTCCTCCACCTCCAGCTCAAATCAACCCCAAGATGCCGCGCACCTTCGGCGATGCCATCATCCACAAGTCGCATTTTGACTACGCCGTCGAGGTGAACGACGATCTGCCGCAGCATGGCACTGGTGAGATCTCTCCCGTGGAGAAGAAGATCGGCAAGCTCATTGCCGAGAACCTGGTCAAGGATGGCGCCACCCTGCAGATGGGAATTGGCAGCATCCCCGACGCCGTTCTGGACGCTCTCCACAACCACAAGGATCTGGGTATTCACTCCGAGATGTTCGCCAATGGTGTCGTGGAGCTGGTGCGCAAAGGATGTGTCACCAACAGCAAGAAGAAGATGCACCAGGGCAGGATCGTGGGCTCCTTCCTCATCGGTGATAAGGCTCTGTACGATTTCGTCGACAACAACCCCTTCATCGGTAGGTGGATTTAATTAGTCCTGAAATATGCATATTTTGAAGTATCAGAATTACTAAAACATGTCTATATCTTATCCCCAATTATCCAACTCTTAGAGATGTACGCCATCGACTATGTGAACAATACCAGCATTGTAAAGCAACAGCCCCGCATGACGGCCATCAACAGCTGCATTGAAGTGGATCTGACTGGACAGGTTTGCTCCGATTCCATTGGCTCCCGTTTCTACTCCGGTTTCGGCGGTCAGGTGGACTTCATTCGCGGCGCTGCTGAGGGTCTCGACGGACTGGGTGTGCCCATCATTGCCATGCCATCCACCACAAACAAGGGCGAGAGCAAGATCGTGCCCACGCTAAAGGAGGGTACGTAGATAATTTATACGTTTTAAATAAAAATAAATAATTGGATTCTAAATCCCTTTCAGGCGCTGGCGTCGTTACCTCTCGTGCCCACGTTCACTACGTCGTCACCGAGCACGGAATTGCATCGCTATTCGGCAAGAACGTGCGCCAGAGGATGTATGAACTTATCCAGATCGCCGATCCCAAGCACCGCGAAACTCTGGAGAAACAAGCCTTTGAGCGTATCAAGGTTATGCCATCACCGAACTAAGCACTGAAACTCGTAGAGCGAACTATTTCCGAGCAGCAACCGCAATCTTTGAAGGCATTCCCGATATCACTTTGATCCACTTCATAGAACTGCAATCATGATAGCCCTTATAGCATTACCAAATGTGAAATTTTCAATTGATGAGAAACGAATTCATGGGAGAAATAAAAACTGAAAAATTATTAAAGCGCTTTTTAAATTAAATTTTAAATTTGATTGATACATTTTTTTAATTTGAGTAGAAAGAAATTGGAGCGTTAGTATTCTGATATTTATAAGGGTATATCAAAATGTTATTATTTAATAACAGCTATTCTTTAAATACCCACAGTTCGTTAATAAAATGCATTAAAATTTGTATTCCGACGACAGTTTATTTTCATACTGCAAATATGAAGGAGGCGCGTACAGGAAGTCCGGCTTAGCTTTAGTTATATTTTAATATATATACAAATCTGTGTGTTCGATTAGTGTCGGATCAGTCACAGTCCGATCTGCTCCCAACGGGGAGCGAAACTCCTGGCTGAGTGACAGACCATTCGCTTAGGATAACACGACCCGAGCACACAACGTTGTCTTTGAATTGAATGTAAAAGGAGCTGTTCAAAAGGAACTAGATTGTATTCTCAGTATGCATCGTATTGTAATATAGGGCCTAAAACTGTTTTTGCTTTAAAATCTACACGTTTATAGCTTAAACCTCGATGGATGATTGGCGGTAAGCTGTTTACTTCTTCTTGTTGTTCTTAGCATTTTTTCCATCGGCGGCGTTTTCGATCTTGGCGCGCTTCTTTGGGTGCTCATCCTCCTCATCCTCGGCCACGTCGTCCTCCTCATCATCCTCCTCCATGTCGACCACCTCAACATCGTCCTTGATGTTGTGCCCGTGGATGTAGACGGGCCCGCTGCCCTTGATGAGCTTGAACGTCACTTTGGACTCGTAGAACTCCACATCGGGATTGACGGCGCGCGTCTCTCCGGCCTTCAATACTGCGATCGGAATTTGCACCGAATCCTTCAGTGTATTAACCTGCGCATATAAGAACGGGAAGATTTGCTTTAATAGATTCTTGTCATAGGCATTTCAAGTGGCTTATAGATAATTACTGAATTCACAGACTGCATATATGCCTGATTTGTGCGAAAAGATACAAAGAAGTTCGTCACGCTTCGAAGTATTCTACTCATAAAAACAATTTTGTATCTTCAATCTTTACCTGCATTAAGCAAGTAAGATAAGATTCCCACAAATGATTGACCCATATTGATTCCCGCGGTAGGCCCTTCAAGTGGCCACAGATAGTTGTTAAATTACACAAATTTCTGATTTGGGCGAATAGATAAAATGAAGTTCATCACGGCTGGCCCACTTTATCGCTCTGCAGTCTCTATCTTTAATCTCTGTCAGCCGAGCACCTTCCCCGAAACTAACTGAACGATGATAACTATCTTCGCTGCCTACGCATTCACATATTTCGCACAGTCGGTTTGCAGTAATATCCCCGTACACAGTCGGCCGCTTGACCATTCGTCTGCCCACGCTAGAGCGGTTCGGTTCGTTCTCATTCAAACTGCAGGCAGGCTCTTCTAAATCCGAGTCCAGCCAGTGCGAATCTGACAAGTGCCCGCTAATTAATCATCAACAACGTGTAATTCGAATCAAAACTCCCACCTAGTATTAGCCAACTGTAAAGTGCTTGTCGGCATGTGCGATAATGAAGGTAAGTGGAGAGCGCGTTACCCCAAGAGGATAAGTGAAAGCAATTCAAGGGAAGCCCATCAATGTGAAAATCAGAAACACGGAACTATAAACCTGTAATGAATGGGTCTAAAATTAGTCATTAGAACACAAAGAATTTAATTTATTTTTACTTGATAAACGATATGTAAAAACAAATAAATCTAAAGAGTTTGGATCATAATCTTTCAAAAATTGTTAAGCGAATTTAGTGGTGAGAAGAAATATCATGAGATTTATAATAAAGTTTATATCAACCTTATAAATTCATGAGATAAAAACTAAGCAAAGATCTTCAAGATACTAGGATGTTAGCGTCTACATTATTTATGGCAAATACTCTGTAATAATAAGTAATTGGACACGAAAATCCAAAGGCTTAAAGTGTTTTTTTTAAAAGAATTATCAAGTGTTCTCAAATCAGAATTATCAATGACAAGCTAGCTTCCTCTGGATTAACTTGTCTATCAGCCAAAATGATATTAACCATTTTCCCTGTGACTATAATAAGTTCAGATATACAACTAGTCAAGGATATTTAAGATACTAAAAGCAACTCAATATAATTATCTATGAGTCAAAAAAAACAGTCCAAAGTTCTATCAAAGAAATATCACGTGTTCCTGGCTGAAATATTAAAGACAAGCTTGCTTCCTCTGGATGAACTTGTCTATCAGCTAGTCGACATCTTTAGGTAACTTTCCAGAAGTCACAAGACCAAAGAACCTTAGAAAACCATCAAGGCACTTCAGACCATGTTCAGAGATTATGAATATGTGTACAACGTACATAGAAAGAGCGTTCCCAATCAAGTAACACACTTAACAGGTGGTGATATCAAGATTTCATCAATAGACCCCACAGGGTAGACCTATTCATTAGCCTATCTCTGTGTTTTCAGATGATCTCTATCGGGAGCGCCTGCCGAATGTCTGCGAAGCAGTGGGCTCGAAGGCCCGAAGTTGCTGTAGCATGCGCTCCGTTCACAGATATCTGCCCGTAACCGATTGGCTGCCCAAGTACCAGTGGAACTTTCTGGCCATGGATCTGGTGGCGGGTCTCACGGTGGGCCTTACAGCTGTACCACAGGCCATAGCTTACGGAGCTGTAGCCAATTTGCCTCCTGCCTACGGACTCTACTCAGCGTTTATGGGTGGATTTGTGTATATACTGTTGGGAACCTGCAAAGACATCACAGTGGGTGAGTTTTCTAGTCTCGGTAGCTGTAAACCCATGGCTAAATAGTGAAAATCTTTGTCAGGACCCACGGCCATCATGGCGTTAATGGTAAGGCCATATGTGGATGGCAATCCGGCATATGCAGTGCTCCTGTGCTTCCTGTCCGGCTGCGTTATCACTATAATGGGTTTGCTCAATCTGGGAGTACTCATGCGGTTTATTTCAATACCGGTGACGACAGGTTTCACGATGGCAGCAGCCTTAACCATAGCCACCGGGCAGGTTAACAGCTTGTTTGGCATTAGCAGTAGTGCCAATGGGTTCCTAAGCTGCTGGATACACTTCTTCGAACATATAACACAAATGCGTCGAAATGATGCCATCCTGGGCTGCTGTACTTTAGTTCTTTTGCTGCTAATGCGGGTAAGTAACAACCGGTTCCAAAACTTTTTACTTTCACTATCATTTTCTCGTCTAAAAGCAGGGTTAAAGCTGCTTTTTTTTATGCTCCTACCAAAAATAAATTTATGAATAGAGTGTTAATTAAAAAATATCAAATATATTTTATTATGATTAGCAACTCAAAGACCTGCCTATTGGCATCAAGAGCGTGTGGAAGTATATTTCTTTAGCTCGCAATGCTGTTGCTGTGCTAATAGGAATCCTGCTGTGCTACCTTTTGAAAAAAGACGGTAAGCTGCCTTTTCTAGTCAGCGGTAGCATCACGCCCGGCTTACCGCCATTTAAACCTCCACCATTTCACACGGAGGACACAGCCACTGGGGAAATGGTAAACTTTGGTGGCATGGTATCACATGTGGGATCTGGACTGGTGTCCATACCACTTTTGTCTGTATTGGAGAGCATAGCTGTGGCCAAAGCCTTCTGTAAGTAAAATTTTCCATATATTTTGAACCTTCAAACTTAAACTCCTTTTGTTTCTAGCTAAAGGAAAGATAGTAGATGCCTCGCAAGAGATGATTGCCCTGGGCGTAAGCAACATCCTCAGCAGCTTCTTTTCTTCAATGCCCATCACTGGATCCTTTACAAGGACTGCTATCAATAACGCCAGTGGAGTGAGGACCCCGCTGGGTGGAGCTGTTACCGGGTTTATTGTTTTAATGACCCTGGCTTTCCTCACATCCACTTTTGCCTACATTCCCAAGGCGACTTTGGCAGCAATAATCATTGCAGCCATGTTCTTTATGGTGGAGTATGAGACAATTGGCGAGATTTGGCGGGCAAAAAGTGAGTTCTAACCTGGATATAATAAAGTAACTATAGCTCAATCTGCTGCAGAACGTGATATGCTGCCTTTTCTCGTCACCGTGCTGACCTGTGTCTTCTGGACTTTGGAGTATGGAATGGTGGTGGGCATTGTCTTCAATGCTCTTTTCTTGCTCTATAAGAGCATGAAGCCGCAGTTTAATTTGGAGACCCAAAAGGTGAGAAATCTAAACTGGCATGAAAAACTTATTAATCTACATTGGCAACCTTTAAGTTTAACGGCATCGAGGTGACCATGGCCGATCTCAAGGGCAGTGTGGATTATGCGGCAGCCGAGTACTTGAAGATATCCATTGTGTCTCACGTGACGGATAAAAATAGCGAGGGCGGCACCGCCACCACATTGGTGGTCATTAAGGGGCACGAGATCGCCTCAATTGATACGACCGTGGCTTTGGTGAGTGTTGCTTCCGCCTGATTTATTACCTCTAACCCGGAGTCTCCTCCCTCCCTTATAAAGAACCTCAAATCCCTGCGCGAAGATCTCTCCCTGCTGAAGTGCGACATGATCTGCTGGAACTGGAGCATCCCAGCGGCGGGAGTGATTTGCCGGATGGATAGGAAGCTGCGCAGTATGTTTAAGTACTCGAAAAGCTTTCCCGACCTAATGCAAACAATGGCATACGGCGAGCCAGCCGTTTCGTGTATTGCCGTCGACTTAAGTCAATAAAGAGTGCTCTTTTGTCTTGTCATATATTTTTGCGTACAGTTGCGTCAGTGATGGGAAGAGTACTATTTGATATGGTAGTATTAAAATTTATTTCAAACGCCCATTAAAAAAAAAAACTATATGGGTGTTACCATGGAAACGATAGCAAATTGTAAGACCTTAAGGTATATATCATGAATTATTTAATTAAAAAAGTCCTCAAACAATTTTTTTTATGGATATAATCGTAGAGATTCAACAGAAAAATCTAAAATTCTTAATTTATTCAAATTTTCTCTGTTTAATTTGGAGTGATCACATTTATAAAAGCTTGTTTAAATTATTGTGACATCATGCCAAGCTGAAATAAAGCTGTCTTTTTTTAATTGTACAAGTTTTTTAGTGTGTATTTGGTCTACTAAATCCGAAGTTAATAGTTTCGGTTGGTAACTAGGCAATATTTTTTTTAAATAAATTAAATTTCATTTATTTTAGTTTTAATTTCTCTGTTAAAATTATCAAGGTATAATACTTCATCACGATTTATTTTAATTAAATGTAATTATAAGTACCTACTTCTTTATAAAGTACCTAGTATGTTGCGTACCCTACTTTAAATACCTAGCCAATTTCCCATAGCGAAAGTACAGCAATCCGGGGGCTGGTGACTCTGCAGTCTGCAGATGTACAGACAAAATTACCCTAACCCAAAACGAGCTAAAAGTTCGTGGTTGTTCTGGTCTGGGAGAAAATGGAAACCGGTCCCTGCCCCGCCGGCCGGAAAAATGAAAAAACTGAAGACACCGGCGCGCGCATACACAACTTATGGGATTTATTACATGCAATAAAGCCCCACACCAGAAAGTACTCACCTCAACCACGTTGAACTCGTTCTCCTTGGCCTCAGCGCCCAAAAGGATCTGTTTGATGACCAGCTTCTGGCCGCGTGCGTAGTCCTCGTCCACATCCCACGTGACGCTGTCGCTCTCGGCGGTCAAAGTGACTCCTGCGAAAAGGACGTAGTCCCCATTATATATAATTTTCACACATTCAAAATCGGGGAGTGTGGGGCCAGACACACAAATTGCAACCTTGGAGTAAAAACACCGGCAAGCGTCGCAGACGATTCGCTTTTTTGGTTGCTAATATATCTTCTGCCGTCTTCTTTTTATCCTTTTTGACTGCATATTTGAATGCTCTATTTAATTTAAATTACCGTAGAAAGATTCCTCAGCCATTGTAGGTAATATTTAATATTAATTCCACACAAAACCAGCGGCGAACACGTGTTGAGCAAAATCTTTTGCAAAATGGTAGCTGAAACAGGGTTGCCACGCTAAGGTAAACCAAATATATCGACGGGGCTACCTTAGTAATAACTATCGCAGAGATGCCACTTTCAATAGCGAAAAACGCTTAAAATTGTTTATAAAGATACTAAAAATTAATAAATAAATAATAAAGCATTTTATAAGATAATTAATTGAATAAAAATACATAAAAACTTGAATTAATAAATTTAATCGAAACTATCGATAACAATACGCTTCGGATGACTTTGGCCGTTTCCCAACACGGCTCAACGCTTCATACAACTGCAGCCATCGCCGTTTTACGGGCACGTGTAGAGTACAAAAAATTTCCATTATTAATTGACTGTACATCTGTGTCCCAAGGCCTACAAATGGAGTCCGAGTCGTTTTATGGTGAGCATTATTATTATCTTGGTAGGAGGAGCTCTATAAAGGCGATCCCAAACCAGTACTACATGGAGCTCCTCTAGCCGGCAAAAAAACTAGATAAAAATCCAACCCTCTTTGCCATTCGTCCATTTTTAGGTGTTACACTTAGCGAGAAAGAGCCCATCGCCCAGTTCGACGTTCCAGATATACCAGAGGAGTATATCGTCCACTCACACAAGCTCATCATCAAACAGATTTCCCTCGGGCCCGATGCAAAGTCCGGCGAGTTCAACGTTGTACAGGTGAGCTCGGTTATAGAGGATAATCTTGATGTTACTGTCGTAAATCATAGAACGGCATTTTTCAATGTACCTTTGTATATGTACACCTTTTTATGGAGTAATATGTGTAATTCGGTTATCATGTTCGTATGAAAGGTATTTAAGCATTCAGATATGTATGACTACAATTTTCTGGATAGTCAAACCAATTCCGATTAAAATCTTCATTCCCAGAAATCTAGCATATCAATATTCTTCTGCAAATGGTTTTCTAATTATAAAGCCCCTTTTGAAAGAAAAGAATATACAATTCTATCAGCAAAGATTTTAAGAATTTACTGCAATTTATTCTTAATTAATAAAAAGAAGTAAAAAAAATTTATTTTCCTAGAAATTTATAAAATGCCGTGAACGATCTCTTAAATGATCTTTTTAGTTTTGCACAATTATGTATAAAATAACCAAACTAAGAAATTCCGAGGCTAACATAAATTATATTTTTCAGGCGGAGACAAACATAAACGACGATGGCGAGAAGAAGACTGTGAAGATTCCCATCGCCGTACTCAAGGTCGGCGAGACCCGTAGTTTAAGACCAAATGTTGAGTTCCCCAACGGATCAGTGACTTTTAAACTGGTGCAGGGCACTGGACCCGTCTACGTCTGTGGCAAGGTAAGTTCAATCCTTCCATCGTTACAAATGTAGTCACTAAAAGTACCATCCTTTCAGGCGGAAATGAACTTTGGTGAGTTTGACGACGGTTATATTAACGAAGACTATACGGATGAAGAAGAAGACAGCGAACTGGAATTCGATGAAGATGCAGCCCCACAGACGAATGGAAAGAGCAATAAGAAGAAGTAGAAATACATTACACTCCAGTAAACTAACAAAATGAATCGAGAAAATAAAAAACAAACAAACAAACTTTTTTAAGCATGTTAAACATGTGGACAAGCAGATTTACAAACAAAACCCAATCATAATGACATTTATATATTTGGTCTATAGTATATGGAATTTTATTCATTTATGTGTTTTCTATGTTCAAATATGTCACTTAATGCAAACGAATTGTGGCAGTTTTGAGAAGAATGCTCACGGAAGATTAAAAAAATAAACCCACCGGGTTTTTGTGCTAGTTGCAGGCTCGCGCCACCGAAATTTTTTGACGCGGTACACTGAAAGTAAATTCATTTTCGTTATTTTGCTATGGAAACCGAAGTTTGTAGTCTGTCCCCTACCGTATGTGAATCACTCGACGCCTCTCATCGCTGGGATGTATAAGGTCCAACTTCTGGCTCCATTCAATTAGCTTCATTTCGTGTCGCAGTTTCTTGCGATCGAAGTAAGAAATGACACAACTAATGGGTATCCAAAAGACTGCGGTGACGAGGACAACAGCCACTGAAAATATGATTGAGTATTCGTTATTAAGGAATTTTGTATTTCTTTACTTTTGAGTTTTTTTCTGGATCAAGAAAAAGATATTTCACCTAATATAAGTAAGTAATATAAGTACAAATTATAAGTAATACAGTCTATAAGTTTTAGAAACATAAGTAAAACATTAATTCAATCTTTATGATGCGTTGCAGTACTTACTGACAATGTTGTCCTTGAGAAACCGCAAGGTTTTGGCCACATTTATCTCCTCAATGATGTCCCAGAAGCGCTCGACCACATCCTGTATGGTCTTCTCGCAGACGCCCTAGAAGGATACAGAAGGATTAGATAAAGGCAATTTTAAAATTACACACGCTTACCTTATTACAGAAACCTGTGATGCAGGGCGTCCCATCGGGGAGGACATCCGGCGGCTCTACCGGGAAGCAGGTCTCATTGATGCTCATGCGGCAGCAGCGCTTGCAGGCATCCGCGATGATATCACACATGCAGCTCTGCAGACCCTGTGTCTCGCAGTACGGCACACACTTGCCGTTCCGGCATTGACCGCGCTCTTGGCAGGTGGTTCCATCCGCCATGGCCGGCGATTTGGGACACTCGGCATGGGCGCCGGTGCAGCGAGCCTCCTGCTCGCAGGTGGCGTACTGGGCCTCCCGACACTTCATCCCGGAGGCCATGAACTGGCAGTTTTGGCAGCACGGCGAGTTCTTGTCGCTGCACATGGCTCCTTGGTTCCGGCGGAGCTTGCAGTTCTTGTCGCAGCAGGAGTCGTTGTCCTCGGTGCCCAGGAGTCCAGCATCACACTGCTCATCACCTTCGACACGCAGATTGCCGCAGAAGGACTCTTCCGGCTCTGAAAAGCATCTGCCCGACTTGGCCTGCAGCACTTTACGAATGGAGCGAAGAGAGCAGGGAGAAAATTTCTGGAAAGGAAGCAGGAACATTATCCTTATTCTTAAGATGTTCTTAACGGAAATCCATACCTTATTGTTAACATCGTACCCGCTAACGGAGTATGTGTACATAAGGAAACTGCCGCCTTGAGAGGCACTTGGTGAGCACTCTGGAATGTCAGGATCGTGCTCTGAGCCCCAGTTGTGTCCAAACTCATGGGCTGTGACCAAATCGGCCTCCCTAGTTATGACCCGCTGGCCATAGTGGTTGCGGGAACTACTCAATCCCGAGTTCAAATACAGAGTGTATCCATTTTTGAAGTATTCTTGGATATAAAGAAAATAGGTTATTTTAAAATCTAGATATACATATAGGAGGAATAACACGAAATCTCTAATCTTTTAAAATCACTTAATGGATAAATGACAAGAGACAAGGGTCATAAACCTTTTTTGTGATTTTAAATCTCTAGGGATTTCGTAGATACCCCTCTATAAAAACATGCTGAGTACTCAAAAAATCAAGAAAAACCAAGAGAAACGCAAATGTGTAAGCCAAATGAAAAGGACAAATATGATTGTTACTGGGATTTAGCAACCTGGAGTGCAAATGCCGCCAACGGAGTTACGACGCGGGGAACCCACGTAAGCCAAGCCTAAAATGCCGCCTTCAAACTTGAGATCGGTAAATAGATGGGCTAGGCAAAAGTCTTTGTGGCTGTACTCCCGGGAGAAGACCTAACCGGAACAATGGCCACAAAGGAGTCGGAAAATCAGAGTGAGAGATACAAGAGTTATATGATCATGAGGAAGAGCAGCTACACGAAAACAGAAAGGAACTGGTATAACCCAACTCACCTCCAGGAGATTGCGGACATCCCACTTCTCGCGAATCATGTTATAGTGTGCCTCGCCTCCACGCAATCTCGTAGGCTCCGAGTGCACGACAATCTTTTTTATCACGAAGCCCATTCCCTTGAATCCCTCTTGATCCGAACGATCCTGCCATACTGTGTCGTTGTAGATCTTGTGCACTCGATCAATGAGGCTTATCTGAAGATTTCAAGTTACTAGATGATCAAGGGAAGACGTACTTAAGAGCTTACCAAGTAGTTAATGGTGGTCTTGGTGTTGCCGCCACCCATTTCTTGAAAGAATCGATAGTCTGCCACTAGTAGCAGAGGACATCGAGTTTTGGTGGGCGTATATTCATACTGATCCGACTGGCGCTTCTCCCTTGTATGCAGTTCATTATCCAAGACATCCCCGTGCTCCTTGTCCTCCAGTTCGAGACCCTCTTTAATGTAGCCACAGGTTTTGGGACTGGCACCCGCCTCGTTCTTGTGCACCTTCACATCCGAAGCCTTATACGCCACCATGGTGTCCTTTTTGGACTCGGGCAGGTGACGCCAGGAGGGCTCGATGTGATAGGTTTCCTCCGGCAGGTGAATGGACATGGTCATGGTGCCATCTTCGATGTGAGCTCGCACTGAGGACTCCAGTTCGCCAAAGACGCGACCTGAATAGAAGCTATCGTGATCTGGAGAGGAAACATTCATAACTAAAGAGTGGATTCGAGAAAACTATAAATTACCCATATGAACCACCGTTTCATTGCCATCCGCATCCACAGCATAGGCCCGAAATTTACTGTGCAGGACATCCCTATGCGGATGCAGGATCAACCGGAAGTTCTTGCCCAGCGTAGTGAACTCCACCTCCTTGATGATGTTAAAAGGATTCGTGCTGTGTTTGGCACCCCTTTTGACCACCCTGTGCACCACATCGTCCTTGTGGAAAATTTCATAGTAGCGCAGCGTCTTTTGTAGGGCCACTAAAAGTTAGAAATGGGGATCCTAGATCACAATCTTTACTTTTTCTGGATTATGCATATGCTCACCGCAATTTTCGACTAAAAGGCAGGCGAAGAAAACTGATATTAAAGCGAGGCCACAGCAACTAATGCATTTTGTAAACATTTTTCGCCCGCTAATTCTGCATTATCGATTTTAACCGTTTGCAGTGTAACCGTCACTGAACCGTTAGAAATATACCACCGGAAAAGGAGATTTTACGGCAACAAACATCCTGTTAAAATCCGACAGTCTGGCAACACATTGAAAAGGATTTCAAAGTTTAAAGGCTTTTTTATTCGCTTAAATGTAAACCTTTCTAGAAAAGTTATCCGAAATGCTGATCTTCAAAAATCATGAGAAATGTGTGAACGCAACCGTTAAAAATAGATTATAAAAGTGCGAATTTTCTCGTTAATCAATTACTAAGGATCATTAAAGTTCCCAAAATACTTCGATTTATTTCTCGCACTAGGAATTTATAATGTTAATGTCTAAATATCCTCAAAATTTGTGGACCGTTAATGTTGAATTTAAATAACAAATATTTTTTTAAGTTTATCTATTTTCGGTGCGGGGGTGAGCGTGGATCTCCGACAGCTGGAACAGGTGCAAGCTTGTTATCCACTCCATAAAACTGACCATTTAGACTCTTTCGTCTTGGCTTTGGCATACTGAAATGAAGGGTTTATTAATAACTAGATTGGTTTTCTTATAGAGTTTTAGCCAAGTTGAAACCTGACTTTTGCGGACTTTCGGTTGAAAATTTGTTAAAAAGATTTTTCTAATGGAATCTCCCCTTTTAAAACTTACTTGCTAACATTAGAGCCGTACAAAGCAATGGTTACATATCTGCTCGGAACGTTGTCCAAAAACTTTCGAAAGCGACATCTCATATATTGGCTTTGGCGGCAGGATAGATACGGACTCAGGTGCTCAAAGTGATACTTAAAACTGGGCAGGACCACCCAATTATTGTCGGGAAGGTGGAGAAAATCCCTTGGCGACTTATCTTCATCCACCTCTCGCCCCTTTACCTCCGGTTGGAACTCCTTCACCAGCTGGTTGATGTCGAATTTCATTGGCCAACTTGTGAACGGTTCGCAAATAGGGTTTTGCATTTTGAACAACTAGAAAATAAGCCAATAAATGTACCCCGAACTCGAAACAAACTGAAACAGGCCTGCTGCTAATAGAACTTATTTTTGTAATTCCACTAAATTTTATATTTGGCTTAAGTATTTAAATCGTTACATACATATCTTTTAAATGTACAAATTCAAATGAGAATAAAAGGTGACGGGGGACCTATAAAAAGCACAAAGACAAGAGGATACAATGCATTTTCGGCCTTAAACCTAAAGTTGTAGTTAATAGCTCTAGCTAAAATGATCGCTTGTCAATCTATTTCGGAGTGATCTCGGCCATGTTGGCTTCGAAGATGGCCGTGTTGATTCGGTGCTTGAGGGCGACGAGCACCTCCCGATTGCTGATGGCCCGCATCTCGTTGGCCACGTATTCTCCGTACGTGGCGAACTCATCGCGCGCCGGCGGCAGGCTAACAATAGTAGGCGGGGGCGGACTGGGGATGGTTTGGACCTGGACCTGGGCTGGTTTGGGCGGCGTATTCACCTTGGGCAGGCGCAGGTTGCTCATGGTTATACCAGGCGAGTTGGCCGTGCCATTGGCATTGGTTTCCAGTGCAGGGGACAGAATGGAGTTGGTGTTGTGCGCCGCTGGACTGGCTTCGTAGTACATGCGCTTGGCCTGCGACGGATGCAACTGGGTATGCTCTTCAAAGTAGCTTTCCTCCTGCCCGCCAGCCGTGTCCCTTCTCTGAATCTTTATGATTCGCGTGGGCATCACGTGCACTGCGTTGTTGCTTGTATTCTGGGCTGGAGTGGACTGGTAGTGCAACTCGCCGCTCTCGTTGGCCTGGAAACTGACAGCCTCCACGGTATTGCCCTGGTGATGCAGGTCTATCATCGTCTGGTGGTGATTCTCCAGGGTTTCCGTCTCCTCTTGCTCGTTGAGGCTCACATAGCGCACACTTAGCTCCTTGGCGTGCTTCGGCTTAACTTCCGCTTCCTCCAGTTCCGGCTCGTCGATATCGTCCACGTCTTTGGTTGTCTCCTCGATAAGTTTCTCCAGCTCCTGGGCCCGGCTGCTGGCATGGTTCTTGCGGAGGTACTCCTCGTTCATGTTACTGCTGTTTTGATTCGCTGGCGTGCTGTTATCACTGTTGTGATCTGCAGTGACCTCGCCCAGGGCAAACTTTCTCTCGTCGCCTTGGAGTTCCGTCTTCAGGCGACCCTTCGTGGAACGGCAGGCGTAGGGCGAGCTGAGGAACACCAGGTTCTTGAAACCAAACCACTTGGAATTGTAGGGCTCCTTGCGTTTCATGCGACTGATCTCGCGATGGTACTGCGTGCGTAGTGTATGGAACTTCTTCTCCAGCTCGTTGATCGGGATATTCCCGCCCAGCACCTGGCTGACTTCGTTCAAGAGCCGCTGCTTCACGTCCTTCTTCCGGTACTCGTCGCACGTCATGTCCCACAGGCCGCGACGACATCGGTACTCACTGATCAGCAGCAGCGTCTTCTCGCGCGTCCACTCCATTTTTAGATCGCTCTTTCGTTTCGGATCTGGCCGGGCAATCTCGTATCGTTTCGGTATCGGTGTTGCCAAGGCAGAACAATGGGATGGGATTTGGGACCTGCTCCCTTTTATCAGGCAAAGAGACAAGCGGCACTGGTTAGCCAGCTATGGCCATTAATAGCCCACAGAAGTTACCTCGAGGCGGATCGCGATCGGAATCGCAATCGTCTATTTATTCGGGAGCGGGAGCTGTGCTCTGGTTTATTTTTGCTACTCCAAAACAGCAGCTGGGGGCGCACTGCCGATGTCGGTGTCTTCGCGCCTACTGGCTGGCCCGGATTATTCGCATCGGGCTGGAATGGGTCTGTAGAGATGCAACAGGGATGTAAAGTCCAGGAAATATAGCCAAAATGCCAGTTTTGTTTGTTTAAATTGCACTAAAGTACAGCAGATTTCCTCCCCCTCGCGTAAAAACAAATGCTGTGTATCCATCTTAGGCGCTATCGATTCATCGATAGTTTTGAGAGTTTGTATAAGACCGTTCTTGATGAACCTTATTGGTGGTTGTTATTCGTTACTATTCATAGATTTATTTTAATTTCTGATTGAAAGTAACATATATTAATCTCCGTGTTTTTCTAAGAAATATCTTTATGGTTTCTAACTGATCAAAAAAACAAAAATAATTATATAGATTCCCTGCCCAATTTACAATTTATATAACTAAAAATAAAACCAATTGTCGGGGAACATTGTAGAAACTAATTGATCTGCATTAATAACTGCATTTTATTTTATTAAAAAATCAAGGCTTTTTAAAATTTTATTTTAGTGACGAATGCGATCACTATTGATACTTAAGGTGCTTTGCAGTGTTGGACAACTAAGAAAGTTTCCCCTCTTGCACGAGAAAACAAAAATAAATAAACGCGGAAAACACTGCCTCAAATTAAAGAGAGATTTATTAAGAATTAGAGTAATAGCTCGATCTCAATTAGTAAATGGGCATCATGGAAAACAATGGCGTCGGCAAGCTGACCGAAGAATCTCTGAAACGCAAGGAGCGGCTGCAAAAACTACGGGAACAAGCGCAGAATAAAGGAGAAGACACCGCCGAAACCAATGAAAACTTACCCAAGTCAGTAATACCTGGAGTTTCTACATAAACCATTATAACACTAACCCTTTTCCCCTTGTAGACCTGTATTCCGTAGCTACAAACCGCAAAATGAGAGCACCTCCGGCGAAATTCTATCCCAGGAGCCAACAGGAAACATTGAAACCGCTGTGGAGGATCAACTGAGTCTGCTGCAGCAGCCCATGGTGATCGATGAGATTGATATAACCAACCTGGCACCTCGCAAACCAGATTGGGACCTCAAACGGGATGCCAGCAAGAAGTTGGAGCGATTGGAACGACGCACCCAAAAGGCCATTGCAGAACTCATCCGGGAGCGGCTGAAACTGAACCAAATCGAGGACATCAGTCAGGCGGTGAATGTGGCCACTGCCCATGCAGGTGAAACTGTCCAGGAGGATTATGACTAGATCCGAACAAGACAACTATATTATTAAACTTGTACAAAAACGATAAATGCACTAACAATAAGTAACACTAGCGACGATTTTCCTTGCCAGTGGGTATGGATAATCGTTCTTTTAAAATGAGGATCTCTGGAATTGGTTAAGAGTAAGTGAGGTAAGCAAAAAGAATTCCGAAATCTATTACATACGTTTGGAATACTTCTGCTCTAGGCCCTGAGCAAAGAGACGCATAGATTGCAGCTGCTGGGGGATTTCTTCACGCAGCTTTTCAATAGTTATTCGCGCCTGACGTAGTTCATCTTCGCGTAGGGATAGTAGACTCTCCTTGGCCTGAACAGCCTTCTCTTGCTGCAGAGCTACCTCAGTTCGCCAGGCAATAGTTTTCTTGTGATTTAGCAGCTCCTGGCTTTGTTTGAGAATGATCTGGTTGGCCTTGGAGATTTCCTCAGATGCCATTTCCAAAGCCTGTCGCTTGGTGTGCAGGATCTTCTTTTCGGCCTCTAGTTCAGCGGATATGTTTGCCTGTAAATGGAAACGGAATTAGTAATCTCACACAAATATTATGGTACCAACATACCTTTTCCTTGTTACCCTTTTGAATATGTTCCTGCAGCTCGGCTGTGTGCTGCTTCAGGTCCTCAATCTTGTACTCCAACTTGCGTTCCTGTTTCTTGGCATTGGTTAGATCGCCGTGCAGTTTGTCGTTCTGCTCCTTTAAAGTGCACACCCGTGATTTGCAAAACGACAACTCCTCTGCCAGGGTTTGAGAACGTTTTTCGGCTTGTTCTTGGGCTGATTTTAGGTCAGCTTTATCCAGGCAAGCCTTTTCCATTTGCGCCTGCATGCCAGAGATCGCTCTACGATTCCTCTCTAGTTCATTACTGCGCTGCTCATTAACCTTGGCCAGCTTTTCCTGGAACTGCTGGATCTCTGTGGTATGCTTTTCCTCGAGGATGCGAGTATTCTCAGCTAAGGCTTCTCTGAGTTTGCTGTTTTCTGTGCTTAATCTTTCCATTTGCGAATGTTGTGAGTTCATTTCTACTTGAATTTGCTGTAAATTCTGTTCCAGCATATATTGTTTTTTGTGGGAGGTATCTAGCATGATGTTTATATAGAAGAGTACGGTGTTTAAAGGTGCAGAACGGCAGGGCAGGCTTAGATGGACCAAGTTCTTGAAAGATCTTATTTCCACAAACTGCAGATGATAGTCATGTGTTTCTCTTCCAGATGAGAGATTTTGATCCCTTCCAGACAAGTGCAGCTCCAGTTTGCCAGACTGACAGTCCTTCAGCATACGCACTACATTGTCCATGAACCCCGAGAATGTTACATTCAGTGATTGATCTTGTTTGAGATCCTGGAAGGAGGAGCTGTCCACGGTGGTGATGTACATACGTCTTTGATCGGATTTCTCCGTCAAACGGAGTTGCTGCAGGGTACAGGATTTTAGATACACTATATACGCTGAAGGACACCTTATAAAATCAGCTTACCAGCAGCTCCTTAAAATCAATCCTCTCCGCGTACAGTAAACATGCTCGCTTATTGGACCGCGTCATGTCACCGTTGAAGCTGACCAGCATCTCCACGCTGGGCAGGATGTTCACCACGTTCTTGCTGTAGTCCATGTTTGAAAAGCAGGTATCCTCGCTCCCGGGAGGCCACATTTGAGTTAAAGCGGTTGTTTAATGTAATTTTTTAAATATTTCAATTGTAAACAAAAGCAAAGGCTTGGGTCTATCGATAGCAATTGCAGTAAGATATGTGCTTGGCCAGCTCAGCTTCTGGTCACACTGCCGGTCAGGTGCCAGTTGCCCATCTCTATTTAATAAAAGAAGAAAAGCAAAAACTTATAGAGAAAAATAAATACATGTCTACTGTACGTAAGAGTTAAAGATCTAGGCGCATCCGGATTGTGCAGAGTAATCCGCTAGCTTTATCCATGCAGACCGCCAAGGTGTTCGTCGGGAGCCTGCCGCGATGCAAGCCGGACGAACTGCGTCGCCTGTTCTCCAACTATGGATCGGTGGTAGAATGCGACGTGATGAACCGCTGCGCCTTCGTCCACTTGGAGAACACGGACATGGCGGATGCGGCCATAGCCGCCTTAAATGGCACCGTCTTCAAGGGCCAGCCCATAGTGGTGGAGGCGGGTAGGCCGAAATACGGACCAGGTATTGGTAACCGTGGTGGCGCAAATTCTGGTGACAGTGCAGGACGCAGGGCGTCGGAGGGTAAGCTTTTATCCACTCCGAAAATGTATAATCTAAAGAATTTCCCATAACCCGCAGGTCAGAGTGGCACCTCCGAAAAGAGACCTGCGGAATCCAGTAACAACTTCAAGCGCAACTTCCGCGAAGAATCCGGTGGTAGATATTCTAACGAGGGCGGTGGCCCAAGGGGTTCCAATTCCACTACCAACAAATTTGGACCCGTTAAAAACGAGTCCAGCTACAGACAACAGCGCACTGCACCTTACTCCAAAGGACCACCACAAAACAACGAGGCTTCCACTCAGGGTCAGGGATTTAGGAACAAATTCTCAGCCGGAGGCAAGTTCGGCGGAAACGAGGGCAACGGAGGACGATTTGGCAACAGTAGGTTTCAGCAGCGGGATAATAATGGATCACAGACTGGAAGGAGGAACTTTAAGAACAGTCCAACCAGCGGATTTGGAGGGGGCAGTAATAATGACTTCCACGGTGGCAGTTCGGGCGGTGGAGGAGGAGGATCCATGCATCAGAGGGGCGGAGGAGGAGGAGCTGGAGCCAACAATGTGCGGCAGGATCGACGTGGCTTTGCCCTGCCGGTAGACCACCAGCAGCAGCAAATTGGCTTTGGCCGCTTTGGGAATGGACCTATTAATTCTAGCAATCGTGGAGCCAATGGGTATGTTAAAGATATGTTGTTCTACCGACTTTTAACCATATTTTTGTAATTAATTAGAGGAAATCCGCAAGGGGGACGTGGTTTCTTTAATGGAGGTGGAGGCTTCAATGCCAGACGTGGCAACAGCCACGATTCAAATAGCCATCCAGGAAGCGGAGGCGGCCCAAACAAACGCGGAGGGGCAGGAGGTAAAAATCACAATCAGAATGGCATGAATGCATATCAATCAGAGTTCCCACCTTTGGGCAGCGGAGGCGGAGCGCCAGGCCAAAGAAACCGGTGGGTTAACCTATTAAATTTATAATATAAACTATTTATCTCCAATAATCTCCCTCTTTTAGCTTTAGCGGACCCAGACCCGGACCAAATATGGGCGGCAATAGAAGATTTTAAGCAAGTGCAAAGCCACAATGATGTTTGCCAGTCCTCGTGTACTCCAATTAATAATGTAATAGCCGAATTTTGTTTTCCATTGTTTCGCGCGAAGAATCTTTTAGTTAAGCCGACGACTTTTTTTTTAATTTGTCCTATAGCCGTGTACTTTTAAGACCAACATCAAACAGTATATTTGTTATTCGTAGTTAAGATTGTTTCAATATTTATGAAATACTTAAATAATCATATTACTTGTGTGCAACTAGATACGACGAGTCAATCAATACAATCATAAATACCATATGGAGTTTTGATTTTAAATCGCCCGCCTAAGAAATTTCTGTTACAGTTCAGGGTTGCTTGGGGCAACTATCGTTATCGGGCAAACAAAGCTCTTTGTGTGGTTATCAAAACTTGTCCTCCAAAATTTATAAACAAGGAAATATGACAATTGCCTAAACTTCAGATTGCCAGTTGTATATATGCAAACGACGCACGACCAGATCGCCAGTTTTACGGTTGAGGTAAGGGACTGAAAAACCCCATAACCCGTACATATGCTCACATATGTTTTCCCTCAGTCGCTGTGGGTCACTTGTAACAAGTGTAGCTCTGAAAATGTGGAACGACCTCGGCCAACGCTGCCTAATATTGATCTCTGTGGTTTGTGTGCTGTCTTTCGGGTTGGCCAATGCCCTCAACGGCTTTGCTAATGCCGAAGGTTACCCAGATATTTCAGTCACACTGCCTGGCCAACTGAAGTTTGTGCATGTGGTAAGAAATTCGCTTGCCTTTGTATGCGAACCCAATTTTATCGCTTATGTTTTTGCAGATATATCGCCACGGCGACAGAACACCTGTAGATCCGTATCCCACGGATCCCTGGGGCGATCTGAAGAACTGGCCCACCGGTTGGGGTCAGTTGACCAATGTAAGTGACTCTTAATAAGTATAAACAATACCTCGGTTCAACTGTTTTCAATTTTATAGATAGGCAAACAAGAGCACTACGACCTGGGCAAATGGCTAAGGAAGCGCTATTCATCCCTTCTTCCCTCCAAGTATTCAGACGATGACATCTATATCCAGTCCACCGATGTAGATCGCACCCTCATGAGTGCCCAATCCAATTTGGCTGGTCTCTACGAACCACAAGGTGAAGACATCTGGAACTCCGACATAAAATGGCAGCCTATTCCTGTTCACACCATCCCCGAGAAACAGGATCCCATTTTGGCCGCTAAGGCTCCGTGTCCTGCCTATGATTACGAGCTGGAATCCCTGGAGTCCTCTCCAGAATTTAAGACTATGACCGAAAAACATCGAGATCTTTTTGCCTACTTGAGCAAGAAAAGCGGACGCTCTGTCAAAACCTTCGTGGATGCCCAGTATTTGAATAACACCTTGTTTATTGAAAACCTGTACAATATGACACTGCCGGAATGGACTAAAAAGGCTTATGGCGGCGAGGAACTCACTTATGTGGCTAACTTTGCTTTTGCCATCAGTTCTTATACACGAAAGTTGGCAAGACTAAAGGCGGGTCCACTGCTGAAGGATATTTTCCAACGGTTTGCCGACAAATCCTCAGGGCGTCTAGTTCCAGATCGTTTAATGTGGGTTTATAGTGCACATGATACCACTATATCTAATGTTTTGAATGCTTTAAAACTGTTCGAGGTAAGATTTGATCCAGATTGGCTGACAATTTAAGCTATAATTCTTAATTTCATAGCTTCATAGTCCTCCCTACACGGCTTGTATAATGCTGGAGTTGCGTGTGGATGAGATAAATATGCCACTTGTGTCTATTCTCTACAAAAACACCACCGCTGAGCCTCTACCTTTGGATATACCCGGCTGTGGTCCGTCCTGTCCACTAAAAAAACTGGTCGACCTTTATCAGGATGTCTTACCCGTGGATTGGGAGCGCGAATGCAAACTCTCTACGATGATGATGACTTATGAGGAGGCCAACTTGGGCGCGGCGACGGGTGAGTCAATAATGATTGCGTTCTAATGGAATTAAAGCATTATCTTTGTTTTATCAGGCATAATCGCTATTGCGCTGCTATTCACAAGCTATGGACTCATGATCTACTACCGCCGGCGCAACTACAAGCTGTATACCTCATACTCTCAAATGGCCTAGCCACATACCTTTGCCATTCAGTGAAAAGCATTACTTAAATCTGAATGCCTTCTCAGCTCTCCAATTGCCAAAGGGATTTGTTTTTCTTTTGATATCCTAAGTTGCCTTTGAGTGGAACTGCCCGTCTCAAACAGTTGTTGTTAATCGTGGTTAATACTTAGTTAAAACGTGCATTTCACCCAGAGTCTTTTTGTATTGATTAGTTTTTTTAGTTTAAGTTTGTGCATTTGATAAACACAACTGTTTATTAGCATTTAAATGGAATGATAACTGGTTTTGTTGTTATTGAGTGAAAGATATAGAATACCGTGAAGACTGTGAATAGAGATCTTGAAGTTGCATACATATATACATAACATATTTATACATATACATTTTTATGAAATTATCTTTGATGAAAAATTTATTGTATTAAAAACGCTCAAATCGAAAGTGGGTTTGTAAGTTTGTTTGTGGCGGAGGTAATAACCTAAGTACTTTAAGATAATAGGTGCTTCCTTTAGTTAGTTGCTGATAAGGAAAAGTTGTTAAAATATAATATTGTTATGCTTTTATTTAGGCGAATAGGAAAATATTTCTCAGTGTATCAAGACGTATACGTGATAAGAGCACAAATGAAATTAATTTCAAAATTATGCAGTTAGATAATTGGAGTCGGGATGAGGTAATATATTGGTTTGGTACATATTTACGAATGTTAAAAACACGGAAGAATTATAAAGTCGGGTATCACTGCATTATTTGAGTTATTTTATGAAGTTCTGTAGACATACCTGATATACAGCTGCTTAAATTAATCCCATGCTTTGCGCCCTCGCAAATAGACTTGAAATGTGTATTATACTAGATTTGTTTATTCCGCATAAGCGATTTGCTTGCACTTAATTATGGTTAGACATAGATATAGTTAGGGTTACAGTTAGAATGTTTTTAAGTCTATATACAACGTTGGCTGAGAGCGGCGATATAATGTAGAACCTGTTTTGCGGCGATGCGCCTGACTGACTGACTGAGATTGAAATGGACAGAATGGAGGAGTGGGAAAGATGAAGAAGCCCCCTATCGGCGGGCTTATCTGTAGGCCTTGTCATCCGAGTAAATGATATAGGGCTGATGCTGGTGCGGATGCTGATGCGTCAGGCTATCGGCTCCATCGCCATTTCCGCCGACTCCTCCGCCCGCTCCGCTGAAGTACGACATGCGGGACATGGTCGAGTAGGCCGCTGCCGCCGCTGCAGCCTGTTGCTGCTGCTGTTGTTGCTGCTGCTGGCGCTGGGAGAGATTCTGACTGGACTGATGGATGGAGGCCGCCTTGTGCGGCAGTGTGGCATAGCTGGCCTGGTAAGGAGGCACCGCGTATAGCGCCGCTCCCGCTCCATTCTTGTAGTTATACGCCGCATTGTGGGCACCCATTTGCATGCCCGCTGGGATTCCTATCATCGCTGCATTCTGCTGGTACTCCACATTGCTCATGCGCAGCCTAATGATGCATATAATAATGATGAGTATGGCTATAAATGCCACTACTCCTCCCACGATTCCTATGATGAGGGTATCGTCATTACTTATGATCGGGGATTGGGCCTTCATCAGTGGTGCCTTGGTCTTGATCTTCTTTAAACTTGGCGGCTGTGTGGGTTCCAGGCTCCAGATGATCAGGGGTTCCTCGGTGGTGGAGCTACTTCTGGTCACCAGCTGGCTGGAGGTCTTGAGCAGATGCGGCACTGGTGCAGTTGGTCTGGAGGTGGAGGAAGTCATCCGTCGGGCATCACACGTGAGTTCATCATCGCCCACTTCGATAAGCTTCCGGTTGACCAGATAAGGCGGCGATGCACAGGTCACATCCGGCATTCCAGAACTGGGCAGCCAACGTCGCAGAGCTCGGGCATTGCAATCGCAAACTATAGGATTGCTGGCCAATCCTTGCAGCTGCAGACTAGCTCTGCGATCTTCCAAAGCGTTCAGGAACTGTGGCACCAGCACTGTGATCTTGGATCCCTCGACATCTAGGTTGAGATGGGAGGACCTCGGCACCGGGAACAGCAAAGCTGGTGGGAGAGCACTCAGGGAGGTGTTCCTTAGCTGCACACTCAGGTCGTTACTCTTCAGACCAGCTAAAGTACCAGAGGAAATGGACTTCAATCGTTCTCCTCTGATTCCCAAGCTCCTGAGACGGGGATGCTTCAACGGTTGTATCTGTTCGCTGCCAATGCTGGAGTCTTTTACTTCGATATCCAGCATTTCCAAGCCAGGGAGAAGTTCCAAGATGCCCTGCAGATCTAGGTAGCCGAGTAGGGGAAGATCATACGCTTCCAGGCTGACCAGATTGGGCAGTTGCTTGAAGGCATTCTTCTCTATCCTGGAGCAATGGGGCAGGTGGCTCAAACGCAAGGATCTCAGCATCTCCAGCTTGCCAAAGTTGGACTGGGAGACGATTTCAAAGCTGTTATTGGACACATCCAGTGATTGGAGCACCTGCAGTTGGGGCCAGGCCCCGGAAAGATCGTCTAAGGATTCCAACTCATTGCCGGAGAGGTCCAACGTTTCTAGGAGGGTGACCCTTTGGAAGACCTCCGGTTTTACATTTCTGAGCTTATTATGGGAGAGATTAAGGAACTGGAGGAAGGGTGTCTCTAGAAGTTCCAGTTGCTCAATACCCGTGCCTGCCAAACTGAGTTCCCTCACGGTCTTGGGTTCGTTAAGGACATTGTGCACTGCCTTGGGACTTAAGGGATTAAAGGACAGATCAATCCTTTTGATGTTCACCATAATGCTATCATCTCCGGGTAATTCCTTGATCTTGTTAAAACTTAAATCCACCTGAAGAAACAAAGAAGAATTGTCTTTGGAGGGCATTCAAAGGAGCATATTCAAAACGATTGTGGGCCAGGTTGATATTCTCCAACATCTGGAGCTTAGAGCGCTCAAAGACTCCATCTGAAAGCTCTGATAACCGGTTGCCCTCAAGGTTAAGCTGCTCCAAACGCACCAAGCCCTCGAAAGTCCGCTCTCCAATACGATCTAGATTATTATGGGCTAGATCCAAGATCTGCAGTTGCGTGGAATTGTGGAAGGCCATCTCGCTGACCATGTCCAGTTGGTTGTTGGAAACGAGCAGGACGCGAAGTCTTGGCAAGCGAGCAAAGTCCAGTTCCTCAATGGTTTTCAGTTGATTATGGGACAGATCTATGTGCTCCAGATATTGCAGGGAGGAAATAAGCTCCGCCGGGAAGAAGGAAAACTTATTGTTGGCCGCTCGAATCTCCCTTAATCTGGGATGAATGCGGAATGAGGAGGGAAACAGGTAGCTCAGCTGGTTATCTGAAATATCCAATTCCTCTATTCCCGTTCCGGTGTTAAAATATTCTCCCTTGAAAGCAGACAACTGATTCCCACGAAGATTCAACTTCTGCAACTTCATCACATTCACAAAGGCCCCGGAACGAATGGATCCAATGTGATTGTTAGAAAGATCAATGTAGCTAATGTTCCATAGATTGACAAAGCTGCCATCCTGGAGCTCTTGCAATTGGTTATCATTGAGGTAAATCTGCTTGAGGTCCTGCAAGCCGGCAAGGAGGTCACCACTTATCTGGCGAATGTTACAGCGACTTAAATCGATGACCTGCAGGCGATCCAAAGGTTTGAAGAGAGCTCCAGTCAGAGGTGTCAGGTGATTTCCACTGAGATTGAGGGACTGCAGATTCTCCAGCTCCTCAAATATGTTACTTGGCAATTCAGTGAGGCTATTGCCATTCAAATCTAGACTCCTTAACTCCGGCAGAACCCATGGCGCTCCTCCCAAGCCAGTAAGCCTGTTCTGCGATAGCTTCAAGGCCATCAATGTGCTCTCCAATCCCGCAAAAGTATCCGCGTTAATCAGAGCCAAAGAGTTTCCGGAGAGATCTAAGGTGTGCAGACTGCTAAACATTTGGAAACTGCCTGGTGGTAGTTCCCGAATGACATTCCTGGATAACGACAGGGTAGTTATATCGCCAGCCTGGAGGGATCCAAGGATCTCAGCAGAAAGGGCCGCCACTCGATTAAAGTCCAGCTGAAGGGATGACAATTGGGGCAAGCGACCCAAGGCGCTACCAGGCACCAAAAGAATATTGTTGTCCTTGATTATGAGAGTCTGCAGGCTGTCCAATCCTTCCAAGGCATCGTCTTCGATCTGGAAAAGAAAGGATTTTCAACGGGTTAGGTTTTTATTTTTTCGAATTTTCAAAGATTACTTACCGTTCTCAAAGAGTTTAAGCTGAGGTCCAGGTATTTAAGAGCACTCATCTCACGAAAGGTTCCTGGTGTAATGCTGGTTATGGTGTTGCGGCTGATGTCCAGGCTTTCTAAAGTCCTCACCACCTGCATGTGTGTGTAGTCCAATTGCTGAAGAAAAGTAAGAAATAATATTAATATTAATAATATCAAACATTTGTTCAGTGAAAACTCACCTGTAGCATATTCGAGGATAGATTCAGGTGCTTAACTCCGGGAACCGCCGCTAGGGCCACTGTGGGAAACTGATTGAAGAAGTTCTCAGAAAGATCCAGCTTTTGCAGAGAGTGCAAATTCTCAAACACATCGCTGTTCAGATGACTGATGCGATTAGCGGAAAGCTTGATTTCCCGGATCTTTTGCAGTCCCTTGAAAGCCAGGCTGTCGATACTCCGAATAACATTGTGCCGGAGATCGATGATCTCCAACTGACGCTGCGCATTAAATGAATCCGGAAGTAGAGATCCTGCAGAGAAAGATATAAATAGCAACGTTTTTAACTGAACAAACAAAATATAAAAGTCTAGAAAGGAGTATTAAATCTTTAAAATTTAAATAAATTGCAGACCAGGACTTTCAAACAAACTTTTAAGATGAAACGATCAAGATAATTCTTAGTGTCACTTTCCTTTAAAATTAAATTAATTATTTGACTCAAGGTTATTGCGACAACTAATTGTTTGGTTTACGATTACAATTTGTGTTTTCGTTTTTAATTATAGCAGTTGCGGTTTCGATTGCACACTCAACTTTTTACCACACATTATACAGACTAATCTAACTTACCAATCTGGTTTTGGCGCAGCGACAAGTGTCTCAGGGCACTTGGTCCATTTAGAGAGTTAGTAGGTACTGCCGTCAAGCTGTTGCGATCGATGTAGAACTCTTTTAGATCCACACAGCCCTTGAGCAGACCCTCTTCGATTTGCTTTATCTTGTTTCCGGACAAATCCAAAATGCGAAGGTTTTTCAGCACGTGCAATTCGGCGGTGGAAAATATGGGATTAAGATTGTCGCCCAACAAATTATTTGCCAATCGCAACTCGTTCAGCGAATCCTTCAGACCATCAAATGCCTTTTCCGGAATCCTTCGGATCAAATTATATGACAGATCCAGCTCTTCAATGGTCAGCTTCAGTTGCCCAAATGTCTGTCGTTGGAAAATATTTTAAATATGTAAATTATTTGGCTAATAGAAAAATTATAATTTTCTACTTAATGTTACTAAGGTCTCCCTATATATGAAAATATAAATAAAATTTCATAATACAAATCATTTAATTTTTAAATTCTTCAACTTAATAAAGCAAATATAAATTAAAATAATTGGAAATAACATGAAGAATAAAACTGAACAATAAAAACGGTTTTAAAGATCAAAGATTATAGATTTAACATGTGTCAAATCAATAAGAATTAATTTCTGATTGATGCGCCTTTTCGAAACATCAATGGTGCCTGTGAGATCATCGAAAAAATGTTGAAATCCTATTTCCGTGTGGTTTATCTCTAGCTAATTGCGCCACTCACCTGGGCGGGCAGCACCTGTTGGCCGCTGTGACGTTGCGTATACGCCACGATGGGCGCTCCATAAGGCAGTTGCGGTGCGTCGCCGTGGAAGACAACGCGATCGCAGTCCATGGCCACGGCTCCCAGTTGACCAGTCGCCGCAAACGGAACCACATTGCATCTGTAATTGTCGCCACACAGTTGATTACAGCAAAACAAAGCCAAATGAATCGACGGCATCGCCATCGGCATCGCCTCACAAATTGCAGTTGGCGGTAATTTTGTGATATTAAAATAATACCCGACCGACAGCGGAAATTCGCTGTCGCTTTTGCTATGGCCGTGTCTATCTTGTGGCCACCACCTGTATGCATGGCTATGACTACTCACCTGCATGGCAGACGGAGGGCGGGACTGAGCTCCGGGCAGGGGCGCCAGGCCAAGATTTGGTGGGCCAAGTGGGAGGTGCAGATCAAGAGCACCAGCAGAAAACGCCCCCCGTTTGGCAGCTGTTTCCACGCTTCCATTTCGCTGCAATTGAGGAATGGCATTATTATTATTGGGTTTCTAGTCCCCTATCGGATTGGCATTGCTGGGTGAAACTCGTTTCGAGAAGAGATCTCTAAGCTGGCCAGCTGCCACGCTCAGTATTCCATATTCCGTATCGTATTTGGTCATTTCCCCATTATCGCCGCGTTCGCTTAGAACATTTGATTTGCATACCGATGTCTCCGTCTATTTCGGTCCAAGCCACATATTTGTGGCCAACAACAATGGTCGGTCGAAGCCACCAAGGTTCGATCGAAAGATCGAAGGCTATAATCAAGCGGGCTGGGCAACAAAGAACGACAAGTGAGGCTGCCTACGAGTGGTATGAGTAATTTTGGTAATGCTGACATATTAAAGGCATTTGTTGCCGACTTATTGAGCAGTCTTTCTACCGGAGGTGTCACTCAAATCTCATCGCTTTGAATTCGAAATGGAAACTCAAGTCTTTCGGTTTTGTGTCAATCTCTTTAGGTTTGATTACACTTATTAAAATTTTGAATAGAATTGTTATGCTTCACCTACGGAACAATTATTCACATAATAAATGAATAAAAAACTAAGAAACCCCCATTATAGCTGTAGTTTTAATTAGCAAAATTCCAATTCATGCCTGATAAGTAAGCGCTAATTCATCGAACACACGGAATCTCTACTTTCCGTAAGTCAAACCCTTTCTACTCAAATTAACCGACAATAACTCCATTTACCATTAGATTCATTTTATAATGTTTGTAGCTAAACCATTTTATTAAAAAATGTTTATTAATAGCACAATAATCACACATTCTTATCTTGAATTTCTTTGAAACTGTAAATAAGTATTGTTAAGATACCCATTTTATATACAGCAATTTTTTTCAGAATGTCTATTTCATTTATGAATCAGATATTATCAGTAAAAAATTAGTTGACTATCATCACTATTAAAATATCGTAAATTTATAAAAATATATGTATGTTGATTAATAGATTTGATCATCAGAAAAGTAGTTTTGAAATTTATGATATTTCGAATTGTTATAAATTACTTAGCTATTGAAAATTTAACTGATAAATGCATATTAACTTGTTGATGTTTTTTAGTCAGAGAAGTTCAGCTGTGTAACAATTTTTAAACCGCCTTCGGCAGCGCATGAGCGATTCGTTAAGCCATGATCTTTTTGTGGCTCTAACACTTTGGACCTGGATTCTTGGTTCTCACTCTCGCGGCATTAGCTGAACCGTTATTGGTAGTACGGTCTGTGGTGGTTGGTTGTTGTTGGCCGTGTTCATTGGTTACTGTTTGCTTTTTAATGCCCACTGACACCAAAAAAAAAATACTTTTACGTCTGGCCGTATTTCTATTTGCATTATTTTTGGTTTTGCGTTATTTGTGCTATTTACTCTGCGGTCCATGGGCAATAGCAATCATAGACGGTATTTGGCCAGTCTTTTTCGCCCCTGTTTGCTCAAAGATCGGAGATATCCACAGCAAGACAAACAAGCAAGTTAACGTATGTAAATTTATAGTGTCCATAAAACGAAAATAAAACGACTCTGGGTTTCAAAATCTCCCCGAAAACGCTCTTTTGCTCATTGAAATGCATAGGCGACGTGCGATTCGATATAGTGGACAGCTTCAAGGTTGCATTGCCACATGGAATGGGTTCAAAATGGGATGGGACTCGATCGGATTGGATCCACTTCTTGTTTCACAGATACAGATACGGATACAGATACAGATACAGGTGCAGTTGCAGATGCCGAGATACACGGGTAACAGATACAGCTACACTTCGCATTGCGTGTAAACGCTTTGATGGGAAATATGTTAATCACACATCTCGGTTTTTCTCTTCTCGTAACCTGTTTCATTATATTTTTGATTTATACTTTTGGCTTACATTTTCTTTAGGTTTTGGGCGCTGCTTGTAAATTGCACTTAAGTCGTGTTGTTTTTTTGTTTGTTGTTTGTGGCTTGGGAACCACTTCGCGGGTCTTTTGTTTTTGTCGCTGGATTGCACAAGTTCGCGATGCCTTGTTTACGTTTGTTTTTTGCCTAGTTCTCTTTTGTTATACACAAAAAGAAAGCTCCGCTCGGGAAGAATGTTTTCCCAGAGAGATGGCCTCTAACACTCACTCACACACACTGCCTGGCGACCGATGAAAAATGCAGACAAACAACTAAACTGGGGGGACTTTTTAGCGGGGGGCGTTGGTAATTAAGCCGAGCCAGCGCAACAACAAGTACGGCCAGTCTGCGCATGCGCAGCGGTAACAATTTCGCAGCGTTCGCGTCTGCGTTCTCCACCGCCGGTTGGGAACGGTTGGGTTCGAATCGGATCGTATGGTATGAGTAGGCCCGCTTCTTCCACTTCCGCTAAGTCCGCTCCATCTGAGCGCCGCAACACAACTGAAGCTGGTCGAAAACCGAGCTGACTAGGCTTCGCCTTTGGGCCAAGCTCTCTGGAGCCGCTCTGCGGGTGTAACTGGTTTACCCCTCTGCACAGCAAGAAACTGGATCATCCAGGGCTTTTGATGTAAATAAAATGAAAGAAGGTAATAATACAATTTCTTAAATAAGAAAACGTTCCGCGTTCTCTTTAAGCTAAAATTACTTACACTTTCCCTTTAGGTCAAATATACTTCTTAATTGAAACACTAAAAACCAATATAATACACATTTTTTAACTGTTATTGACAGATATAGTTTATAATTTCGATACGTTTTTGTGAGATGGGTTTATATCTTTAACAAACAATATGATTTTTGTAAAAGTATTTGTACGAAATCTAAATTAAAATTTAATGATTTACTTTTTTACAATTTCATTTCTCTAAATATTTAAGAAAGAATAACATTATCAATGAATGAACTATAATTAAGGTTTCATTAGTTCACTTTGAAAATCACCCCATTCAAAAAAGAACACCTATAGAAAATTCATAAAATGTCTATAGATTGCTATGTATATAATTTGTGCAGTCGTAAAAAGAAAATAATCAATTGAGATCCCCCTTTCTCTCTCTGCATTCTCCGCATGGATCTAAAACCCGAGGAGGTACTAAAAATGCGGACCTGCCCCCGAGATGCAGATGCTCTCTTCTCCGGAGAAACAGCCGTCCAGCCTCGTGAATGGGTTTACATTGTCCGACTTTGTTTTCTTTTGTTATTTGATGTTGTCTTCTGTTTTTTTTTTCTGGCGCTGGGTAAAAGTTTCGCTGGCTGTTCTTCGCAGAAAGTTGGGCTTCTGCCGGCCCTTGTCTTCTACCTGTTTTCGGTTTTCTTCGATCTTCGCGGCCGATTGGCAAGTGCGCCAATTCAGCTAATGGGGTTAAGCCTTCAATAATGCCGCAACAAAGTGACAACCAACAAGAGTTACTTTCCTCTTCGCAAATTGTTTGGCGTGGCAACTAATTACCCGCACAATCGGAGAGAAGCGCAGATGAATGACGGTTATGAAGATCGCCGAGGCACGCACCAACCATTATCCAGGTTATTCACACCAGACCTAACAGGTACAAGTACGAGTGTGAGTGTAAGTACCAGTATGAGTGCGACTTCGAGTCCGACTACAAGTCCAAGTCCCAATCAAAAAGCAGGGGCTGGCAAGTATGTGGTTATAATTTTTATGTTTAGGCATGCATGTTAACATTAACATCTCAGTGGGCCGCAATTTCTTTTCTTTCTCGCAAGCCATATACTTTCCATTTTCATGAGCAAGTGCTCCACAAATGGCAGCCAGATAAAACACACATAACATAATAATGAAAACCGAGCCAGAAACAATGAGTGGCACACTCGAAAGAAAGTCGCCTTAAGAACCTCAAAGAATAAATAAATTACAAATTGCCATTGATAAGCAGAAACAATAATTATTAAATCTGTTATTTAATCAAATATATATTTAAGAGAAAAGAAAGAAATTTATGGAATTTTTCATTGACAATATAAGTCTATAACCCTTTAAATTGCAATAATAATATCTAAAACAAATAAATTAAATTATTTTTAAACTAATAAAAACGAGACATAATTGAGAACAACAATTACATTTAATTAAAGTTTAAAGATTAAAGCGATATCTTATACTACAAAAAAAGTTTATTGTAAATGTAATTTAAATAATTTTTGTGATTTTTTCTGAGTGCATTTGCTACCGCAGCAGCCCTGACGTGACGCATGCCATGTCTAACCATATAAATCAAATCGTTCAGCTGATAAATTGTGTCTAAGCTCAACACTTGACTGGCTCCGGCTCCGCCTGCAATCTCGGGTAGATGTTTCGTGAAAACGCCGGTCCACACACCCCTCCACTCCAAACCCATCGACGGATCCCCAGAAGACCCCTGGCTCCTAATAAAAAACAGCCTTCTGGCCCAGTTAGAGCCGCACTCCCGATTGCTGCTTCAATCTGCATAAATGCAAATTATGAAAAATGAATCATGTCCAAAGGTTTCAGCGCTGGTAAGCACTGAAAAGAATTTCGCCTTACAATTTAAATGCTTGGAAACTTTTGATTGTTATTATAAATGTATATTTTGTATTCGAATGTTGGTTTACTGCATAATTAAAATAAGTGTTTTAAATTTATTTTGAAAACATATGTATATCTCTGTTTTTGGTTGTGCTTTTCAAAACTTTAAGAAATTATCTTTAATTTAGAAATAAAGAACATTTTCTTCCAATCTCTTTAGGAAAACACCTGTTTAATTAGACCTTATGATCAAATTTATTTCTGGCTCTCAGATAAATTTCTCTGCATGTATAAAAGCGGCTCGTCTAAGATAATATTTCATCTGGATGTAGGCCGACGGATGCAATATTCACTTCAGCCCACTAAGCCGCCAATGATATGCGTGAGGCTTAATTAACCTCACGTAATTGCCGAGAGTTTTGTCCTCTGGGATCTTTTATCATTCATATGCAAATGTAAACGCCAATTTACTCCTGACTCTTGGATTTCCCATTAAGATTTTGGTGTAACGCCAAAGGGGAAATGAAAATGGCTTGTCAACTCAGTGTGTGCCAAATGAATGTACTTTTCAATTCCAATAAAGATTAATGTCTTTGCATACAGGTCATAAATTATTGTTTAGACCCGACACACGCTCACGTGAATGGAATGACCCACTGGGGAGGGCCGTGTTAACCGATGGAGCTTCATTGTCGGAGCCGAACCTAATCAATTATAGAGCCGCCTTAACCTTTCCCCGATATCAGAATAGAATGTCAACATAATAAGAGCAGCGTCCTTGCGGCCGACTCCCTTTTCACTCCCATTTTCATGTTCATTCTCATTGTCATTTTCCTTTTCCTGTTGCGTTTGCCTTTGCCGCTTAGTGTCACTTTATTGCTAGTGTGGTTAATGTCAGGGGCATTCCAAAAAGGGGGGAGTAAACATTGCCCAGTGGTACATAAAGCTCATTAAAATACCATTTATTGTTGTAAGAAAAAAATACCTTAAAGTAGTATTTCATCAATGAAAATCAAATTTGAATGGGTTCCAAGATCTAAATATATCAAATGCTCTTAACTTTTATGTAACCTAATTTTTGTTACACCCATGGAAGACGTCCTCGGCCTTTTGCACATAGCTCGTCCATCACAATGTTATATAAGGAGTAGTGGGACAGCCGAGTGGGATTATGCCCTTTTCCGGATTTTTATTTTGATAAATTATTTAAACGCACAACTTGTAGCGCTGGGCCGGTTATTGTTGCCGCTGGACTCATATTTAATGCCAGACTTTGTTGGTTCAGGACGCGTCAGGATAGTCGGCCATAGGCCGGACAGGACATTCAATCAAATTAGACTGCGAGTGACAGCAAACACAATCATGAGCGTGGCCAGTTCGGCTTATTGATCGAGGACAGGCTTACTTTTGGCCTGAAATTAATATACTGCATTCAATTTAATGCCCGTGTATATTCAACTCGCTGTCATTCATTCAGAATGTATTTTTGGAATACTATGCAAATAGACAGAGGAATAAAATGTTTATTCTAGGAACGTCTTTTATGATACCTGTTCCTTTCAATGACACCTTTCCCCGGTTGGCAAGCCATTTATGAAATTACATTTATTTCAATTGCATTTGGGCCAAATGTGATCCGGTATTCAAGTTGCCTCGCCTCGTAAACTGAGTTAACCCCTTGCTGACGCCGACACCTCGCATAAAAATCCACAAAGACGATGGTTGAGCTATTTCGGGACGCACACTTTGGCCAGCGGCAATCGACTTTACGGCCGAGTTGTTTTAGCCAAAAAGTTTGGCAGTAACAAGCTTGGCCCGACCTGCCACATCAAGCATACGCCAAGGTGGCCGTGCAGGCTGAAGGCTCCGGCCTTTTGAGTTGTTCGAAGAAGTCAAAGCCCACACGCACGAACAGGTGCAATACAGGTGAAGCCGTTACCGGTAAACGAGTCAGAGATTCCGGGCAATCAAGTGTGTTAATTGCACCATAATTGGTCAGACAGGCAGTCAATAACAGCAGCAACACCAAGTGCATATGCTGCAACAATCCTGCACGACGAGAAAACATCACACAAATATTTGCCACTATTAAATCATCAACTTTCAGTTTACCCAGCAAAATAATGGTTTCTATCTGAACATCTCAAAAGTATCAGAAAATAATTTGGGAAAATGTATTCTGTTTTGCTCATGATTTTTTTATGCTACATTTTCTTTAAAGATAAATGTATATATAAATTTTACACAATTTTAATTTCAACACATGTTTCAATAAATCATAATAATTCAATTGTATTATACTCGTTGTTTTAAGCCGGATTATTAAACTCACAGCAAATGACATATATGGATATACCCTTTCTCATCACAATGATTGTATCTCTTAAGCCTTATTAATTAGTAAATAATTACCATTTTTTCTTCGTGCAAATGCAAAAGGGAGGAGTTCACAGTTGCGTGATTAATTCAGTTGCCTTATTGACGGATGCATGCACAAACGTAAACACAAACCCAATCGTAAAGGCAAAAGCAAAGGCACTCATCCACTTCCACCTGCCAGGAAAAGTGCTCAGGTGCCATTGAGCCTACCTATCGCAAACACAAATCACACACAGACAAACGCTTTGATGCATTTTCACCTCATTTAAAATGCAAATAGCTTTAAACAGGACGTTAAGGTGAAAGTGAACTGGGGGAATGAATTGTACCCGGCTTAAGTGTGGAAATGTGTCTGGCAAATATTTAAACCAATTTCGCGTCAAGTTTGCCCAACCACATTTATCTCTTTCGCCGACTGCGCTTTTCGCGTAAAGGGATCGCTTCAAAATAAATAAATTAAAAAGCGAAAATCCTGAAAATATAAAAGCAAACAACTTGCCAGGACCAGATAGGCAGGTATAACGCCTGAAAAAGGGTTCCTC